GTGGCGGCGCCTAGGGTTGAGGTCCGGCCCGGTCAGGTCACGGAGACGGTCGCGGTTGCACTTCCTCCTGGCCAAGGGAAAGCAGAGGCTCCTGCCGGCTCGCCGTCAAATCGGTCCCAACGGCCCCACCGAATCGCGCCGCCCACGGCGGCCTGCGCCACCAGCAGCGTGTTGCGTAGCTCGCCCGCGCGCCCCTCCTCCTCTTGCGCCTCCTCCTCCTCCTCCTCCTCCTCCTCCTCCTCCTCCGGCGGCGGCGGCGGCGGCGGCACGAGCGACCAGCCGTAGTGCGGCCCCTTGGGCTCGTAGAACTTGTCCATAAAGCCGAGCCACTGGTTGCAGTCCCGTCCTTGCGTGCGTAGCGCCGCCGCCACTGCCTTGCGCGCGAGCGGAGGCGGAAGAGCCCATCCCGGGTCGGCGCGCGCAATCAGCGAGAGCGCGAGGAGCTGCTCGATGCCGAGCGCGGCGCCGTCCGCCGGCGCGTCGAACGGCGCCGCGTCGACGAGCATCGCGCCCCACAGCGTCGAGAGCATCGCAAAGGGCCCCCCACGCGGCGGCGCGGCGGTGGCGGCGCCGCCCTCGCCTTTGCCATGCAGCAGCGCTGTGCACGCCTCCAAGAGGGGCGCCGACGAGCAGAAGCCACGGCGCACGCTCTTCTGGAGGAGCGACGCCGGGAGGCGCACCTGCGAAACCTCGGAGGAGAGCGGCGGCAGCAAAGCGGCGCCGCCCTCGGAACGGGCCGTGGTGGGGCTGGGCGCACCCGTCGCTCCCGCGCTCGCCGCTTCCGCGGGCGCCTCACGAGGGGACGTCCCCTTGCCAGAGGGGCGCGCCTCCTGCTCCGCTGGCACAAGCAGTACCCGAGGGACACCGAGCAGCACCGGCGGCGCGTCACGCGTTGCAGCCTCGAGCAGCGCCCACTCCAACTCCGCGCCCGCCGCCCGCTGCTCCTTCCACGCCGCGTCGTCGTACAGCGCGGTTGAGCACGTGGGCACTGCGTCGCCGCCGTCCCATGCCAGCCGCAGCACCAGCGGGCGGCGCGGGAACATGCCCGGCATGTCCTCCTCGACGGGCCCCGTCGGTAGCAGTCCGCCGGCGCTCAGCCGCTGAAACGTGGCGTCCCAAGGCGAGAACGGAGGGTCAGCGCACGTCTCGAGCTGGTAGGTTGCGAGCCGAGCCGCCGTCGACTTGTGCAACTCCTCGGCCGTCTCAAAGATGCGATCGACCAGCGAGAGGGGGCAGAGGGGCTTGCCGGTCTCCTCCGACACGGCCGTGCCCGCTCTCACGACAAGGAGCCGGCCGGGGAGGTTGGCGTCAAGCTGGCGGCGAGGCGGGGAGAGGGTTAGGGCGCGGGGGGGGGGGGGGGGGGGGGGCACGGGCCGCGGCGGCATGTTCACCTGCGCGACACCCTCAGAGAGCCGGCGCTGGGCTGCCTCGGAGAGCGGCGGCCCGCCCTCGAGAGCCGTCGGGGTCGGCACAGATAGTTTGAGCTCGCGGCACGCCACCTTGCAAAATGCGCGCACCGAGTGCTGCTCCCCCAGAGGAAGTCGGAGCTCGCTCGCCGCCTCGTGGGGCCTGCGCCAAGAGCCGCGTGCATCAGCGCACTGGCATAGCGTGGTTTGGGGAGGGAGGGAAGGGAGGGGGGGGGGGGGGGAGGCGTGCCTGCCGCTCGACACGAGCTTGACGGCCTTGAGGACCGCCTCCGCCGACAGCAGCGGCAGCACCCCGTCGAGCGAGCGCACCTCGAAGCCGCCGCGGCCCACGGCGAGCGAGCCCGGGGGAAGGCCTCGCGCGGCAACGGTGCGCCCCGAGCCCTGTGACGGTGCGACACGGCCTTTGCCACCGCTCTTGCGGCCACGCTTCGCGGGCGTGGCCTCTCCAGCTGCCCGAGCCGCCTTTCGGCGGTCCCGCTTGCTGCTCCCCGGTGCAGCCTTAGCCTTGGGCCGCGCCGCTCCCGCGCTGCTGCTGCTCTCCTCCTCGTCCTCCGCCTCCTCGTCCTCGTCCTCGTCCTCGTCCTCGTCCTCCCCATCCTCCGTGTGATAGTCGCTGTCGGCGCGGTCCTCCGCCCCTGTCTCCTCCTCTGACTTCTCTGACTCCTCTGGCTCCATCGCCTTGACCGAGCCTCGCTTTGCCGTCGCCGCCGCTGCGGGGCGCGGCTCCACCGCCTTGGTCGAGCCTCGCTTTGCCGTCGCCGCCGCTGCGGGGCGCGGCTCCACCGCCTTGACCGAGCCTCGCTTTGCGGTCGCCGCCGCTGCGGGGCGCGGCTCCACCGCCTTGACCGAGCCTTGCTTTGCCGCTGGCTTTGCCGCCGCCGCAGCTGGGCGCCGCGGCTCTGTCGTCAGCGAGGATGCGGCGTGGCGAGCGGCGACCGGCGTGGACCTTGGCGGCGCGTCCTCGATCGCCCGCCTCTTCCCCGGCTCTGGCGCCACTGAGTCGGGCGACACCGAGTCGCGACACCGGCGGCGCGCGGAGCGGCCGAGCGGCACTGGCTCGCCACACGGCCAGGCCTTTTGCGGCCAACGGAGGTTGCCATCTTGCTCCTCCTGCGAAAGATCGTACCACTCGCTGGTGCCGTCGTCGAACTTCACTCTGTGGAGGCCCTTCCCAGACTCATGAGCTGCGACGTATCCGTCATACCAGGCCGGCGTTTCGTCTTCGCGAAAGAAGATGGACAAGCGGTGTGAGATCAAATCGTCACCTTGCAGCATGATATGAGCCACCACAGGTCAGGTATGGAGTGACAAGCCCGCTAATAGACGAGCAGCGAACTCACCCCGGCGATGCCGTCCTGATGCCGTCTCAGCTGCCGTCTCACGGCGACGCGCGAGGGACACAACAACCAGCGTCTTTTTTTGACTTGCCTGTGTAGAGCTAGCCCGCCCTGTGTCGAGCCTGCCTGCTGTGGGAGAGAGTTGTGTTCGGTTAAATTCTGTTGTTGCCGACTCCTTCCGCGAACGGTCGGCGCCGAACCGTCGTCCGCTTGGCCGTCTGTCCGTCCGTTCCCTCGCGTCCGTCCGCCTCTCTCTCTCTCTCTCTCTCTCTCCGAACAACACAAAGGTATTGCTAAAAATCTCTCTCTCTCTCGCGTCCGTCCGGCTGACCAAGAGGGAGAGCCACATTACAATCGAAATTCTCACTTTGGGACACGGGTGGTGGGGGTCCCGGGTGGTGGTTGGTTAGGAGCTTGGCTGTTGCGCGCGCGATTTGTGCGAAGCGTGCGAAGCGTGCGATGGTTCTGCGCGGAGCTCGCCGTGGCCCCGCGCGGCCGTACCTACTCGCGTTTTCGGCCCACCACCTTCGACCGAGCTCACCACCATCACGTGCGCACGTTTTTTATCGTGAGCTTCTTCTACCCCATGCCAACCACCAAAGCCCGTCTCTTCCGCCTCACCCACTCCCCTTCCGATCCTACCCTCTGGATGTTCCGCCTCCCCCCCGCACACACCCTTCCTCTGTCGGGCCTGCAACAGCAAAGCCGACGTGTATCGCCCCCATGTAGCATTGCGGCTGTGTCATGAAGCATGATAGACAGACACAGAAAGCATGAACCATCGAAACTTAGGGGACCCCTAGGCTTAAAAGGGTGGGCCCTGGGGCGCCTGCGGCTTAAACGGCTTAAAGCGGGCCATGGCCCCTTTTAAGGCTGCCTGGGCCGCCGATTCCTTAAACGGTCTTAAACGCTTAAACGGTGCGGAGAGCTCCCGAGGTCGATGGTCCGGGAGGCTCCCGGTAGACGCCGTAGGCCGGGAAGCTGGCTACAGTCAGCTAGCACGCGTCCCCTATGCGAGTATGGCTCCTGCCAGTGCACCAGACTTACAGATGTGTCTTCAGAGGCGGGTTTGTGCCCAATAACGGCAGTATTGGACAATTGGAGAAAACGGCGCGGAACCCAGCGACGCATGCCGGCGAGGCCGATTTTCTTAAACGATCTTAAAAGAGGGACCCCCCGTGCCTGCAATCTCTTAAATGGCAAGTTAAGCCCCCAAACCTCCTCGTTTCTTAAAAGGTCTTTAAAAACCCCGGCCCTCAGAACCCTAGGGGTCCCCTAAGCATCGAAAGGTCTGGTCTCCACACAGAAACTAACGTTGGACCATGCGGAGCTTTCATCTACATCGATGTGGGTCACGAGGCCCCGCCGTGCAGGGCACTACGGGGTCCGGCCGAACGTGGCAGCGGCGGAGCGTCGCGACTCCGCCCTTTGTTCGCCCAACACGCTATCCACTACCACCGACCCTGCAAACAAACTCTCTCCGACCCTGCCGCCAGCGCCGCGGCTTCGAGCTTCGCGCCGCGCGCGCTCACGCTAGGGCGCTCGCTCACCGCATCTCGGTTTTTGCGCATTGAGCGCTCTGAGGCCCCCATCACGCCGGGGATCCACGGCCGGCGAGGCGTTCCGCCGGAGGCCAACACTGGGCACGGGACTGGCGCGCACTGCACAGGTACACCACGGGAGCAGTGTTGTGCAAAACAAGAAGAAACCGCGACTCTCACAGTGATTTGGGCTCGGCAACTTGTCAACCATCAGCCGAAGCTGGAGCCGGTCCCTTGTAGCCGAGAGGAGCCCGCGCCAACGAGTTCGACGCGGTCGAGAGGCCTTGCGGAGAGACCAGCGAGTTGGCGAAGGGGGAGGTGCCAGAGGCAGACTACTTAGCTACGTAGAGACGGAGCGTCGGGAAGTTCCAGGTGTTGTGAAGATATCTCGGTTTTTGAGATTTTGTTATTCCCCCGTTATAACCCCGATACCTGGGTATCTCGGCAGTTCGGTGTGCTCGGACAACGCCCACACCCCTGTGTGGCGACCTACTTTCGCTTCCAAGGTGCTCGCCCCGCGAGGCAACTCCTCGCTCCAGAGCCCACCCGCCCCCCTCACCACAGCCGCCGCTCCCACGTGATTCGTGTCGAAGTCACTGCGCCGCGTGCTGCGGCGACCCGTACCCGTCGCTCCCGACGCGCGGGCCTGATCGCCTTTTTCAACCTCCCCCTTCAGTCAGCGCACCGCTCTCATCATGTCGGCCGAGGAATACGAGCTTCTCAAGGCCGAGGTGGCCACGCTCCACGAGACGCTCGAGGGCAAGGGCATGAACTCGAAGGGGACGAAAGACGTCTTTGGCCGCCTCTTTCCCGTACCGGTCGACGAGGAGCACAAGTCGACCGTGCTCTTCTCCGTCATGTTTAATGGCATCGTCCCGAACTTTCCGCAGCCGCACATGCACGCCTTCTGGGCCGCCACGTTCGGCTTCTTCTCCACCTTCTTCTCCGTATTCGCGCCGGCGGCCCTCATGCCATGTGCGCCATTCGGGCCCACCGGCGCAGCGGCCCTGCCCTACGACCCCCCGCCCCTTCCCTCTCGTCGCAGATCTCAAGAAGAGCAAGGAGGACGGGGGGCTCGACCTCACGCCGGACGACATCGCCACCTCGGGCTCGTTCGCCGTCGCCTTCACCATCGTCATGCGCGTCCTCGCAGGCCCGCTCTGCGATGTGTTTGGTGCTCGCTGGACCTTTTTCGGCCTCCTCTGGCTCGGAATCCCGGGCATCATCGTCCTCGCTTTCGCGGAGTCCGCCCAAGCCCTTTGGGCGGCCCGCTCGATGATCGGACTCTCCTTGGCCTCCTTCGTCACCTGCCGTGCGCCCCCCCCCCCCCCCCCCTTCCCCCTTTGCAGAGGTCTGGTGCTCCCAGATGTTCACCAAGAAGATTGTCGGCACGGCCAACGCCACCGCTGGCGGCTGGGGCAACCTGGGGGGCGGCGTGACGCAGCTGGTGATGCCCCAGATCATGCTCGGCTTCCTCTCGGCGACGGACAATGACATCGACCGCTCGTGGCGCCTCTGCATGATCGTGCCGGCGGCCCTCCACGTCATCTCCTCCATCGCCGTCATCACCGGCCGGGACCTGCCCGACGGCAACTACCGCGAGCTCGAAAAGTCGGGCGTCAAGGAGAAGAAGAACGGCTTCAAGACTTTCGCGATCGGCGTGTCCAACGTCAACACCTGGATCCTCACGATCGGCTACGCCTTCTGCTTCGGCGTCGAGCTCACGATGAACAACAAGGCGGTGAACTACTTCTACACGTGACCGCGTAGTACGTGACTGCGTAGTACTCCCATAGGTGCCTAACACGAACAACAACGTACTCTTATAGGTACTACGCGGTCACGCCGCAGATCGCCGGCATCCTGGGCTCGTGCTTCGGGCTGATGAACTTGTTCGCGCGCTCGTGGGGAGGCATCCTCTCTGACGCCATGAACGTCCGGTACGGCATGCGCGGCCGCTTGTGGTCCATGTGGGTCGTCCAGGCCCTCGAGGGGATGATGTGCATCATCATGGGCCAGGTCACCATCGACATGGCGTCGCCCGACCGGATGCTCAAGCCGGGCTCGGACGACTTTGTGCGGCCGGTCTACGACAAGGACCCGTCCGTGCAGCCGCAGGACGGCATGTGGGGCATGTGGAACACGACGAACCCGCCGACGGGCTTCCCTTACACGTGCGAACCACCCGACCCCGACCTCTCAGACACCGCCCTGCTCGCGCGGAAACTCCTCTCACCGCTTCCTTCGCGGCGCAGGTACAACACGGAGTACACCTTCACCATCAACTCCACCAAGTCGGCGTGGGTCAAGCCCTGCGGCTCCAACTCGATCAAGACTCCCGACACAGGCGTGCTCTTCTACGGCACGGAGAACGCGATCGAGCTGCCCTTGCCGACAACCTCCAACTTCATCGTCGTCGGCGACGTGATGGACGAGGAGTGTGTCCGCAACCAGGGCACGCTCGGCGTCACGATGGTGGTGATGGTCCTCTTCTCCATCTTCGTCCAGGCGCCGTTGCGACCCTGGCCGAGATGCCGCCTCGACCCCCCCCCCCCCCCCTAGCCAGCGGCTAACGGTCCGCCCCCTCCCGCCACAGATGGCGGAAGGCCTCCACTTTGGCGTCGTCCCTTACGTGTCGGCGCCAGCCCTGGGCGTCGTCTCGGGCATGGTCGGCGCGGGCGGCAACTTTGGCGCTGTGATGGGCTCCAAGTTCATCGTGGGACCTCCCAGCGTCGGCCCCCCCTCGGTCGACAAGGGCTTCATCAACCTCGGTCCGCGTCGTGCCAGCCAGCGGAGTGTAGGTTCGCCGCCACGAGAGGCTCGCCTGATCTGCCCCGGCCCGTCCTCCCCGTCTCACAGGCGCCATCATCATGGGCACCTCGCTCCTCTTCTTTGGGATGTACTTCCCGGAGCACGGGGGCATGCTCTTCAAGAAGGGCGCCCTCGGCAACTACGACCCGCAGCTCTACAAGCCCGTCGACGGAGAACGCGGCGCTGACCAGATGGACTACTCCAAGGCCGCGGACAAGGTGACCAAGAATGGTGCGAGCGTCTGAGCGAGCAACAAGAACGGGCGCTACCGCGGTGATCACCTCTGTTCGTCGGCGCCACGCGCGTGAGTCGCTCGCGCGCCGCGGTCCCGACGAGGGCACGAGACGCTCGGACCACTGAGGACGCCGCTTGTACACTTTGTAGCCGCTAGGATACCTTAGGAAGCTCACACGTCGCTCGTCACGTGTGCTTTCGTCCGTGCGTGTGTGAGTGGGCTCGTGCACCGGTGCACGCCGTCTCGGCCCCATGCGTGTGAGTGAGCGCGCATCCCCTGAGGACGCGCCCCAGTCCCGCGAGAGGCCTCATAGCAAAATGGACGGCGCGCCTGTACACAAACTAACAAACAGTGAAACGACGCCGTGGTGCAGTTCTCAGTTGCACACATGCAGAGGCTTCATAATTGTCGCGAGCGATGCCCGAGCTCCACACCGGCTCCCTCGTCGGCTGCTCTCAGTCCACTGTCCTGTGTGCGCGTCCAGCCGCTGCGGTCATGCGCACAGCTCATGATGGCAGAAGCCTCTCGCGTGTTGCCCGGGGGCGTTGGCTTCGGAGTTAGTGCATTCATCGACCACAGCCGGGATGGAAGCTTCCTGCTTCCATCTGATTAATTTTCCATGAGCCGATGGGTGAAGCTGAAGGGGAGGGAGGACGCGTGGTGGCGCTGGCCTGGAGTTCTGAAGCTCACCCATTGAGGAAGTGAGGTACTGCTCCGCCCACCCTGATCCTGCTGAACAAGCTCCTCTTGTAGCTCGATCGGTCACACCGCCACCACCGCCGACGTCTCCCACCCACCCAGTGAGACGAACGATGGAGAGGGGGGGGGGGGGGGGGGACGACACTGCTTCTGCAGCGTGCACCTCGATCCTGTACCGTGTTTGTTATGACCCCCCCCCCATGAACACACCAGCGAGGGAGGGCGAGACGATCGAGAGGTCCCGTACCACGCGGAATCGACCCTATCCAGTCAGTGCTCAAGTGCTCAAGTTTGTGCAGGAGCGCCGATCTGGCGATGTCTGTCTGGCTACCGGCCGGACCAGTACCGGCCGGACCAGGTCCCTACTCGAGTACGACCGACCGACCGCTACCGCCAGGGCAGCCCGCCCTATAACACAGCGACAGAGCGCAAGCGAAAGCTAAGCACCCACACCCACACCCACGCCACAGAGAGTGAGCGCTCACAGCCACAGTCAGATCCGTCTCGACAATGACAAGCCGACTCGAGGCTCGAGGAGACCCAGGGAACACGCTCAACCATACTGTGTCGGGCGGGGGAACCACCGCAGTGTCGCGACTGATGGAGACCGGCTCGACTCGCTGCGGTGACGACAACTTCCCAGCAAAGACGCCGGGTGCGCTCGTAGCCTCACTGGCGATGTCCGGGGCGTGGCGGCGGATTGTACTGGCGGCTATGATTCTGGACATGGCGAGTGCTGTCCAGCTGCCTCGACCAATGCTTTCGCCGCCACTGGACTGGGCTGTGAGCTCACAATGATTCAGGCGGAGTCCGGCATTGGCCATGATGCGCTTCACGCGCCTGTCGACGTGGAAGCTGCGTATCTGCGGATGCTTGCTGGCCTTCTAACGAGCTCTTCGCTCATGTGTGAAGCCGCAGTGACGCAGGCTAAATATCTCACGTGCATGAGGATGTACATTATGGGCGGCCCATGGCCCAAGCTCGGCACGACGATGGCCGGCCATAAACGTTTGCAAAACGTTGCCACGCTCCTCCTCAACGCGCGCAGTGCCGACGTCGCTGGAAGCTACGTCGAGTGCGGCGTGTGGCGCGGCGGAATGTCCATCTTTGCCAAGGCGGTGATCGAGGTTTATCAGATGCAGCGGCGCGTGTACCTGTGTGACTCGTTCCAGGGGCTGCCTCCACCTCGTTCAGGTAGCCTGCGACCGGATGAGACCATTTACGCGTCGAAGAGTCTCAACGCCACGCTCGCCAAGGGCGAGGACACTGTGACGCGCAATTTCTACCGGTTTGGAGTGTCTATGGAGGGGGTGCGAATGGTGCCGGGATACTTTGTTGACTCGTTGCCGGGGCTGCGTGCCGAGCTCAAGGGCCGCGGCGAGCGGCTTGCGCTGCTGAGGCTGGATGGCGATATGTACGACTCAACCATTGACATCCTTTACAACCTTTACGACCTGGTCGAGGTCGGAGGGTTCATCATCGTTGACGATTTCGGCTGGCACGAGGATCTCATGGAGTCGTGGGGCGCGAAGGACGCGGTGCTAGACTTCCGCGCCGTGCACGGGATCGAGGACGACGCGCACATCTTCCACAACATCGACGACGCTGGCGCATGGTTCCGCAAGGCACGCAACGTCGAGATCCGCCACCATCAGTACAAACGAGGCGTCAAGGACGGCAACTACAGCGCACTGCGCCCAATGCCATTGCTCACGGCAAAGGACTATGCGCGCCTGAGGCACAAGTGGGATCGGGCAGGGTAGAGTTGTGCGGCGGTGTGCACCCGCCCTCTTTCTCCGGTTCGATTTCAAGCTGTGTGTGTGTGTGTGTGTGTGTGTGTGTGTGTGTGTGTGTGTGTGTGTGTGTGTGTGGCGCGTGCTGTGTTTGTGTGGGTTTCTATTTGGCATTTCCATTTGGCTTGCGTTCAACATAGACAGCCCTTTTCCCCTTTCCCCACACCGCGTCGTACTCTACAGCAGCAATTGAGAGAGAGAATCGTAACAGCTCAGGCTTTCCAGTTCAAAACATCAGAGGGTTTTTTGTTCCAGCACCACCTTGAGCACAGCATGGTGACGGAGAGAGCGCGCACGCACAGGAGGACGTCCCGCTCGGGCACACTGATCACCACGAGGAACATGGGGGGAAAATGCACATTGCGTTTTCGGGCACGCGTCGCACAGGAGCCACTGATCGGCCAGCGATGCAGTGCACACCCCGAAGGAAAAGGGATGAAAAATTTGAGACTCGTCCGAGCGCTCCGGCATGGCATCGTGCGCTAGAGCCAAGGTCAGCGAAGCAGCGACGCGCAGACCGCCTCTCCCGCCGCCGTTGCAACCTCGTGAGCAGAGACCACTCTGCCATCAGACAATGTTGCGTGTGTTTTTGCGTTTTGGAGAAGAAAGACTTGCACGCACGCCGCGTGGCCCTGGTGAGCAGCGACGAGAAGCGGCGTGACTCCTTCATGCGTGCTCAGCTCGACCGATGATGGGCACGCAGCCACCAAGACTAGGACGCAGTCCACATGGCCATTTTGCGCTGCAAGATACAGCGGGGTGTATCCTCTCCCCACTTTGAGATCTGCCCTTGCACCGGACCGAATCAGTGCCTCGACACATCCCACATGCCCAAATCGTGCTGCGACAGCAAGCGGCGTCACCGGATGGTTGCAGCACTCGAGCATTGATGCTTGATCGGGGCGTGCTCCACGGTCCAATGCCGCAAGAATGCCACGCCTGTCTCCCATACTCGCCGCCTCAACGAGGATCCGCTGAGGGTCATCAACGACGATCGAGTTCAGCGCATCCACGAGCGAGCCCATGTGGGCAGTTTCGATGCGTCTTTGAGCTGCAGCTATGTGCAACTCCATGGCGGTCGGCAGTCGGCAAGTTTCGTCCTTGATGCCCAAGAACGTAAATCATCAGCGAGATCTCGTGGCTAGGGATCCTTTCCCGGGAGTGAACCAGCGCGAGTGACTAGCCGAGAGGAGAAGAAACGCGCCCACATTTAACGAGATACCCGAGGGAGAGACTGTTCTTCACCTTGAGCACTTGAGCACTGGATAGGGTCGATTCCGCATGGTACGGGACCCCTCGATCGTCTCCTACATACATACATAGAGAGTACGTACATTAAAATCCCTGTGTGGAGGCGGCGTGCCGTCCTCCCATCCCTCCCTTGGTTGTCTGTTTTCTTTCTGAGAGAGTACGTACCCGAGGGTCTATCTATCTAGGTTGGGCGTTATTTGAGCGCGTATACTTGTGACAGGGTCTGTGTACGGTAGTCGTTACTGTGAGTGATTGGCGCTGTGGGCCGCCATCTACTACTCCTGCTCCGCCAAGTTCGACTTCATCCTTCGGCACCTCCCTCCCGACAAGACGGTGTCCCACGCTCGCGTCGTCGACGCTGCGCTCACCCGTGCCGCTGAGGCGTGCGGCTACGAGGGCGTGCTCGGCGACGCCATCACCGCGCGGCGGGCTCGCCTGCCTGCGCGGATGCGCGGCCTCGGCCTGCGCTCGCTCGAGGAGGTGGCGCCGGCTGCGTTCTGCGCCTGCTTTGTCGAGGCGGCCGAGAGGTTCCTCGACAGGTCGACGCCCGGCGGCGGCAGAGAGCGCGGCTTCTTCCAGATGCTCGCTCCGCTCTTCGGCCACGGCGCCTTCGAGTTGCCGTACCCGAACAGCCCTCGCCTCTCGCGCTTCCTCTCGGGCTGCACCACCAACGTCAACCCGCTCGGCGCGCAGCTGGGGCAGCTGACGCCGACGGGCGAGTCCTTCAAGAAGGCGTGGGAGGGCATGCAGCGAGAGGTCCGCGGCGAGGGCGTGGCGGGACCTCTCGATGTCCGGGCTCCCGAGGCTGGCAACGGGCGGGCCGGCAGCGCTGGGCTACAGCGGCAGCTGACGCAGCAGCGGGAGCAGGTCAAGCGCAACCAGCTCAGCCGCAGCATCCTCGGGCTGCCGCACGGCGACACGCGGCGGGAGGCGTGGCTGGCCGTCGACTCGTTCTCGTCCGCGTGGGTGAGCTCATGGCCCTCGGCTCAGAACCGGTGCGAGGCGCGCGAGTTCCGCGAGATCTTCTGCACCTACATCGGCCGGGAGAGCCCAGCCGTGCGCGCGCTCGTGGGCAAGAGCATCGCCTGCTCCGGCCGCGGCCCTCCTCGAGTCTGCGATGCCTTTGGCGTCCAGCTGGGCTTGGCGACGCTCAACGACCGCGCCCACGGCAACTGCCACGACGACATCTTCTCACGCGTGATCGGTGATGCGCTGCACGCGGGGCTGCGCGGCAAGGAGGAACCGCGCGAGATCTTCAGCGCCGTCATCCCGCCTGTCACACTCAACGGCACCGCTGGCACGCGCGGCAAGAACGGCATCGTGCCGGATGGGCGCCTGCACTGCAAGCTGCGCGAGTCCCGCACGGCGCGCTGCACGGGCACACGAGGCCAGGCGCATCCGTCTGTCCGGTGGCGCGGCACGACAGTGCAGCGCGGGCCCGAGCAGCCGCCGGCGGAGCACCTCCTCGAGGGCAAGACCATCCACCGCGGCGGGCCTCACTACATGAGCGCTCGGGCGCGCGACGATGGCCAGGGCGGCGCTGTCGCCGACAGGGCGAACCTTGTCCAGCGCGACTACGAGGCGCGGGCGGCGGCGCTCGATGCCAAGCCGCAAGTGCAGGCATGGAACAACGGCTCGAGGGACGCCGTTTCCTCCGTGCTGCGCTCGTTTGGCACCGTGCGCAGCCTCGTTGTCGGGGCCTACGCGGAGGCGTCGGACGACCTGCACCAGCTGTTCGACTGTGTGGTGGAGTCGGCATCCAAGCAGCACTGGAGGCGGATCGGCGCGCGTAGCGCGAAGGAGGCGCGGTCCTACTTCGCTACGACGCTGCGGCGGGCGTGGGGCGTGCACTTTGCGCGCGAGTTCGCGCGGCACCGCATCCGACGCGTGGTGTTCGTGGGGGCCCCGCGGCGACAGCCGGGCAGGCGGCGCGTGGGCGGGCGGCCCGCCCGGCCGTCGGTGAGCACCGGACGCGAGGGTCGGTCGGCTCTTAACTAGCTGTATATAGTCGCGATCTGCCGGCGTGCGTATGAGCTCACTAGCTAGAGCTCACACTAGAGGCCGTCATCGCATTCGCCTTCCTGGGACCCAGCGCTGACTTCTGACTGTCGTTGCTGTCTCTCCCCCTTCTCGACTGTCTGTGCTTGTGCGTCTTGGGTCCGGAGTTGTGCGTTTATGTGAGTGATTGGCTTGAGGGGAGCACTTGGAGCACTTGGAGTGCAGTCAGTAACCGCTCATCCAGGGCGGGAACCTAGTGTAGACGAACACGCGGGGAGCGGCAAGCTGGGCAGGCGCCTTCGCCGCCCCGCGCCAGCGCGTCTCGCCAGCACAGCTGGCACGAGCCCGCCCGCCCACGTCGTGCCCCACCACCCGAGCCCCCCCCTTCCCGCGCCTGCACCAGGACCACGATGCCGCATTACGACTCGCCCGCCTCTCCGGCCGACACGCCTGTGCAGACCGGCGACTACGTCAGCATCCACTGGGACGACCTCACCGTCGAAGGCACCTCAGTCAAGTGCCCGCCGCACACGGCGCGTGCCAACTCCTCGCCACCTCCCATCCTTCCCGCATCCGCCTCTCCCCGTCCGTCCCGCCTCACCGTGCCGCCGCATATGGCTGGCGTCCACCGCCGCCCCCCCTCTCTCGCCGCGCGCGCCACCGCCCGCCGCAAGCCGCCCTCAGGTGCCGGCCAAGGTGACCTCGGTCTCCACAGAGGGCTTCACCGCCGAGATGCTCTTCTTCCAGCCGCCGTCGAGTCTTGTCCCACGCGATTTTGACTATCTCTTTGACGACCCGGACTGGGAGCGGCTGGAGATTGGCGAGATGAGCGAGCGGCAGCGCCTCAAGTGCGTGCCGCTCCCGGCAGCGGTTCCCACTCTCCTTCCCCTCCACGCACTCGCGCACACACACACACACACACACACACACATGCACACTGCACACGCACAGACACAGCGCTGCCTTGGTTTGACCGCCTGCTGCCTCGCTCCGGGCCCAACCGGCTCGCGCCACCCGACACGCCGACGACACGGGCCGACGACACGTCGGCTGACACGCCCACCGACGCGTGCGCAGGTACCTCTTCGACGAGCTCAAGCGTTTTGCCGTCCTTGTCAACCAGCAGCTGGCGCCGACGAACCTCGACCGCATCGTGTCGGGTGACTTCTGAGCGCCTCCCGAGACGCCCCCCCCCCCGCCGCCGCCGCCGCTACACCGGCGATGTCACCCGTGATGCCTCACCCGCCTGCGAGAGGGAAGCTGTACCGTGTTTGACCCGCCGGTCGGCCGCCCTCCTCGGTAGGCAAGCTCGAGACGCGCGGCGGGCTCGTCGAGCTGCAGCTCTGCTGCGCCAGACAGGGCCGCAACGGCATCTGCGCGCGGCCGGTCCGCTTCACGGCCGGCGGCGTCGAGCGGACGGCGGCGACGTTGGGAAAGGTGCAAGAGTACCTGGACGAGCTCGCCGCCGCCGAGCCGTCCGGTGAGGGCAGCCGCAAGGTGAAGCGCAGTGGATCCGGCTCGGGCAAGTCCCCGTCCTCGAAGCGTGCGAAGGGCGTCTCGCCGCCGCCCGAGGACGACGACGACGAGGACGAGGAGGAGGGCGACGAGGACGAGGAGGAGGGCGACGACGAGGCGGAGGAGGAGGGCGAGGGGGAGGAGGAGGGCGAGGAGGAGGATCCCCTCTCCTGGCTCGAGCCCCTCGGGCCCCGCCCCCTCAAGGCGATGTGCAAGGCGTTGGGCTGCTCCCTACTGCGGCTTCGCCCAAGGCGCCCTTCCCCTCAACCTTCTCGAGCCTTCCCGCAGGCGATGGGCCTCTCCTACTACGGCTTCGCCGAAGACGCGAGCGCGATCGCCGAGCTTCTCCGCGACCGGGGCGGCCCCCACCATGCGGCGCTGCGTGAGGCTTGCCGGGCGGCTGGCTTGCGCGTGGGCGGCAAGGCTGCGGAGCTGGCGGCGAGGCTGAAGGAGTCTATCGGCTTGGGCGGCGAAGGGGAGGAGGAGGAGGAGGAGGAGGAGGAGGAGGAGGAGGAGGAGGAGGAGGAGGAGGAGGGGGAGGGGGAGGGGGAGGCGGACGAGGGGGCGGGCGAGGGCGAGGGGGAGGGGGGGGAGGAGGAGGAGGAGGAGGAGGAGACGGCGGCGGCGAGGAGGGCCAGCAAGCCGGGCCGGCTGCGCCACGCGCCCGACCGGCTCAAGGCCACCGCGGACCCGCGCCCTCTCCCGCGCGCGGACCAGCGGCGGCAGCCGCGAGGGGTGGAGTGCGGCGCGGCAGCCGAGGAGGCGGCGGGGGAGGAGCCCCCCCCCCCCCCCCAGCCGCGCACAGTAACGAGCCGGTGACGCGTGTCACGATTGCTGTAGGAGGCGCTCGAGGCGGACTCGCGACCAATCTCGCAGCGCAAGCGGCCGCGCTCCGCGGCGCTCGGCGCCGACCAGCTCGCGCGCGAGCCTCGAGCGTCCCCGCGTCTCGCTGCGGGTCACGGAGAAGATTCGGCGGTGGCAGCGCCGCCGCTCTCGGCGCCGCGCAGCGGCCACGCCTCGTCTGCACACCGCCTCCTGAGCAGACCACGTGGCCGCGCCCCGGCGGGCAAGGTCTGGTGTATGGAGGCAGGCGAGTACATCGACGAGACGGAGGCGGCAGCGGAGAAGGGGGCGGCGGCAGAGGAGGCGGTGGCAGAGGAGGCGGCGGCAGAGGAGGCGGCGGCAGAGGAGGCGGAGGCAGAGGAGGCGGAGGCTGTGGCGGAGGCTGCGGCGGGAGAGTCTTCGGTCCAGGCGGCGGTTGAAGCGGCAGTGGAGGAGGCAGTGGAGGAGGCGGCGGAAGTGGAGATGACGGAGACCGAAGCGGAGGCGGAGGCGGTTGCAGAGGCAGCGATGGCGGAGGAGCCGGCAGCGTCGGAGGTGGAGACGGCGTCTGCTGCATCGCGGCCGCCGACGCCGCGGACCGAGGGCGGCACGAATGCCCCGCGCACCAGCACGGCTTTCGCGGACATCACCTCCGAGACGATCGTCGCGCAGAGGCGCTTGGTGGCGCAGGCGCGGCTGACCCTCGAAGCTGACCTGAGGATGCTCGAGCGCTCGCCTCCGGTGTACCGCCCGCCCTCGAAGGACGTGTTTGCGGACAGCTTCGACTACGCGGGCGAGCAGGCGACGTCCTTTCGGCAGCACGTGGAAGAGGCAAAGCGGTTCCTCGAGGACCTCGAGGCGGCGCGCGAGCAAGCCAACAAGAGCCGCTCGAGCGCCAACGCGGCGCAGGCCGTCCTCGATCAGTTGCAGCAGGCCAAGGCCCACCAGGACCAGCGCCAGGCCAAGGAGGAGGAGGCGCGAACCACCTTCGCCACTCTGGCCGCGGCGAACGCCAAGGGCGACTACAGCGGCGCGCACAGCGCCGCGGTGGCGTACGCGGCGCTCGCCGAGGAGGTGAAGAACCTCAAGGACAACGAGTACGCCGCCAAGGAGCGCATCCTCGCGCGGGCGGTTTGACGCCAGCGACGCATCGCCCCTCTTTGCGATCCTTTCGGATGGGAGGGCGATTACTTGTCGCAACCAGGGAACGCAGCTCTGGCTGTCAGTCTGTCAGTCTGTCAGGTGGCGCAACTGGTCGCATGGCAGTCGCACACGTTACAGCGCGGCGCACAGCGGCAATATGGAGTCTGGCTTGAGCCTTGCGCAGCTAGAAGTAAGTTTGCAGCAGCTTGTGAGTTGTGTCTTGAGAGTCTTTTGCGTTGGCCGTGTGGGGATCTCGCATGTGTGAGAAGGCAGAGAAGGGAAAAGACGGGACAGCGGTGTGCTTATTCACGAAACATATGTATAGAAAAATGTACAAGTTTACAACTTTATCTTGGATTTTATGGATTATGGTCGTTTTAGCCGTCGGGCATCTGCAGGGCGACGACTGCCGCAGCGACAAGCCTTCTCAGTGCCTGCACCTCTTGCGAAGCACGTTGCCGCCGCGCCTCGTCAACGGGCGGCTCGAGGTCATGGGAGACATGCGCGAGGAGGCGCGACACTTTGCACTCGAGCAGCGACACGAGCACCGCGCGCTCGCGCTGCTGCGCCTCGCGCGCAGCCGCCGCCTTCTCGCGCTCGACGCGCAGTGCCTCGCCCTGGACCGCCGCGGCGTCGTGCGCCGCAGCGAGGCCCGCGCGCATGGTCTCCACCTCGTCTTCGGCGGAAGCGGCCGTCTCGCTCGCCGCCTGGAGCTGCCGCTGCGCCGCCTCTAGCTCCACCTCGAGCCTAGGACAGCGCGCAGCACCGCCGTCACACCTCGGACCATTATGCTGGGTGTCGAACGGCGCTCCCCGCGGAGACGCCTGCGAGACGTCTCGGAGATGCCCCCCCAGCCTTCCTGGGGCTCGGTCAGCTCGAGGGGCGTGCCAGTCGGCCCGACGGCCGCAAGCGAGCGGCGCGCCAGCGGCGTGGTGCCGGTGCCGCCGCCGGTGCCGCCGGTTCCGCTCGACCCGTCGCTCGAGTGGCGGTGCGCCGGTGCAAGAGCCGCCAGGCCGGTGCCGGCGCCACTCGACCCGTCGCTGGAGCAGCGCGAGAGGCTCCCGAGCGGCTTCGCCGCTGCCCCGTCGTCCGCCCCCTCTCTCGCGAGAAGGGGTGTTGCCGCCTCGGCCGCCGCCTCGGCCGCCGCCTCGGCCGCCGCCTCCCTCCTCTCCACCTGCAGCCGCTGCGTGTGGATCAGCTGCGCCGTCTTTCGGTCGAGTGCGTCCTCCAGCTCGGACAAGCGCCGCTGCCGCGCCGTCGCCTCCTCACGCAACCGCACGAGGGCGGCGTCCTAGGAGACGCACCCCATGGTTGATCAGGCTGCGGAGTAGGCCGAATTAGGGGAGGAGGGCCGGTGGCCAGTAGTGGGCGGGCGGGCGGGAGGGCGGGCGGGCGGGTGGGAGGGCGTTCGGGCGTGCGTGCGGGCGGGCGGGGGGCGGGGAGGGAGGTATCCCTCTCGGCGACGATGCGCTGCAGCTCTGCGACGGTCTCCGCCATCTCGTCGACCTGTAGTTGGCGAGATCAGCCGAGATCAGCCGAGATCAGCCGAAATTGGGGGTGTATAGCGCGCTACTGCCGCCGCTGCGCCCGAGATCACGCCGAGAGACATACGAGATCGCCCGAGATCTCGACTCTCTCCTCTCGTCCACCTGCCCCGCAGCCTCCCCCTCGCCCTCAACCAACGCCTCGTGCTCATCCTCCATGCGCGCAATCTGCTCTGCCAGCAGCGCGTTTGCCGCCTTCTCCTGGAGTACTTCGCGCGAGCGCGCCTCGAGCTGCCGCAGCGCGCTCAGCCGCTCCGCCTCCGCACGTCGCCGCTCCGCCTCCGCTCGCTCCACTTGCGCCTCGGCGCGCTCTCGCTCCGCGAAAGCCTGCTGCCGCTCCGCCTCGGCCTGCACGAACCTGCAGACATGTCGTGGACATGTCGTGGACGCGGCCCGGGGCATGCGCACGTCGCCTCGGCCTGCACTAGGAACCTTCTAGGAACCTTCTAGGAACCTTCTAGGAACCTTCTACGACGCGGCCCGGGGCTGCGCATATCGCCTCGGCCTGCACGGACCTGCGCGAGTCGCCGACTGACTGCTCGCGCTCGACGAGCACCTAGAAGGTTCCAGAAGGTTCCTAGAACTTCCTGAAGGCTCCTAGAAGGTTCCTAGAGAGGACCGGGCCGTGCAGCCCTCTGGGCTGATCTGGGCGGACCTCGGGTCATCTCGAGACGCGGCTGGAGGGAGGGAGAGAGTAGAGAGGGAGGGAGGGAGAGAGGGGGGAGCACCGCGCGCAGCCGCGTCAGCTCGACCTCCAGCGACTGGAGCTTGGTGCGCCTACGTGCGGAAGACGCCGGCCTCAGGGCGGGAGGACGGTCTCGTGCCGTGTCTTCAAACACACCGCGTGAGAACACACGGGCTACGAAGACAGTGGAGTGCGTGTCCTCTCGAGCGCTAGTCGGAGGACAAGAAGACGTCTTCCGCTTCTAGGGCCGCGAGCCGCAGCACGCATCTCCCCCATATCTCCCCCATATCTCCCCCATATCTCTCCGCTTCTAGGGCGGTGCGCTGGTCGATCTGCTCGTTGATCCGCGCAGAGTTGTGGACGTGCCTCGCCCGCGACGCGAACTTGAGCGTGCTCACCGTCTCGGCCATCGACGCGGCGGCGACGCACGCGATCATCGTCGTCTTGCAGTTCCCGCCGAGCGAGTCTGCCAGCAAGCGCGTCAGCTTCGAGTCGCGGTACGGCACGTGTCTCGCCTAGAAGGCCCCAGAAGGCTCCTAGAAGGTTCCTAGAAGCTTCGAGTCGCGGTACGGCACGTGTCTCGCCTAGAAGGCCCCAGAAGGCTCCTAGAAGGTTCCTAGAAGCTTCGAGTCGCGGTACGGCACGTGTCTCGCCTAGAAGGCCCCAGAAGGCTCCTAGAAGGTTCCTAGAAGCTTCGAGTCGCGGTACGGCACGTGTCTCGCCTAGAAGGCCCCAGAAGGCTCCTAGAAGGTTCCTAGAAGCTTCGAGTCGCGGTACGGCACGTGTCTCGCCGTTCCCGAGGTGAGAGCGGCGACGACATTTCCGAGCGCCGCGAGCGAGCCGTTGATGTACTTGCACTCCTCGAGCCGCTGCCCGGAGGCGCCCGAGACGCGGAGCCGCTCGGAGCCCGCGAGGTCGACCAGGTTGAGCTTGGACGAGCGGAAGACACTGCCCCGCGGGCAAGCCTCGCCGCCGCCGCTCGCCTCGCTCTGCTCAAACGTCAAGCAAAACACGGCGTGCGAGCGCGAAGACGCGTCGTTCGCCGCGGTGGCGGCGGTGGCACGCGTCTCGGCGCCGCGCCGCAGCAGACCATCCACCTGCGAGGAGATCTGGGGAGATCTGGGGAGATCTGGGGAGATCTGGGGAGATCTGGGGAGATCCACCTCGCAGGGTCGGGGTCGGGGTCGGGGTCGGGGTTTTGGTTTCGGGGGGGGGGGGGGGGGTTGGGGATTTGGGGGTTTGGGGTTGGGACTAGCAGCGGTCCGCCCACCTAGCAGAGGACTGGATCGATGGCCGCACTTGACGAGCCGACGCGGCGCCGCCGCAGTGTCGCCAGCCTCGGCCGGCGACCGGACGACCCACTCCGACAAGCCTTCAGCGCGGAGGCCCTTCTTCCGGTCCTCGCGGATGGCTAGGCCGTTGCGGCCCGGCTTGAGGAGGTCCGAGAGCACCTCGTTGTAGATCTGCAGGTACGACGCGCGCACCAAGAAGCGGCGCGCGCCGGGCCTCGCGCTCCGCTCCACCTGTGTGTGTCGAGCGGTGCGGCTTCCGGCGCACCGCGTGAAGACGAGGGCCACGAAGGGAGGGAGTGGAGCTCGGTGCAGCGGTGGGCAGGTGCGTACGTCTCGCCGCGACTGCATCTCGCAAGACGCGGACCACTGTGGTTCAGCTGTGGTTCCCGCATCTATGCCGCCCGACGTGTTCAAAGATGTCCGCGACGGCGCGGGGGATGATGCCGCGCTGCGCTCCATCGGGCGCCCCCTCCATGGTATGTGTCTTGCCGGCACCCGTGTGGCCTAGCCGCCAGGACGCGCCATCGAGAGAGGGGGTGCGGAGGTGCAGAGGTGGAGGCGGAGCGCGAGGCTCACCGTAGGCAATGATGGACGCGTTGAAGCCGGCGAGGGTGGAGGAGACGGCGGGCCGCGCCACCGCATCGTACACGGCCGCCTGCCCCTCCGACGGCGAGAAGGCCGCGTCGAATGTGAACGAGTACCGCGGGCCCGGCCCGAGCCCGTCGTCCGGCCACGCCGTCACCTGCGAGGAGACAGCGCGGCGTGGCTGCGGAGACTGCGGCAGCGGCCAGCAGCATGCAGCGGGCAGCATGCAGACGCGCCGCGCACAGCAGGCAGCGAGGTGTGTGCAGCGAGCGGTAGCACGCCGAGAGGCGAGAGAGGTGAGCCGGAATCTGCTGTGCTCACCTCGCCAGGAGCGCGCACGGTCAGCTCTTCGGTGGACACTTCGCGCGCGAGCGGAGGCCTCACGCGGACGGCCACCCGCACGGTCTCGGGCCAGTCCGCCGATGAGCTAGCCTCTGACGAGGCGCTGGACGATGATAGACGCCCGAGGGAGGCGCTCTCCACAGCGAGAACCACCATGTTCGGGCGCCTGTCCCCAGGTCTACACTCGTAAGAGTGTGATGTGCATCGAATAGGAATGTGCGGCGAAAGAAAGTTTCGGGAGAAAAGAATTTCATAAGGAGATTGCCAGATGAGAGTGGGGGGAGGACAGGCGAGCGACATTTGACGACGTCGGGGGTCACAATGATCAATGAAAGCGCAACACTCTTTCTTTGTAGAAACCACGACGCGATCTTTGTCAAGCGCAACCAACTTCAACCTGCTGCTCCACGAGACGTTCGGCGGCGGCTTCTCGCCCACCCCGTTCTCAAGCTGCGCCGCCTCGCGCGCAAAGTCGCGCGCGGCAGCGTTGACCGCACGGCCTACTCGCTCGCCCAAGTACTCGCTCTCTTTTATGTCCCACCAAGATGCAGAGCGCATCTCTCTCTCTGTTGTGCGAGGCGTGAACCGCGCCATTCGCTCTCACCTGGCAACCCTGTCTGCACGTCTCGCGCGCGCGTGAACAGGGCACAGCACAGGCGTACGTATTCTAGAGGGGGGAAAGAAACGGGGAGTGGGGGGCCCCGCCACGAGAAGTGCGTTTTGGGGATGCAGAGCGTGCAAGGCGGCTAGGGATGAAGCCGCAAAAGAGGCGCGCGAGGCAAGTAGGAGCGCCCGGCGTTTCTCACTTTCCGGGACAGCCCCTGACAGCCCCGCCCTTGCGAGGCAGGAAGGTGACGACTACCCGTACGCCCTGTTGCTCCTCGCCGACCGCCCATGCACCCGCCGTTCCCTTTCTCCAACCAAAGATGGTAAAAAATGGCCTTGTTGCCCGGGGAGAGGGGGGGGGGGCACGGGGGCACGGGGGCACATTGTTATATGAGCGTCATCTTGTAGTGAACAGGCCGACATCGCGGTTTGAGCGCCCAGCGCAGGGGGGGTCCGGTCGGCGGCCGCGGAAGACCGCAGACCGGAGGGGGGGTCCGGGGTCGGTCGGAGGACGGAGCGCAGACCGAGGGGGGGGGGTCGGTCGGGTTGGCTCGAGGGACGAGGGTCACACCGCACATGCTCGCCGTAGCTGTGAATAAATTAGTATCTCTAAATCAGTAACCAGCCTCCGGCGGGGCCCCCCGCTACCATCCAAACCAGAGTACCGGTCATAGATAGAGAGGCTCAAGTGTGACATAAGTGTCCACACACATACGACATACACAAAGCAACTCTCACGACACACGGGCACCGGGTGGAGCGGCGGCGGCGGCGGCAGCAGCACGCGCGGGCGGACGGATTCGGACGGGGCGGAGCAGCGACCGCCTGGGCGGCCGCTGCTCTGTCTGCGCAGCGCTGTCAGGTGCACAGGGAAGCGTGGCGGCGCGGGGACGCGCGGCGGCGGTGGCGAGCAGGCGAGCGGCCCGTGCGCGGCGAGGCGGACAGGTGATCGGCAGGCGGGTGATGGGCCGGAGAGTGACCGCGCCCAGCGATCGGAGGCGAGCCGATCGTCCGGGGTCGCTCGGCCGCAGCTGACCTCGAAGGCGTGCGGAGCGCGACTGTCTGTGTCGGGGGGCGGCCGTCATGTGGCGAGGAGGGAGGACGACAAGTGCGCGTCGTACGGGTCGCTCTTCATCGCCAGTCGAGCGGCACTCAAGTCGAGACCGAAGGAAAGCATGACGGGTTTGAGCCAGGCCCTTGGAACGCCCGTGAAATCTGCTTTGGCGCCAAAGCTTGTGACGAGGTTTGCCACGAAAAGCGTCCCCAGTGGAAAATGGGGGCTAACTGGGCGGCCAAATTCACACCTCGCGGGACTACTTATGTTTTCGTAAACGTAGTCGTGGCCCCCCGCTACGTCGCACGAGTGCAACCGGGTAGCGGGGGGCTATTAGTATCTCTAAAACTGAGTTGCTCATGAAGCGGCGTCCAGCACCCGGATCGATTGCCATTCGCTGTCGCTTGACCTTGAGCGACTCGGAAGCCGATGAGCCGGCGGCGGCGATGTGTCGATCAAGTCTGGCAAGTCATCGTAGTCATTGGAAGGGACGATGCGCGCGTACTGTGGAGAACTGAGCGCTGCCAGAGCTTGTACAAAGCGACGGCAAGCAGGATCAGGCCTGCGACTGCGTGGATGCTCCACATATGTGTGTGGAGTCGGGCTCGCTCGGGCCTCGGCGAAAAAGTCTCCTTGGTGGCGCTTGGCTGCGTAACTAGTTTTCATGAAAAGTTAAACCGGCGAGTTCGAAGCGCCCGACGCCCGTGGCGGTTCGCGAGAAGGAGGGAGAGGGTTTGATTGAGGGGGCTCATGGCAACGTCGCAAGCAAGGACACCGACCAGGGGGGGGTCGGTCGTCACACCTCCCGCCTGAGGGAGGGTGTAGAGGATGTAGAGTGTAGAGCACTGTAGAGCTGTAGAGATGTAGAGCGCTGTAGAGCTGTAGAGCTCTACATCCGCCGCGTGACGAGGCGCCTGCGTTGTAGAGCGATGTAGAGGCGCTCTACAACGTGAAATCTCTACAACAAACTCTACATCATAAGCGGCGAACGAGGCACGGTCGCTCTCCGACATGAGGCGCGTTGCACTTGCCAGTGCTGCCCTGGCCTTCTGTCTGCCCGCCCAATGGGTGGCAGATGCCTCTGCTGCTGTGGCATGCCTCACGGCTGCGACTGGCCGGCGCCTCGGCGCGTCAGCTCGGCTCGGCGTAGCGATCGTGGCCAGCGCAACTCGCCTGGACTCAACGCTCAGCCAGGAGCTCCCGCACGCGCTGGCGCGAGTCATGGCGCAGATAAGGCGTCTGAATGCTCGCCTCGCCTCGCGCAAATGCGACCGTCCTCGCAGCCGACAGTCCACCGCCTGCTAAAGAAGCACAGCGACGAATGCGGCACCGGCGACACATGGCAGGCTGGTCATGACGCAGTTATAGGGTGTTGTGTGCCGTCAGAGGGACTCTCTGTGTGTCAGGGATAGTCAGGGCTGTCCATCAGAGCTTCACTAAGCTCGGTAAAACCCCATTAGCGCGGCTCGACCTCTTTGAGTCACTGCCTTCCCGGCGGTTTGGCTGTAGAGCCTCTACAACAAACTCTACAACAAAATCGCGCTCTACATCGCTCTACAACGCAGGCGCCTCGTCACGCGGCGGATGTAGAGCTCTACAGCTCTACAGCGCTCCAGAGCGCTCTACATCTCTACAGCTCTACAGCGCTCTACACTCTACATCCTCTACACCCTCCCTCAGCCTCCCGCCCGCCGCCGAGCAAGCGAGAGAGAGAGCGACCGACCGGAGGGGGGGTCCGGTCCACATCGGGGGCAGACCACCGACCGGGGGGGGGTCCCCACGAAGTAGGGGGGGGGTACAAAATGAAGCTCACATTAGCCATTTAGCCGGAGACTATAGTCGAGCGCGTCGGAGAGGTGTTTGAATGCAAAGAATGCAAGTTTTAGCTTTGCTTTGCTGTGGTGCTGTGGTCTCCATTGTCCATGCGCAATGCTAGATGCGCGCGCCGACGCCATCGCTGTGCCGTCCTGGCGACGGCGGCTCGGCACCGGCCTCCTCTTCATCCTGGCGACGGCGGTCCTGGTCGCCCTCGTGCCGTCCGACGGGCTCACGCACGACGCCACCGGCGGCAGACGCCTTTCGTCCTCGCCGCCTTTTGCCTCTTCGGCGCCGCGGCATGTCCACCCTTGGGCACAAAGGCTGCACACGCACGCCGCCGAACCTCGCAGCACCGTCGCTCGTGAAGCCGCTGCCCGCGCAGCCGCTACCCCTGTCGAGGACGCGCCCCTCGTCGGCACATGCAGCCAGCCGCGCAACATCTTCATCGACGCCGGCGTCAACTGGTGCAATACGATCCGCTTATTCGAGGATATCGAATACGGCAAGAACGCGACGTTCGCGACCGCGCTACCCGCGCCGTACGACGTCTACGGCCTCGAAGCCTCTCCGCTCATTCAGCCCTTCGCAGAGCAATATTTCAGATGGCTCAACGGGCTGCTTGACGACGAGCCAGAGACGTGTCTGCCGCGCTCGGGCTCGACTGCGCACCTCAAGAAGTACTCGAGCGTGTACGGCTGCCTCCACGCCGATGCCAACAGGATGCGCCAGTGCATGTGGCAGAAGCTCACCAAGCATCTCAACGCTCTCAGGCCTGACCCAAGGCTCAACTCGTCGACGCTCATTGCGGAGCGACTTGACGGCGCGCGGCAGCAGTGCGGCCCGCCGCCGCAGAACCGCTTCACGTTCCTCCCGGCGGCAGCTGGCCACAGCGGCGACAACGCGTGGCTCGAATTCTACGGCCCGCCGCAGCAGCTCGTGCGCGGCGGCAGCATACCCAAGCAATTCGCGCCGCCCTCCTTGAAGGACGGGAGGTACGACTTTCGCGTAAGGGTCGTCAACCTGCCTTTATGGCTTGCGGCGTCCTTCACGACCTCTGACCACGTGGTGCTGAAGATGGACGTGGAGGGCTCGGAGCATGGCATCCTTGAGGAAATGGTGGTTCGCGGTATCATGGGCCTCATCGACGTGCTCTCGCTCGAGTGCCACGGTTCTGGTGGTAACTGCGAGAACCTCCTAGCTCGCGTAAGGCAAGCGCATCCGCGCATCAGGCTGCTTAAGGAGGGGTGGGATCACTCGGGTTATGATTCTCACTCAACGCTCAATAGCGATGAGCAGGCGGCGGTCGCAAAGGCGTGCGAGGCATTCGATCCAGCGCGCTTTACGCTGTCGCACCGCCCTACTGGACCGGCGACCACCCCTGGCCCTGCCGCGCTGCCCTAGCTCGTGCGCCAGTGCGGGCGAGCTTTTGTTAAGAGCCCCCAGCAAAAGTCATCAGGTACATTTTTGTATCTGCAATCTGGTAAAATCCTAAAAATGTATCTGAATTGACTTTTTCTTTTATCTGAGAACGCTGAGTTGACTTTTCCTATTTCAAGCTGCGTCTGAGTCCACGGTCAGGCTCAGGGTGCCAGCCCCGGGCCCCCACCGTGTAAACCGTAAACGGACCTGCACCTGACACAGTACGCTCGGAGAACCCGTGTACTAAACAGTACGTTCCTGGGGGCTGCGCGTACAAGCCCAAACCTCAACTGCTCAGCATGCCAGAGGAGCGGCGGCTGTCAGTCACTGTCGCACAAATCCACGACGGCGGGCTCGGCGCGCGGCCTCTTCCCAGGCGGGCCGTCGCCAGGCGAGTCCACCCTCGTCCGATGGCGGTTCGTGCTGGGGCTGCTGCGCAGTCCGGGCTGCGCGACGGCAGGCTCGACCGCAGACGGTGAGCTGCCAGCAGCGCTCGCTGCCGACGGCGCGGCAGCCGACGGCGCGGCAGCCGATGGCGCCGCCGCCCGCAAGCAGCGCAGCAGCACGGCCCCCACTCGCCGCCGCGGCGGTGCGCCGGCGGCGGCGCGAGCATGGTGCGCAGCGGCGGAAAGCGCGATGTAGGCGCGGAGAGCAGGAATCCGCGTCTCCGCGGCCGACGAGAAGACGCGCGCCTCGCCGTCGCCCGGCCGCACGCCCTCCAAGACCAGCGCGTCGCGGGAGGAGACCGGGAAGACCTAGCGGAGGCGGCGCCACAGCTGTCACGCATCTGGCGCAGATAGCCGCGGATGCCACGAAGCGACGGTGCCGGGAGCTCGAAGCGGAGCCCCTCGTGGCCGAGGCAACCTCGCTCCCTCCAGCCCGAGAACAGGGGGCTCCGGCTGGCCGGCAGCAGGTGCGGCGGGCAGCCCTCATGGAACCTGCGCCGAGCGCGAAGCGCGTGTGAGAGGCGGGTGCGTGTCGTGGTTCGCAGCTCTCGCAGCTTCGTAGCACCAATGCGTGAGCGTGTGGGCGGTGAAGGCGTTTCGAGCGGCCGCGCAAGCGGCTGCCGACGTGCCAGCACTCAGACCCAGATTCTCGGACACCTCCGACGGCGTGAGCAAATCCGCCTATGGGGACATGTCTCGGACATGTCTTGGACATCATGTCGTGGACTCATGGACATCATGTCCGACGGCGTGCGCAGGCGAGCCTTGGAGGCGATGAAGGCGAGATCGCCGAGGTAGCCAGAGTCCAGCAGCTCTCTCCGCAGCGGCAGCGGGAGGAGTGACTTGGCGCCTTTGTCGTTGGCGGCGCGGTTGATCGACGAGACCAAAAGCAGACTGTCCGCGGCCTCCAAAACACGCTCGAGGACGCCGCTGCGGGAGGCGCTCTCGTCGGCGAGTCCAGGCACGTCCCGCAGAAGCACGCCGCCGGCGGTGACCGCAAAGGGGCCGCGGAGGTGGACTCGGGCGACGAGCGGCCAGAGGTGCCTGGGAGACAAGTCTCCGGAGTCGTCCGAGGCGGAGGCGGAGGCGTCGACAAACGGCGCGACGAGATCCGCGAGGTCGGCGTCACCGCCCGCAGAGAGCTGCCGACTCGTGCCAAGCAGCTCGGCCACGTCCAAGCGAGCGAGCAGCGTGGTGGCGTCAGCGAGCGGAGAGCCGTACACAGCCGTGGCCCTCTCCCAGGACGCTTCAGCAGCGGCACTGCTGTCGCCGCCCGCCCTCGCATGCGCCTCGGCGGCGGTCACGGTCTCGCGCCACGCCTAATGGGACGTGTCTCGGACATGTCGTGGACACGTCGTGGACACCTCCGCCGACGGCGGCGACACCTCCTCCGCCACGAACTCGACCGTGGCGCTCCACACCTCGCCCCAGCTCGCGTCGATGACGGTGGCGGTGCACGCGGCGCAGCAGCTGGTCGGGAGTATCTCGTAGCCAAGCAGCGCGTTGAGCAGCGTGCTCTTGCCAGCGCCGGTGTCTCCGGCGACGATGACGTGGAACGGCGGCGCATCGGCGGGCGGCGGCGCAAGCAGCGCGAACGACTCGGGCTCGGGCGCTGCGACGGCGCCTCCTCCGCCGGCGAGGAGGCGGAGGCGGGTCTGAACGGCGCGAAGCCGCAGCTGCACCTCGCCGGGCGGGGCGCGGGGCAGGTTGTCTGGTAGGAGAACGGCTCGCAGCTCGGCCAAACTCATCGAGGTGGCGATCTCCAGCTCGGAGACCTCGGCCTGGTTCACATGTCATGTCGACGCGTGAAGAGACGCGGTTCTCACTCGAGCGGGCAAGCCTCGGAGGTCCCGGGCCTGCCGCATCGCGGCCTCCACCGCCGCCCTGGCCGCCGCAGGGAAATGAGACGCGACCCACCGGACGAGCGCCTCGCCGCTCAGAGCCGGCGCGCCGGCTGCGGGGGCCGAGGCAGAGGAGGAGACAGAGGCGGCCGCCTCCGCCGCAGCCTCCCTGGGTGTCAGCGGGTCCCGCTCGCCGCCCGCCGCCTCCAGCGCCGCGCTCAGCTCCTCCGCCGCCTCCTTGCCGCCCTGCTGCGCCGACAACAGCGCGCGCAGGAGCCTCTCGTACTTGAGCAAGTCGGCCGGCGGCGGCCTCTGGCGGCGCAACGCCTATGGGACAACATGTCTCGGACATGTCGTGGACATGTCGTGGACACCTCAGCCTCTGGCGGCGCGACGCCTCGACTCCCTCCCAGATCTCCTCGAGAGCGGCAAGCTCCTAAACGGTCAGGTGCAGGGCGGCGAGGTCAGGTAGGGGTCCACAAGCTGGTGAGGGGGGGGGGGGGCAACCCTCGCCTTTCCGTGCTCGTCGTACAGCGCGCGACTCGCCTCCTCCTCCCTCAGCTCGGCCGCGCTCGCCTGGCGGGAATGGGAAGGGACCCGGGACGAGTGATCGACTCAAGCCCGATGCGAGTGTCTCGACCAGCCCGGGTGCTCGCCTGCCCAGCTGCCGACTTCATGACCTCGAGCTCGCCTATGAATGAATAGTTCAGCCTTAGGCATTAGTTCTCAATGACTACTCTGCACGTCCTCGAGCTCGCCGCGGTGCGTGGCTGTCCGGCTCGACAGCACCTTGACCGAGAGCAAACCTTCGAGCCCCTTGGCTGCCGCCGCAACGGCGAGGGAGGTGTGTCCGCCGTGAGTGAAGGCCGGCCCGCCGAAGACCTGCGCATGACGTCTCATATGAGTTCACCTAGGAAGCTCATTTCGCCTACCACTAAAGGAGCACCTCCCGCTGGACGTCGCCCGATCGCTGGTCAAGAAACCGCTGCACGCGGTGGCAGTCGCGGCAGACGCTCCGAAGAGGCTCTGGAGGGGCGCCGACGCTGCCTGCAAAGGCACTGCGCCGCTCGTCGCCGCGGTCGCAGACCAAGCGCGCGTTCACAGACCAGTCCTTGAGCGGCGGCGGCCTCGCTCTCAGGGTGCTGCGCTTGGCGTCCAGCGCCGCCGAGAGAAGCTTGCGGAAGGCCGACTGCTGCCGGTCGGTCTCGTCGATGGCCTCGTGCAGCTTGAGCACCGAAGAGACGAGCACCTGTGTGGCGTCAGCCGCACTCTTTGCGAAGGCGACAGGGCGAGGAGGGCGAGGCGGCCGGGCCGTCATCACCTCGGTCGACCAAGCGCCAGACACGTTCTCGACGATCGCAGCCGCGACCCGGTCGCGGCAGGTGGAGAGGCCGTGAGTGCCGAACCTCCCCGCCGCGACGTACCCCAGCACCAGCGCCTCCTGCAGCTCCTAGGATAACGCAGACGCAGCGCTAGCGAATAGCGTCGGAAGTGGAGTCTCTACCTATGAGCGGCCCCCGAGATGCCTTTGCGCCAGCGCCGAGCAGCAGCCTCCCGATCGATGAGCGATGTACCGTTGCAGGCGCCTCGGTGACAGGATGGCGGATGGCGCCGAGAAGCAGTGCCAGCCACTCGCCGCTGCACGCCACCGCCGCCGCGTGCGCCTCGTCCGCCAAAAGCACCGTGATGGCCCTCAGCAAAGGTGCGCTGCATGGGAGAGAGGACTGCAGCGAGGGCAAACACCGCTCCGCCAAACCCATGACGAGGAGGAGTCCGGCGGTCTCGACGAAGCGAGGCGACGCAACCGAAAGGATCGGAGCATCTGCTCCCTCCGCCGCCCCCTCCGCCAACCGTGCGCAGAGCTGCCGCACTGACGAGTCCGCAAGGCTATTCCACGCCTCACTGTCGGGCGGCAGGTCCGTGCGCAAGCTCACAAGCGCTCTCAGGAAGGGAAGAGAAGCCGCAGGAAACCGCTGCTCGTTGTGCAGGATGGCGCGGGTGGCGATGCCACGCCGGTGCTGCAGGCCGCCTTCGGCCGCTGCGACCTCGATCGGTGCGAGAGTCCTCACAGAAGCCCGCAATGTTCGAGCCAGAGCGTTCTCTCCCCCTCCTCGAGACTGGACACTGGCCGCCGGCAAGCGAAGCCGTGGCTCAAGCTCCACGGCGAGGTTGACGCAGTGGCTGTCCGAACCCTCCTCCTCCACCTCGTCTCGCAACATGAGCAGCAGCTCCCACCCGCTCGCGTGCAAAGCCTCCAAGCCGCTTTCCGCCATTGCCTCGCAGAAGCACGCCCGAATCGATGCCTTCAGCGCCGGCCAGCCGTGGAGGCGAATAGCGTCCGCGAGATGACGTGACACGTGCAAGGCACCCAAGCCACAAGGTGAGACTGCCAGGCATTTTGCTGCTGTCTCCACGACCCTGCTGCAATCACAAGCGGAGACGCCGGGCCGGGCAGCAAGCTCGAGCAGCTCGAGCGACGGATCGAGCCGAGCCGTGCAAACTTTCAGCAGGGAAGACACGTCCTTGCTCCCGGCGAGCGACGCCTCGCTGGGCGCGCGGCCGGCTTCGACCTCGTCGAGCGCAGCGCGGAGCCGCGAGATCGCAAACTCAGGCGGCAGCACGCCCAGCCTTGACGCGCGGGGCCACAGCACGAGAGCTTCTCGAGAGAAGCGCTCCACGAACGGCTCGGTCTGGGGCCAGACCATGCCGCCGCCCTCCGTGGCGTCCGGCTTCTCGCCCTCCCAGTAATCGGCCTATTTCACCCACGAACTCTATCAGTCCGTTCTCGCCCTCGCGTTCATGAGCTGAATACCAATCAAATCTCGTGCTAGACGAGCGCCTGAGCATACTCCGTGCCGTCGAGCGAGAGCAAAGCGCAATGCTGCGGAGTCACACCAGCCGCGGCGAGGCGATGCGGAACCTCGTGCCAAACGACGCTCAGGTCGATCTTGAAGGGCGGCCCATGGCTGTTCAGCCGAGTCACGGCGCGCGTCAGAGTCGCCAGCAGCACGTCAAAACCCGCCTCGTGCAGAGCAGCGGAGAGCGCGGCCCCGTCACCCTTCAGCGAAGCCAGACTCGTCGCCGCGGCGCCGGCGGCGTCGCGGGGGAGAAAGTAAACGAGCTTGGAGGGAGGCGCGACGCCGCTGCCGCTGCTTGGCTGCGCGGTGCTGCTGCCTTCGCTGCTGCCGCCTCGCCGCGACGCCTCCCAAACGGTGGCCAAACGCGCGAGCCGCTCTGACGCCGAAGACTGCGACGGAGGGAGGGGCACCGTGCCGTCCGTTCGTAGGTCGTAGATCAAGCTCAATCGGTGGCCTTGGGCGGGTGGATGTCGCGCGCTCTCGCAGCGTGCGTAGAAGGCCTAGTAAGCCAAGCTGATTGTGGGACAGTAGTTGATCAGTCGCCTCACCGGAGCGGGAGAACTCGGCCTCGACGCGCGAGCACCGCGCCGCAACCGCCGGCTCCGCCTCTTCAAGCAAACACTGGTGCCGGCGGCTGCGGACAACCAACGCGCCCCCCGAGCGAACCGACGGCAACGCGACCTCCAGCTGCGCAAAAACGCCCTCACGCAAGTCTGTCGCGGCCGAAGACGACGGCGGTGCGCTACCAGCCGAGCAGAGCCGCAACCCTCGCAGGACAGAGCTGACCTCCGTCGTCTTGTCGACACCGAGCGCCCTCAGCGCCTTGCGCACAGCCGGCCGGAGAGACTCCTCCCACTCTTTGATCGCCCCCAGCTCCAGCCTCTCAGCCCTGACCCAGACGCCGCAGCCGTCCGAAGCTGGCTCGCCCAGCGACCGGAGCGCCTGCGCGTGCGCCTCTGGCAGCGGGAAAGCGACCGGCTCCGCCATGCCCTCCGCCCGCAGCAGCGGCGGCACAAAGTCCACCGACGCCGCGTGCGCGAGAGTGCCTATAGCAACGTTCCTAGAGGGCTCCCACATAAGGCTCGTAAGTCGAACGACGCCGCGGTGGCAAGCGGACCAGACGGCTTGAGGCTGGCAACCACCCGCAATAGGCGCCTGCGCACGTCTGCCTCCCCGCCCTCCTCGTCGTCGCTGCCACCAGCCGGCGGGAGGGCGGGCAACGCCGCCGCGAATGCCGCGGCGTCAGGCGCGGGCTGCGGCGCAGGCGGCGGAGCGGCTGCCGCCCCAGCATCCAGCGCCGAGCCGTACAGCCGCGCCAGCTCCTCGTCCCCTCGGACTGCGGCGGCGATGTGCCTCGAGAGCAGAAGCACGCGCGGCGAGCACAGCTCCGCCTCCGCCGCAGGCCGGTAGAGCACTCCTGTGGGGCATGTCATGGAGCAGTGCATGGTCATGGACGTGCCATGGACACCTCCGCCGCTGGCTGGTAGAGCTCTCCTCCCGGCGGCTGCGGCGACGCCTCTTCGTACGCTTCTCTGCCGGCGAGGTCGAGAAGCTCCTCGAGCAAGTACCTAATTATGAGTGCGTCGTCAATGACTACTCAGGCGCTGTCGGCGAGGCGAAGAGCTCCTCCGTCGAGAGACTTTGCGACGGCGGCGGCGCCGGCGGCGGCCGAGGTGTCAGGGCCACCCGGCAAGCCAGAGAGGGCGGCGAGGAGGAAGGGGGCGGGCGGAGGGGCGGCGGGAGGGGGTTGCGACGGCCGCGGCGGCGGCGGCGGCTGCATCTTTGGCGACTTGACGTCAGAGCCGCCCTCGCCTGTTCTCAATTCATACCAGCAATTTGCTAATTCATCAGACTTGGCGGCACGCCGTCTGAGCCGCCCTCGCCGCCCCTCGCTTCGCCGCCTTCGCCCCCTCCCTCCCTTCCTCTCACCGCCAAATCAAACTCATCCAGGCACATGTCGCGGAGGTCCCCGCTCGGTAGCACCGCACCCACTGCACTCCGCACCGCACCGCTGCCTCCTCGCCCCCCGCCGCCGGCCTTCGCCGCCACCGCCTCCAGGGTGGATCGGACCAGTCGCCAGCACCGCAGGGCCGAGCCGGAAGGAATGCGGAGGGGGGCGGAGCGAGCCCCGTCTGGGTGAGCGCGGGCGAGCAGCTCGCGCACGCCTGGAGAATTCTCCAGGATGAATCAATCGATGACTTCATTCGGCTTGGCTGTAGCAGCAGCTCCCGCACGCCTTCCGCCGCGAGGTCGTCAGCACCAGCCTGGCTTGCACCCGCCTCCGGGGCGGCGGAGGACGACCCGCCCGCCTCCTCACCTGTCTGCGGCTGCACTGCCGGCGCCGCTGCTGGGTGCGGCTCCACCGCTCCAATATTGCTCTGCGGGTGCGGCTCCACGGCTGAAACCCCGGCTGCTGGGTGCGGCTCCACTGCTCCCGCCTGCGCAGCCGGGGCGGAGGGCGGCTCTGGTGGAGGAGGAGGCGGCGGCTGGCTGTCCTCGAAGATGAAGCTGTCGTGGCCCGCGCGATCGCCTGGCGGCTCCACCTCCATCTCGTCCTCCTCGCCCAGCGAAGCCTCCTCCTCGCCCGCCTCGACGGAAGAGGCGGCGGCAGAGGCGGAGGCGGTGGAGGCGGCGGGGTCGGCAACGGCTCGGAGGACGTAGCGAAGGTCGTTAGCGGCCGACCGTGGCTGGCTGGCCGGCTGCCCAAAGGTCACCACGCCGCCTTCTCCCACCACGGCGCTCGCCGCCGCTTCCGCCGTCGAGAGGAGGAGAGTGGCTGAGGCGCCGTGCTGCACTCGGCAGCCGTTCTTGCGCGAGACGTCCTCGATGCGTACGCTCCTGCCGTCCTCGGAGACGTGGATGACGGCGTGTCGCCGCGAGATGTGCCCAGCGCTGAGCGAGATGGTTTGTGAGTCGTCGCGGCCGACGGTGAGCTTCGCGCCCGGTGCGAGCGCAATTCGCGAGGGCCGGCCGGCGCGTGCGCCATTCACCGTGCTCACAAGAGCGAGCTCCATCGCAGAGCGGTGTTTGGCGACGTATGGAGAAGGGTCACGACAATGGTCGGAATGTCGATTGGAAGTGGAGAGCGCGCGAGGAAGAGTCGCCCGCGCTGCCTTTTTTTTACGAGGTTCTCTCGTCTCGAGGTTGTTCGAGGGGGATATCCTTTGGCCGCGTTGGGTAGCGAGGATTGGTGTGACGCGATCCACGCAGGCGTGTTTTCTGACGGCCGACCGACCGTCAGTGCACGGAGTTGCCCCTTCTCCGACTGCCCCGGCTAGTTCCCGAGGTCGTCGGGTGTGACCCCTCCCTGCCTGCGTCCCCCGCCCGAGACCTAGCGCGGGTGGGTTGGAGGGGGCTCGCTGCAAGGAAAGGCGGTGTAAGAAGCCAATCCCCGTAGTCCGCCCCGCTCCTCCCCATCGGGCCGCATAAGCGGCCACGCCTCGCAGATTCGTTTCTCGCGCCTGGGTCAGGCGCGCGGGGCATCCCCCGGGTCTGCAGCTGCTGTCGAGCCGAGGCGGCGGCAGCCGCCGCAGCTGCACCGCCTCCCGTCGCGCCGCGGTCGCCGCTCCCTCAGCGCCGTCTCCGCGTCGTCACCCGCCGTAGCTTCTCCTCCGCCGCCGCTGCCCGCCCCCGAGAGTGCGGCGGCGGTGTGAGTGGTATAGTCAGGGTATAGTGCAAGGGAGGCGTGTGTGCGTGTCTGCCGCAGATTGCTGCCGTTGTCTGCGCCGCGATCCGCCGCCGCGGGCGCCGCCGCGCCGCCGCCGCCTGCGCTCGCCGCCGCCTCGTAGACGACTCCTCTCCGGAGAGCCGCGCAGCGGGCCGCGAGGTTGAGGTCAGAGAGCAGCAGGGTTGAGATCACAAAATCGGCCAATTTTGAGGTTGCTCGAGAGAGCCTGGAAATGGTCCCGCGCCGTAGCCCCGGTGCCGGCGCATCACGTCTCAGCCGCGAGGGGCCGGTTCTGCCGCGCAGTCGAGCAGCAGGAGGCCAGGAGCTCAGGGGCAACTTTGATCTTTGTCGACAAACCGGTTTCGGCGAAGACTTACGAGGACACCGATCCGAACGAATTTTTCGACTGCCTTTTTTCGGAAGGTGCCGCAATGTATGCAGAAAGGAGAGGGGGGGAAAGGGAGATTTACTTGGAGCACTTGGCGGCAAGACTTGCTTGGGAGTGCGGTCATCAACCTCACATCCAGGGCCGGGGAGCTATGAATGAATGAAGCGCCACCCCCAGACAAAAACAAAACATCTCTGACTCTCTCTCCCTAGCTCTCTCCCACCCAGCGGGCCGATGATCGCGGCATCGGGCTGCGGCCTAGAGAGCCCTCCCTGACTGACCCTGTGGGGTGCGCGGTCGCAGGGCAGGGGTTATAGAATCTTACAACAAAGCTCCCGGGGATTTAGTAGCTTAACACGGGGTCCCGTACCGCGCGGAATCGACCCTATCCAGTGCTCAAGTGCTCAACACGGTGCGGCTGGGGGCCCCGGGGGTGTGGGCGCTCGGCGCTTTGACCACCCAAGACAGCTTGGAGAGCTCCCGGTCCCGCAACATTTCGTAACGATTGTCGCTATTGGCCATCTGCCTCCTTCTCTCTCCTTCTTCTACAAATGTCGTCGGCACCGACGGAGCCCGACGTTGTTGTGACCGGTTTCGTGAGCCCGGGACCGGCGCCTCCGCCCTCGAGCGAGAAGAAGAACGGCAAGGCGAAGAAGACGCTCGCCGACATCCGTGGCTTCTGCGACCTGCCGGCGTCCACGACCGCAACCATCGCCACTGGCGGCATGGGCAAGAAGAAGGGCAAGCCGATCGAGGCAAAGATCCACCAGGCCGTCCACCAGAAGAACGATAAGGTGGGCCAGCTCACGGGCCGCGCCATGTACATCGTCAATCCGGTGTATGATGACAACGCGGCGTTCAAACAGCTCATGAGCGACAAGTTCTACCAGAACCCGCGCTACTTCAAGGACCTCGGATGTGGGCGGTCCGCGCGCCGAGCAAGGAACTGGCGGTGGTGATGCGCCTCACGCCGCCATCCTCGCCTCACCTAATCTCCGCACCACGGGCAAAGCGGCTCAACCCCGAGCTCGACGTCTCGCCCATGGACAACCCGGCCATCAAGCCACTCGAGTTCACGCTCGTCATGTCGGCGACGCAGTTTGAGACGAAGGAGAAGGGCCTGCTCCCGCCCTCGCTCGTCATGATGGGCAAGAACACGTATACGAAGTCAAGGACTACGTCAAGGCCAAGTTCCCCACGGTCGACTACGTGGACCTCGTCTTCCCCGGCCCGGAGGGCCCGAAGAGCATCATCAAGACAGCCTGTGGGTGCTTCCCATCGCCGCCCAAACCGCCTGGACTGGCACCCTCGAGGTGGATCTCGAGTTCTCGACGCGGAGGACGACGACAGCGACGAGAGGAGGACAAGCAGGACGGCAACGCGCTCTTCGACGACGAGGCTGAGGAGGAGGAGAAGGAGGAGTAGGATTCGGCGTGGCGCGTCTACTTCCTGCGAGACGAGAGCGGTCGGAGGACTCTTACGTCGGCGCGAGCCCCGGACCCCGTGGCCGACGACTGCGCCAGCACAACGGCGAGCTCTCGGGAGGTGGCGCGCCCGCCGCGGGACGGCCGTGGCGCATTCTGCTCGTTGTGCGCGGCTTCTCCTCGAAAAGCGATGCGCTCGCTTTCGAGTGGGCGTGGCAGAAGCCGCACACGAGCCGGCACATTGCGCGACAGCGGGGTGTGTGTGAACGCCATAGGAGGTATTTTCTTCTCAATAACAAGGCTGTGAAGGGGTTCGGGAAGTGCGGCACGCGGTCAAAAGTGTCGGTGCGGTTAGCGGCGCTCGCGCGCTGCTCGTGCACGGCCATTGGGCCGCGTGTGCGCTTCATGTCCGTGTGTGTGCTCCCGAGGAGTGTGGAGAGGCGTTGCGGGACGTCCGCCGCGCCGCCGCGGGGCTCACGTGCGGACCGCCGTGAAGCGAGTTCTTTGACTTTGATGTCGCGCATGTGCATGCACATGCTCATGCACATGCACATGCACATGCACATGTCGGGAGACTGATGGGTCAAAAGCACAACTCGTCAATCGACACGTCGCGCGCCGATCCGCACACCGAGGTTCTTGGTTGGCGCGGCCCATTCACGTAAACGCACAACCCCGGACCCGATTCACACAAAAACACCCCAACCAAAGTAAGACGCCCCGCCGTGGTCCAGGAGCCAGACTTCCTAAGACGCCGGCTCACCATTCCTGCGATGAAGGGCACGCACCGGACCTGGTATCGCTCAGACTATCGGCCGCCTCCGCGCCCCGCCCGGCCCGCCCTTCCGCTCGCCGCCATTCCGCCGGCCGCCCTCGCCGCCATTCCCGGCCGCAACTCTCGCGCGCAGACGCGGGGGCCTTGGGGGGTCGGGTTCAAGGGGCGTAGGCGGCGGCGCAAGTGCTGGCGGCCGACGAGCGCGGCCTACAGCCGGCGCGCCTACAGCTTGCGCCACGCCGCCACCCCGTCCCTCGCCTCCCCCTTCAACCTCATCCCGTACGGCAGCAATCTCCCTTCGGACGGAGGGGAGCCGGCCGACTGCGACAACCTGGGGTGGCTCGACCCGTGGGGCACGATGCTAGGCGAAGACCTCGCCGCCCCCCCGCGGGCGGCCGACGAGGCGGAGCCCGAAGCGGCCTTCTGAAAAGGGAGCGCGCAGAGACGACCCTCTCCTCCCCCCCCTTCTTCCGGGCCTTCGTCTCGGGGCCCTCGATCCGGACCCTTTCTTCCGGGCTCGCCCCCCCGCCCCCGCCAGCCCCACGCGCGGTGGCATCAGGGCGCGCGCTACCCGTCACAGGCTTCACGGAGGCCTCCTTCGGCCAGAAGCCAGTCGGCGGGTGCCGCGCCTTGCGGGCGTGCAGCGTCTCCCCCCTCTGCGCCCTTCTACGCGAGGGGAGGAGGTGAGCAGAGCGCTCGCGCCCTGCCCGCTGCCCGCGTGCCGCCTCGCCTCCCCGAAGTGCGGTGCGCTTCCCGGTGGGCTGACCCACCTCCGTTGCTTTTGCAGCCTGCCACGCGCCGGCCAGAGCGTGGAGCCCGCCGGCTGGCTTCTGCCTCGCCAAACGGGACGACGCCGCGCCGCCCGCCCGCCCGCCGCCAACCAGCAGCTTTGGGACGCCTCGAAGCCAGGGCACGGTGGCCTCCCGGCCAGCGCGCCGCGCCGCGGGAGAGTGCTGGCCTTTTGCGAGTCTTGGATAGCCTTAAGGGTTTAAATTTCTTTTAACAAAAGAAAAAAACGGCAACAGGGGTTGGTGAACCACGAACTAAATTTCTTCTCCTCCGGCACCACGGCCCGTACTGCACGACGCCGCCTCGAGACGCAAGCGTCCTCGAGATGGCGGACAAGAAGGCCGCGCCTCGCCGCTTCGCTCCCAACCTGAACGCACGGCGCGACAAGAAGGAGCGCGACGCGAGCCACGCCCTCCACCGGCTGCTGTATGACGGCTCTGAGGCTGCTGAGGCTCAAAGCACCGGCAGAGGCAGGGGCGGCCGCGGCAAGGGCGACGGCCGCGGCAAGGGCGACGGCCGCGGAGGCAGTTCGAGCGGCGCCAGCAGCGGCCGAGGCGGGATCCAAGGAGGCGTCGGCGGAAATGCCGGCGGTGCCGGTAGCCCCCGGCGCAGCGGTGCCGCCGCAGCCTCCTCGTCCGCTGCAGCCGCCTCCTCCTCTGCCGACCTTTCGCGGACCGGCGGCTACCAGCTCAAGACGATCAAGATCGAGGAGGACGAGGTCGACGACCCCGGTGGTCGCGCGAGCGGTCGCGCGAGCGCCGACATCGAAGACGGCGCCAGCCACACGCCCGGCGGAGCGGAAGCTCGCCTGCCCCGCGGCGTTGGGGGAGGGAAGGGAGTGACGCCTCCGCGCTGTGTCCCACCCCGCAGGGCCGGCGTCATCGGAGTGGCTCCTCGGCACGGACGCCCCGATCGCGCTGCCGCTGCGCCCGTCTGCGGCCGCCCTCGCGCGCACTCCTGCCACCGCCGCTGAGGTCAGACCGCCGACTATTTCTAGAAATGGTCTGACTCGCCACCGCCACCGTCTATTTCCCCATCACCGCCTCGCCCATCCTCCTCGCCATCGCCACCGCCACCATCTGTGTCCCCTTGCCCACTGCCTGGGGACACGATTCGTTCTGTGTCCGCGTGCGTGTGTCAGAGAGAGAGAGAGAGGCAGCGGGTCGAGGCTGGAGCTCCTCAGCTTAATTAGTTAATTAGTTAATTAGTTAATTAGTCGAGGCTGGAGCTCCTCAGCGACGCAAGGTGGTCAGCGGCACTGGTCGAAGCTAGGCCCCTGCCAAGGCCCCCTTCCCGGCTGGCTCTGCCGCTGCGGCGATGCTCTGCGACGAGGCGACACTTCCTAGACCCTTCCTAGACCCTTAGACCCTTCCTAGACACTGCGAAGACACTTCCCAGAGGATGCTCTGCGACGAGGCGACACTTCCTAGACCCTTCCTAGACCCTTAGACCCTTCCTAGACACTGCGAAGACACTTCCCAGAGGATGCTCTGCGACGAGGCGACACTTCCTAGACCCTTCCTAGACCCTTAGACCCTTCCTAGACACTGCGAAGACACTTCCCAGAGGATGCTCTGCGACGAGGCGACACTTCCTAGACCCTTCCTAGACCCTTAGACCCTTCCTAGACACTGCGAAGACACTTCCCAGAGGATGCTCTGCGACGAGGCGACACTTCCTAGACCCTTCCTAGACCCTTCCTAGACCCTTCCTAGACCCTTCCTAGACCCTTCCTAGACCCTTCCTAGACCCTTCCTAGACCCTTCCTAGACCCTTCCTAGACCCTTCCTAGACCCTTCCTAGACCCTTCCTAGACCCTTCCTAGACAGGCGGGGGCGCCGCTGGGGGCGAGCAAGCCCTCCAGGGCGCCGGCCTGAGTGGGCGGGCAGCTGCTCTTCCTGTAGGCGGGGACACTTCCTAGACACTTCCTAGACTCTTCCTGTAGGCGGGGGCGCTGGTCGGCGAAGGAGGCAGCAAGCTCCTCTTCCTGCAGCGGCTGTCTAGGAAGTGTCTAGGAAGTGTCTAGGAAGTGTCTAGGCAGCAAGCTCCTCTTCCTGCAACTGCCGACCGCGCTGCCTCTCCCCAAGCCGTCGGCGGGCGGCGGCGGCGAGTCCCCCCCCCCCCGTCCCCCCAGGCCGGGTGGCTGCCTTGTGACACGTCCGGGACATGTCCCGGAGTGTGTCCCCACAGGCGACCCCCCGCCCGTCAAGGCGAGCGAGTTCCTCGCCGCTCTCTCGCACGCCAGCGACTACGCCGACCCCGCCGCCGACACCGGCCTCGCGACCGCCAGGCGAGATGAGCCCGAGATGAGCCCGAGATGAGCCCGAGAGCTATCGCCGCCAAACCGAAACCGCGGTCCGCCACCGAACCGACACCCGGTCACCACAGGCAGCTCTTTGACGACGACGCGGCGGCGGCGGGCTTGCGGGGCGAGGTGGAGGTGTACCGCTCGGGCAAGGTGGTGCTGCGCGTGGGCGGCGTCGGCCTCACCGTCCAGCCGGGCGCCGCCTGCTCCTTTGAGCAGGAGCTCGCATGCCTCGTCCCCGCCGCCGCCCCTGCGAAGGCGCCCGCGCCCGGGGACGACGACGAGGAGCCGCCGCCGCCGGTCGACCTGCACCGGGTCGGGCGGGTGCACCAGCGGCTCGTCGTGACGCCGGATGTGCCCGCGCTCCTCGAGCAGGTGAGGGAGGAGAGGAGGGCGGTCGCGGCCGCGCCCCCCAGCTTGCCTGCCGCCGCCCTTGCCAAGCCCAAGGTCAAGGCCGGACGGCCGTGATTGTGAACGGGAGTACACCGCACAACGCAAAATGCAACGACGGAATTGACGGAATTTTTTCGTAGATCAACCATTTCAGCGCCTTTCCCCCCCCTGCCCGCGTGCCCTCTCGCCGCTCTCCTCTCCACACCACCGACACTCGCGCACGGACCGCAGTCAGCTCAGAGTCAAGACACGGAGCCGTCGGCTTTATTTAGCACAGCTACGTGTGTGGCGTATACGTCTCGGTGCACGGGGTAAATAAATAAATAAATAAATAAATAAAAACGGACACCTCTACTGTGAGATGGGTAAAAAGGAACAGGTCCCCGCCCTTGCGATCTTTGTGCAGGGTTCTTTGTGGCACGGGGTGGAACTTAGGCTGTAGTCCGCATGTTTCCTCGCGCACACCCCGTCTCGTTTCCTTTCCGTATTTCTCCACAGCACCCTCTCGTTTCCTCTCTAGTTTCCCGAGGAAACTCCGTGGAAATCAGCTGGTTTGGGCCCCAAATCAGCCAAATCGGCAAAATACCGGGTTATTTTGCCGATTTCCTCGGTTTCGCCTCAGATTTTGGTTTTTGCCCCAGACCAGCTCTCAGACTCGGGGAAACTCGAGAGTTGCCAGAATGGAGCACCAAACATCCTCTAGTTTCCCTGGAAATTTCCGGAAACGCAAAGACCAAAGTGCTGGGGACCCTCTCGTTTCCTTTTTGGTTTCCGGAAAAATGGATAAAGGTGGAACCTGGAACGTGTGTGCGTGCTGCGACCTGCGTGTGCGTCCACTACACGTAATACGACGAGGCACTTGGAGCACTTGGAGTGCAGTCATTAGCCTCACATCCAGGGCCGGGGAGCTAAGAAGCGCACCCAGCGGGCCGGAGGCCATCTGCATCTCACATCTGTGCATCGTCAGGGGCGGCCGTTGGATTGTGCCGGCAAACTCCATTGATGAGCTGCATCCCGGTTGAAACATGCGGTGACACGCAGTGACACGACACGAAATGAGTGCGAGCATCGTGCGGTGCGAGCGGCAGGGCACAGTGGTCGTGACCGCGGTGACGCTGCCCCCTTACTGTGCGGCAGCTCACGAGCTAGGCGCCTCCGCCGATGCTAATGGCGTTGCGCCGTGCATCGTCGTCTCAGCTTCGCTCAGCGCCAGCTGCCGCGAAGGTGCCCACGTGTCGCTGCATGAGGATGCGTGGGCCGGTTGGGCTCCGTCTCGCCGATGCGACTCGCCGCGCTGCGAGTGGCCCTGCGGGTATAGGCAGGTGTGGGTGCTCAAGACGCGCCTGGTCAGCGAAGTGCTCACCTCCGGCCGTGATGCACTTGTGGTGGATGCAGACTGGCGCTTTGTCGCGAGCCCGCTATCATTCTATCGATCGCTGCCGCGCGTTGCCATCATCGGCCTGGCGGATCGGCCCACTGCCGAGGGGCATCTGATCAACTTCGGCCTCATGCTCATCCGTAGCGTACTTTCGACCCGCCGGCTCTTTAAGCGCGTCGCCAACCGCAGTGTTGTCGGTGAGTGCCCTTGCGACTGGAGCTTTGGTTGCTCTGCTCCGGCTCTCCGACCCTCCCTCTCTGCCCTGGTCTACCCAGGCTGGGACCAGCTCATTGCCAATGAAGAGCTATTGCTCTGGTCGGCGGACGGCGACTCCGACGCGGACTGCTGCGCCGCCAACCAGCAGCTCAGAGACTTCTTTCGGCGGGACGAGCGCAGCCATGCGCTCAAGGTGTGCTGACCCATGATCCGAACCCCAGAGGCCCTCACCCTCTAGTCCTAACCCCGGGCCCTAACCTTGACTCGCACGTGTCCAAGGTGGCGTATCACCGCGAGGGCAGCCATTGGGTGAGCGGTCTAGGTCGAGTGGTCTAGACTGCCGCGCTGCTCTCACGGCACGTACAGACCAGAGCGCTCTCAGTCGCTAGTGCGTAGCCCCCTGAGATGACGCAATGCCGCGGTGGCAGGACAATATGCCATTCTGCGACGACCCCGGAGCCTACGGCGCGCTCGCACCGCCCCCGCTTGCCGCATCGCTCGCCTTTTCGCGATGGGAGCCAAACGCCTTCAACATGCACAAGCGCCGCCCGCGGCTGCGGTGTGCCAGCACAGCCTGCGGCCCTCCGCCCAATGTCGGTGCGGGGTCGCGCTCGGCGGGGACGGGGTCGGCGGCCGTGGACTCGGCCTCGGTGGCGCACACGGCGGGCATCGTGGCCGCGGCGCAGGGCGGGCCCAAGCTCCGCATCGTCGCCCACTACAAGTCTGGCTTCCTTTCCTCGTTCCAGCTCCTCGCCGCCGTCTGTTGCACGCCCCTCTCGGTCACCTCAACGCACAACGCCACGGGGACTGGCGCAGCCAGCTGGCGCGCCTGCCGCCAGCAGTGCCCTCGCGTGCGCCAGATATCGCACGAGTTCAACCTCGGCGCACCTCTGCAGCCCCGCCAGACCGTGGTCCACTTCCTTCGACACCCCATCGACATGCTCGTCTCGGGCACCATGTGAGCTGCTCCGCCGCCAGGCGCCTCGCAATCAGCACCCCGGTGAGGCTCTCAGCCGCCGCTGCCGCCACAGGTATGCCCTGAATTGCGCCGAGAGCTGGATGCGCGTTTGGCCGCCGCCGAACGCGGATGCCGCCAAGTTGGCGTGGGGGGAGAGCTTCTACCCTGCATGGCTCCGCTCCTCTTCCGAGCAGACGGCGCGTTCGCCCCTCCGCTGGTCATCGGCTGCTGTACCTGGGCGCGCCGGGCAAGAGCGCGTCGGCGCGACTCTCGGCTCTCGGTGAAGTCGGTGTGTCGAGCTACACTAGGCACTACTGCAGTGCGCTCAGGATGCAGAGCAACAACGCGCGAGGCATGCTCCTTCGAGAGGCGATGCGCTCCATGTTTAGCAAGGCGGGCATCGGCGCGATGGTGCGCGATTTCCTCTTGCTTGAGGCTCACAGCAGGAGCCGGTGCCGAACCGGAGCCACCCCGCCCTGACACTCTGACGATCGAGACCAAACGCCACCGGCACCCTAGGGTCATCAACGTGTGCACCAACGCGAGCTCGCCGCGGGTCGAGATGTCGGACACGCTCGCGTCGGCCCTAGCCGAGGCGCTTGAGAGCTCTAGGGCCGCTGCCATTCGACCTGCCTGACCGCCTCCTTGCGCTCGCAGGCGGCTAGCCTGAAGCCTTCGCAGCTGCGGCCGCCGCCCCTCGCCGAGCTCGAGCGGGGCTTGCGACATCACACCAGCAGGCCTTCCAGGCCTGTTGCAAGCAGGCGGGAGCTGGACGGGGACCTGAATCTGCCGACGACGGAAGAGATGGCCTCCCTGGCGCAGGAGGTGCTTTCCGCACACTTTCTGCCTGAGACGCTGCTCGCCCGATTCCCGTGTAAGAGCCAATACCTTAGCTGAACCTAGGCTGCTTTCGTGCCCCCGGAGGGGAAGTTTTGTGACGAGCGATATATCTCGTAGAACATTGGATTGGAAACGACGCACCTGGGACCTTGCTCACCTGCCGACTTACGCGAGTAGCTCTTAGGGTGTCGAAATTTCCTCGTGGGACGTGAGAGGTGCGCACCACTGTGCGCGCCGCGAGGATGAGAGGAGCCTGAGCCAGGGGAGGATTGGGAAGGGGGGGGAGGCTGCCGGAGGAGTTTGTCGGCCTCTTCGACGGCCCTCGAGCGACGGCCCATAAGGGGCCGTCGGCGTCGCCTGAGACTGTGCCATTTGTCGATTTGTGAGCACTTGGAGCACTTGGAGTGCAGTTGGTAGCCTCACATCCAGGGCCGGGGAGCTAAGAAGCGCACCCAGCGGGCCAGATGCTCGGAGACGGGTTGCGGGCTAGAGAGCCTGGAGGTTAGGTAAAGAAAGAAAGAAAGAAAACAGACAACCCAAGGGAGGGATGGGAGAACGTGGAGAACGTGGAGGTTAGGTAGGAGGTGAAGTGCGCGTCGAATTCTTTATCTCCGCAAGGACTGAGTCGCTGTAGAGTGCTTTGGTGCGGGGTGACTCGTTGTTGCATGCCGGCCCAGTGGCTTTTGCTGGCGGCCCAGTCGCTTTTGCTGCTTCTCGGATGCTTGTCGGTCGACGCTCACTCGTTCAAGACTTGCACGAAAGCTGATCACGTGCGTGTACCGCTCGCGCGGAACAGACGTAGCTTCCGCCAGGTCGCATTGATCTACCGCAATCGATAGGTGCACGCTTCGCACCTGATCCTGGTGCCGGACGAGCCGGTGCCCGGGAAGGATGTCCACGTCAATGTATCGGTCAAGCCCGACCTGGTCGTCACGGGCGGCACGGTCGGAATCCAGGCCTCTCTCTTTGGCGTCGCCGTGCCTGGCGGCGGCAAGGACTACACCATCTGCCACGTCACCAAGTGTCCGGTCACCGCCGGCAAGAACGCGACCGTCACCCTCAGTTACCCACGTACGTGCGCCGGCTGCGCGCCGCTCCTCGCCGCCCTCCCTTGAATCTCTCCCCGCCCTGCCGCGCCGCCGCAGTCTCAAAGCTCATCCCTTCTGGCATCCGGCCGACGCTTCGTGTCGACGTCAAGGACGGGAGCGGCAAGGAGATCGGCTGCCTGGAGGTAGCCCCCCCCCCTCCCCCCCCCCCCCTCCCCCCGTGCCGCCCCTTCCCCCGACCCGACACCGTTGCTCCTCAGTTCGACGTCACCATCGGCAGCCGTGGCGCGAGTCTCAGCGACCACTCCAAGCGCCGCCTCGAGTTCGAGCGCGCTGTGGTGGAGGAGCCCGAGTGGCGTCCCGTCTACGAGGCGTGGAGACGGGAGGCCGCTTAATAGGGCGCCGCCGGCTCGAGCGAACGCCGGCCACATCGCACCTGTGGCGTGTGGGTGGCGCGCGCGTCGCGTGCGCCGCGCACGCCGCTCGCCGGCGCATGCGCCATGCCCCGCCACGGGGCGGCCCGGGGCGGTTGGTCGGGACCCGGCTCCCGTCGCTATGATGTTTACTAGCTAGCTCTAGGTTTCGAACGACGGCTGTGTTGAGACACTCGTCTTCACAAGAGTCTTCTCTCTGTGACTTCTCTCGCTTGAAAAAACTGTTTTCAAGTCTTCAAGGCAAAACACAATGCTCTGCGGTTGGTGCACCCCTCACACTGACACATTCCCCTCATCCCCTACCCTTGGCTGAGCACATCTACCTGCGAGCTAGCATCTCCGCATTTTCTCTTCCAGTCATCCGCCCGCGCCGCGCGCCATCTCGTCTGGGCGTCTATAGTGTGCAGCAGCCACTGACAGAGAGCTATTCCGAAGGAGTGGTCGACGCCTCGCCTTTCTCTCTCTGTGGTATATGCTATGGGTCGTATGTGTCGACTGTCGTCGTAGTTACCAGTTTACGTTGGGCATTTCGACACAAGATCTCAAGATGGCGCTTCAACACATTTTAGAGGAGGTGAAGCCTGCCGCGCCGCACGCCCGCAGCCCCCGCAGCGTGCACAAGCTCCCCAGAATACCATGCGCGCCGGCGCCTCAACAGGCCCCCAAACACCACAGGGCTAGTTCTCCTAGGATGTGCGATGCGTCGCTCTAGTCCTTGACGACGGTGCTCTTGGCGGAGACGTAGATGCCGTCGAGGAACTTGCGGATGTCTTTGTTCTTGACAGCGCAAATGTTCTGGATCAGCGCGCTGCGAGGAGGGGTGGCGCGAGGAGGTGAGCGGTGGGCGTCGGCAGCGTGCGTGGCGTTGAGGTCTGCGCGCGCGAGGCGTCGGCAGCAGCCGGAAGCGGGGAGGGTGGCAGGGTGGGGGCAGAACGGGGTGGAGAGAGGGGGGGGGGGGGGGCTCTTGTGGCTAGGGAGCATGTAGCAAGTGCCCTCTGCTGCTGGGGGGTGGGGGTGGGGGTAGAGCGCGGTGGCAGAAGGGGAGGAGGCGGGCCCACAGGAATGATCCAGAGGGGGGTGGGGGGGGTCGCACCACGTGCGCGAGACGGCGTCGATGTCGTTGCCCGAGAGGACAATCTCGTCCTTGACGTCTTCGCTCCTCTTGACGGTGGTGTCTGAGGTGGAGGGGGGGGAGGGGGTGTTGCAGCGGCGTGGGACGGGGCGGGAAGGCGCCGGGACGCGGCCGCAGCCGACGACACCGGCCAGGGGAACCCAGGCCGGGGGAAACCACGCCAGTGGCAGCGGCAGCGGTGGCGGCGCGGGCGGCGGAGCGAGAGTGACGGCGGCGATCGGAGCGGCGGCGCGGCGGCGAAGGTTGGCGGCGGCGACGGTTTTGCGGCCCTCCTTGACGGCGGAGCAGCGCTTGTTCTACCTTTGGGGCGGCGGCGGCGTGCACCTTTGAGGGCGTCGACCACGCGGATGACCTTCTCGCCAAGGAAGTTGCGGATCTCGACGCGCTTGGCGCCGTTGGTGATGGAGACGTTGATGGGGAAGTGGGAGTACACGAAGCGCATCTTGTACTCGAAGCCCTTGGTCACGCCCGTCATCGCATTCTCCATGTGGCTCACGCACGTGCGGATCGACGCCGTCGCCTTGCCGCCAGTGAACCACTTCTCGACAACCACCTTGCGCTCGTCCGAGCCCTCCTCGAAGAAGATGTCGATCGGCATGTGCTTGAAGCTGAGCTCGAGGGAGCCGCGCGGCCCCGTCACCTTGACGGCACGCGACTTGATCGCAAACGTCACCCCGTCGAAGATATCGAACGTTTGTCTCTTCTGGGTGAATTTCTACGGGCGGGGCGGGGGCGCGCGTCTCAGGGCGGGGCGGGCCGTCACGGGGGCGAGGCGCGCGGAGGGCGCCGCTCGATGCGGCGGAGGGCCGCACCATGGCTGCTGCGCGGAGAACTGCTGCGCCTCGAGAGCCACGAGTCGCGACGGAATTCTTTTTCTCCGAGACTCGTTTTTTTGTTAGGCCGGAAAGTGTTTCAAAAAGAAAAATGGGGCCCACTCCTCCCAAACCCTGTCAGCAGAGTCCTCCTACGGGAATGTACGTAAGAGCCTGCCATGGATGTTAGTCATCACACGCATGCCCCTCCGTTGGGATTGAATGAATGATTTAACAAGCTGCCGAGCCCAAATCACACAGTGAGAGTCGTGATTTCTTGTTGGTTAATAAAAATCTCTCTCTCTCTCTCTGGAATTGCGAGAGAGAGAGATTGCCCTCAGTCAATACATGTAATTTTTACTTCTGTCATGGAACTCATGAGCGCATTGCATCAAGGAGAGAGAGATTTTTGTTTGTTGTTGTTTGCATCAATGTTTTGCCACGCGGTCGATCCGGATCCATCCCCAGCGATCCCCCAGGTCCCCACCCATCCCCACCCATCTCCCCACCCATCCCCACCCATCCCCACCCATCCCCACCCTCCACCCATCCCCAGCTCGCTCGATCACACACCCCAAGAGCCCTTGGGGAAATCCGTTCGCCAATCGCCATACGCTCCGAGCGGCATGCGTGTGATGACGAACATCCCATACACCAACAAAAACCTCCACCACACCGCCGCCGTCGCCGCTCACGCCGCCGCCGCCCTCCAGCTCGCCCACGCCGCCGCCACCCTCCACCTCCACCACACCGCCGCCGCCGCCGCTCTCACGCCGCCGCCGCCCTCCACCTCGCCCACGGCCACGCCTCCGCCGCCCTCCACCTCTCCACCACCCCGCCGGCACTGCCGCCCACACCTCCGCCGCCCTCCCGCTCCCCCTTGCCTCCGCCACCCTCCACGCTGCCTCCCCCGCCGCCACCCTCTCCTTCGCTTCCCCTCTCCACCACCGCCCCCCTACTCCACCCTTCGCCCTCCCCCGCCCGCCCTCCCCCCCGGCCTACCGAACCACCCACCGCCCGCCCATGTCGATTTCCGCCCCCCGTTCCCGCCCCTCCGCCTTCGCCATCCCCCATCTGTGCGTTCCACTCCGCCCGCTCCCTCCCGCTTGGCGCCCATCCCGCCCTCCGCCCTCGCCCTCCGCCCCTGCCCTGGCTGGCCTGGGTGGCATCTCCTCATCAGTCATCATTCACGCGCCAAGTGGGAGGGAAGTGTGGACGGGGCCCTGAGCCGACCTAGCCGCCAAACGGAATGGGGCGCCCAAGCAACACGTACCGGATTACTGTGCCTTCCACAGCCTTTCGGCTCGTGATACGTGAAGGGTCGGTGCGTGTCGTGGGACCTCCTGGAATCTTCCTGGAACACCCGTTACCCCCGCACCAAGCACCATCTCCGTCGCTTGGTTCTATAACCTTGCCACCACCGGGAGCGGCCAGGCAGGACTCATAAGACTCGGTCGAGAGACCCCAGATTGGCACTCATGCCTCTCTGGACAGGGTGGTGTGAGTGAGATTTGTTTGTCAGGGTGGTGGCCCGCCACAAGGACCCCAGGAATTGCGACTCGCCGCTTTCCTCCCGCTGTGATTTTGTGTGAGCTCTGTGTCAATAGACCTACAACAAAAAAGAATTCTTAAAAACAAGCCCTCGTAGACGACAAAAAAAAGAATCGCAGAACGTCGAAGTGTCGGCGTCGGCCCGCCGACCGAGAGTGGGTTGTTTGCATGCTCGACCAAAACATCCCCGGGCTCGACTTGCCGAGGACGCCCGTGCCGCCTCGATATCGGACGATATCGGCTGAGGAGGCCACGCAGACGCCACCTCAGCCCTCGATCGCCGCGACGCAGACGCTTCCGCTGGTCGTGGAGAGCGCGATGGCCGCGCGGGCGCGGGCCGACGCGGGAGAGCGCGCTAGGGAGCAGGCGATCAGCGAGTGGGACCAGCGCGCCGCCGAGGCACGCGAGCACGAGCTCAGCTTGCGCGAGCGGGCCCTCGCCGAGCGAGTCCTCGCGCGGGAGGAGTCGCTGCTGCGGCGGGCAGAGCAGGCAGAGTTGGAGCTGAAGGCCGAGCGGGAGAGGGCCGCCCGGCGGGAGGCGGAGCTCGAGGCGGCGCTGCACAGCCCGGAGACCGCCGCCGCAGAGCAGCGCCGCAAGGAGGAGGACGCGCTGCGAGAGTGGAACCGGCGGGCGGCGCGCTGCAACCCTCACTTTCCCTTCTCGCCCGGCTTGGCCGGCAAGGTGGGAGCGGTGCACTGGCCAGCGCGGCCGGAGCTGCGGAAGAGGTACGCGCCGATGGCCCGCCTCGACACACCACCCTGGCAGCCCGCCAGCCGCGTCTGGCAGCACTAGGCTCTGGCCAGGGAGGGGCCGGTGCCGGCGAGGGCAGCCTTGCAGCCTGCGCATGAGGCCGCTGCTGCAGCCGGCCAGTGATCGGGACTGGGTGCTCCGGTCTGATGCGAGGTTGCCTCTGCCTAAGCTGGAGCTTGCGTGAGAAAAGGGTCTCACTGGGGCGGCGGAGGGCAGGGTCTCGGCCCCCGCGGTGCGCGGGGACACACCTGACCTTTGAAACGATTGTGGGATTGTCGATTCGATTTGACGATTTTAGAGCGCGTGTGACTATTTCTACCTTGTATGTGCGAGCTACATGAACATGACGAGCGGAGAGGCTTTCTCCTAGGGTTTCTCAACCGATGTCCGATCAGTCACATCTCACTACTCACAACACACACAAGTCACATCTCCGCCCCGGACAAACGACACATACATCTCACATGCCGCTTATACTGCCGGGCATGTCACATGCCTCCCCGTCCAGCGGTACGAGCGTCCCGTCGTGCGTGCCGCTCGTCGCCCAAAACTCGGGGACCGGAGACGCGTCGGTGTACCAGATCGTGAGCGCAAACCGCTGCGTGGCTGGGCGGAGGATCGGCAGCACCTCGTGAGGACAGCGCTGGTCCGCCAGAAACAGCACCAACCGGTCCGCGACCGGCGCAATGTCCGCCTGCGCGTCGGCACACCGCCTCCGCCCCACCCCGACCGCCTCCTCCTCCTCGTCTTCTTCGGAGGAGTCGGCGGTGGCGCACTGCGGCCCGTACAGCCGCAAGCAGCCGCCGTCCGCGCTGGCGTCCCACGCGCCGGCCTGCTGCAGATAGTAGACCGCCGTGAGCACCCTCGGGCTGCAGCGCGGGCCTGTTCACACCGGCGATTGTGAAGAGGCGCCGGACACAGCCTCCCACTGCTGCCGCGCGCGCCTCTGCCGCCCGGCACGGGCGCGCAGTCATTGTCGACGTGCCTCCGAAAGAAGTCCCCGGCGGCGTATCGCGAAAGCATGGGCTTTTGCCTGCCGACGACGGCGGCTAGGGCCGGGCAGTCTGCGGCGCGCAGCAGCCTCACGATTGCGTCTGTGCGCGCGCTCAGCTCCCCGAAGCCATCCGGATCCCAGCAGACCTGATCCGATCGCGCGTCGGTCCGCGAGCGGTCCGCGGCCGGCCGAAGATGGAGCGACGCTGCCTTGCACGCGCCGCGCAGGCGCACCGCGGCGCTGGCTCCCGCGAAGCCGTCCACAACGGCAAAGTGCCGCCTGCGCAGCGACGTGGCGACCGCGGCGACCGCATCTGGCGACCGCCACCACTCCCTCGTAGCGAGGGTCGGGCATGCGCCGCGCAGCGCCGCGAGCTGTGGGTGGAGCGCTCGCACGTCGTCTCCGACGAGCATCGGCGCGGCCGTTTCGACCGGATCGCCCGACAATAGCAGCGCATGCAGCTCGCGAGCCCAAGCGGGCCACACCTCACCGTCGAGCTCCCACGCCAGGCTGCTCGCCGCCTTGAACGAGGCGATGCCCTGCGCCACTTTCCCGGCGTCACAGAGCACCTCGCCAGTGATGTAGGCACGGACGGCCTGCTCGCGCAGCGACGGTGGCGTGGGAGGTCGCCACATACGCGTCGCTCACCGCCGGGGCGGGCGCCTGGCGGCGCCGCTGGTTCGCTCGCTACGCGTCGCTCACCGCCGGGGCGGGCGCCTGGCGGCGCCGCTGGTTCGCTCGCTACGCGTCGCTCACCGCCGGGGCGGGCGCGTGGCGGCGCCGCTGCGCAAAAAATCAGCAAACGACAGCACTCCAAGTGTCTATCTGAACCATGAAGTTACTTCAGGAAGTAAGTATTCACAGCTGTATAGCACGGGATCGCACCCCCCAACCGCTTACTAGGAACCCCTCGCCTTATTGTTTGGCCCCCTCAGGCCACACACAGTTACTTCATAGTTACTTCTGCGGCATTCTCGCGTACATGTCGGCCGAGCGCGCGCCCCCTGCCTGCCGGCAAACGGTCTCCTGAGAGCCCTCCTACACCCTTGCCACCCCCCCAGCCCAAGCCACCATCAGATGCTCCGCCTGGCCCCGCGCCCGCGGCCCCCGGTGGCGCCGCCGCCGGAGGCGCGGCGTCGCGGCGAGCTTCGGAGGGCCTTCTTCTGGATGCCGAGGCGGAGGCCGTGCACTCGGGTAGTGCCTGCGCAGTGCATGGCATAGCAGCGGCGGCCGGTGCTGGGGTTGCAGAACGCGTGGTCGGCATTGCCGTTCGGGCAGCAGGTCACGCAGTACCAGCCCGCCATGATGCCCTTTTGGCACCAGCTGCACTGGTGGTGCTCGTTGGTGTAGTTGTCGAACTTTGCCATCTCATGCATCTCTGGGGCAGCTCTCGGGTCGGCCCCGCCGGCTGCACTCGAGGCGGCACCGTACTCAGCCTTGCCGAGCGTGAGGAGGGTAAACGCCAGCCGCTTGCGGAACTCGGGGTGGCCCAGCGTCCGCTCCCCCGCCACCTTCTTGTACGTCGGGTGCCAGTTGAGAAGCGCCTTGTACACGTTGACCTCCCAGAAGCCCAGCCCCTCGGCAAAGTGGCGGTGCACCCAGTTGTTGGTGGCCCAATGCGTCGGCCATCGAGACAAGCCCCTGCCGAAGGTGGTTGTGGACGTCGACGACCGAGTAGAACTTGTGGTACATGGCGTGCACGCAGGTCGTCGCAATGCTGAGGGTGTACTTGATGCGCCGGCCAATGGCGTCGGTGATGGTCCACGACTTTTGGTAGTCGTCTGCAGGCTTCATGGTCGAGGCGGTGCTCACCACCAGCACGGGCTTCTTGGAGTTGTGCCCCGCGGCCAGCACCTCGACCGTGCCGCTGGGCCTCTCAAACTTTTGGGTGTACGCGTACGACTGGCCGCGCGTCTGCTTCGGGCACAGCTTCGACTTCTTGTCGTAGCCAAGCTTGTCGAGGAGCAGGTCCTTGGGGTAGTGCTTGTGCGCCGTCTTGACGTTCATGACGGCAAAGAGGCCGATGTCGTACAGCGCGAGGATGCACGGGACGGAGCCGAACCAGCTGTCCGCAATCACCACTCGCCCTCGAGACGCGCACTTTTCCACCAGCCGCAGGGTGAGCGCGACGCTCCTCCACGGTCCGTCTGCACCGAGCTTCCTCTTCTGCTCGGCGCACTTTTCCTTTGTCGCCATCGCCTTCTTCCCCTCCCACACCTCGAACCAGATGAGGATGCCGCACATCGCGCAGCAAAGGGTGTGGAGCTCGAGTCCTTTGGGCGTCGGCTTGCGCTGAACCACCATGAAGCCGGGCATGCCGCGTCCTAGCCACTTGACCATGCTCTCATCCAAGCACATGACCCAGCCGCACGTCACTGCCGCGAAAAAGGCGTTGCGCAGGGCATCCCAAAACTTGCGGGTCGCATTGAAAGGGTCCTGCGGGTCCTCGTAGGTTGGCAGCTCGAAGCACGCTTGCATCTGCTTGAACCACCTGATTCCTCGCTGCGCGCCGGGGTGACCAATCTGAAGCCACGTCTTCAAGTCGTAGGTCGGGCCGAAGCCGTCGCTTGGCTCGTCAGCAAAGAACTGCTCGCGCCCCCCCACCGTGAAGAAGGCGAGCATGTACATCCAGCATCCGATCCACTGGAGCACGTCATTGGTGGTAACGAACCAGTTCTTGTAGTGGACGTCGTTGCCCTCGCTCCACCGCGCCCGGCCGTTCGCCTGCATCTTCTCGGCGAGCTCGCTAATGTACGCCATCGGGAGGAAGTGCTTGGCGTACTCGAGGAGCGACGACGCGGGGTTGAGCTGTTCCAGCTTCGGGCCAAAGTTGTCTCCACCCTCCCTGTCGCGCGCGCAGAACTGGCGGTGGTCGTTCTCCTTCCAGGCAGCGCTGTCGCCAGTCTCCTCGCCGTCGTCGTGCTCCTCGGCGAGCTCGCAGTCGCTGTCGTCGCTCTCCTCGAGGTCTGGAATGCGCGCGCCGTCAGGCTGCTCGTCGTCGTCGGGCTCAACCGCAGCAGCAGGTGCAGCCGCCGCAGGAGCCGCCGCAGGCGAAGGCGCAGCGGCTGAGGCGGCTCTGCCGCCGCGCCGATCCGGCGGGAGGAGCTCGACACCGAGCTGGGGGCCGACCCGGTCGGTGTCGTCGTCGGCGGTTCCAAGCTCCGCTTGCACGACCGGCAGCGGCAACGTGCTTGGGCCAGCTGCACCTGGGGCCGGCGCCCGCTGGAACCTTCCGGTAGATGCTGCCGCGAGTAGTATCGCCGCCGGGCTCGGCGCCGCCGCGGCGGCAGCGGGCTGCTTTCCCTTTGCACGCTTTGGGGGCATCTGACGCTCGACCCGACCCGGTCACGGTCGCAGTCAAAGCTGTCACGGGTCAGCGAGTCAACGACATGGTGACGACACGATCGAAGGCGAAGCATGAAGCCCCGCAAGGCGCTGCCGCGCCTCAAGGCGCGCCTCTGCCGCACGCGCTCACATCATGCACCGCGCGCCGCCGAGCGGGACGTGCCGTCCGTTTCAGTCCATCGCCCGGGCATCGCGCCCGCCGACAACAGTTGAGCATGATCTCCGCCATTGCTCCGTTTCTTTTTTCACGCCTTCACGCGCGCGCAGGCGCCCCCGACTGTACTGAGCGCACCCCCCACCGTCCCCTGCCAGGCCCAAGCACGCCGCAGGCTCCGGTGAGGCCGCCTGGGGAGCGCAGGAGGTCTCCCCGCCTCCGCGACCAAGTGCACGATACGCCAGGCGTACACAAGTCCAAGAACAAGCCCCGGCCGCCGCGGTGGAGCTCCTACACCGACTCCGACGGTGACCACCACCCCTCCCCGGTCTTTTAGGGAGCGGGTCCGCTCCAGTCCAGGTCTGCCCTGTGTCTAGGGAGCTGTGGGCGGGGGCTAGGGGCCATTGCGGGCGCGGGGCGGGGATAGTTACTTCTCAGAGTAAGTAGTTACTTCAGGAAGTAACTGGTTCAGATAGACACAAGTGCTCAAACGGATTAACGAGAGACTACGAAAAGAGATACGAGGAGGCAGACTCCCCAGGGTGGGCGACGGCTAGCGCATCACACCCTCCTCTCCTTAAAATCCCTGTGTGGTGGCGGCGTGCCGTTCTCCCATCCCTCCCTTGGGTTGTGTGTTTTCTTTCTTTCTTTCTCAAACGGATTAAGAGGAAGTGTTAGGGAGGGCGACGGCTAGCGCATCACACCCCTCTCCTTAAAATCCCTGTGTGGTGGCGGCGTGCCGTCCTCCCATCCCTCCCTTGCGTTGTCTCTTTCTTTCTTTCTTTTTAAAATGAACTCGGGGGGCACGGGACGCGGCACAAACGGGGCACTTTCTTTCTTTCGTAAGGGGAAGGGGATAAATAAATAAATAGAGCAGTCATCTCCAGGGGAAGGGGACACCCCTCGAGCCTCCTTGGTCCCTTTTCTTATTTAGCTCACACCATGCCGATGACACAGAGGACAACAACAGGATATACTAGCGGTCCATCGCCGCAACCCATCCCCGTCTCCGGCAGCGCCGCCTGCGCCCGCGCCGGCCTGCTCTGGGACGGCGCGCCACCGCTCGTCGTCCAGCATGTGCCACCACCGCCGATCCGAGTTGCCGTCGTACTCGACCTCGTGCACGATCCGTCCGTCCCCGTCCTCCTCCCGCGCCATGACGGTCGCAGGGTACCACCGCTCGCTGTCGCAGAATATCTCGAGGCGCGATCCGGTGGACAGGACAGTGTGGCCGTCGAGCGCCGCCCTGGCATCCTCGCGCTGTCGCTTCCGCCGCTTCGCCTTCGTCTCCTTGCTGCGCAGCAGGGTGTAGTTCGGGCCCACCTCCGCCACGCTGTCCAGCACGTGGACGGCGCTCGCCATCTCGACCACGTCGTCCTCCGGCGGAAGCTCCGCGTCGCCCGCGGCCGCTTCCCGAGCGCGCTCGTCGCGCATCCGCTCGTGGTGGGCCTGCCGACGCGCCACGCCGGCGCCCGTGTGCCTCGCCGCCGCGTCCGGCGACGGCATCAGTGCTGTCCGCCCGAGCGTGACTCGCCACTCCACGACCTCCACGACCTCCACGACCGCCGAAAAGCACGACCGCCGAAAAGTTCGCCCACTCGCTCTGCCCCAAACCTAAATCGTCTCTCTTTGTACATACATATTATATATCCACAACCATGCGCATAAATAAATAACGCACGGGCTCTCAGCGGAGCTGGGAATAGGACCGCCGCAAGCGGCGTGGCGTGGAGCGGTTGAGCATCCCTCCGGGGGCCCCCTCTGCGCCGGGGAGGCGATGTTGGAGGCTAGGACGCAAGCGTCATCGCCCTTTTCCAAACTCGGGGCCCACTCCGCTACGCTCCGACCCGAATTTGGAGGGCCTAAAAGTTTAAGGTGTTGCTGCGCAAAAGGGGTCGGACACAGGGCGCAGCTCATGCCAAGAGCTAGAAGGGGAGCTAGAGAGAACGACTACCCTGTCCCGTTATTGCGTACACCAACACCACAAAAGCTCTCTCTCTCCTGTCGTCAGCCTGTCCTCACTCAGGGGGGTCACAACTACCGAGTCCCTCGACTAGCTGCCACGTTGCCGACCGAGAGCGGATCTCCTCCTGCTCCGCAAGGAGGGTGGCCAAGGCTAAAGTCTTGCCGGAGCCGCCGGGCGCGTTGACGACTTGGAGAAGGTCCCCTTATGTACTTGTACATGTAGAGATGCTCGAGGGGGTGCTTTGTGGGGCGGTGCGCAGCCAGGTCCTCGGTTGAAGCATTCGTCGGAGGCTGCGGCACGACGGGAGGGTCGCGATAGCAGTCCTCGGGCGAGCCGACGCGCATGTCCAACCAGCGCTGGGACTCGTTGTGACGGCAGACGCCGGCTGCCTCTCCAACCGCTTCTGCAGCGTCCTTCTTTGCCCGGTGCATGGGCTCGATCCGATTCCGCAGCGTGTCGTCCCCAGCGGCGGTGCTGCGCGGGAGGCGGCCGCGGGCACGCTGGGCTCGATCAGCGGCTTTCCCTCAGTTGCTCCGAAAGCACGGACTTGGCGGACGTTCTTGGTTCAATTTTACGGATGTCTTGGCACCAGCTTAAGGCTTGCACGGCAGAGATCACGCAGTTTGCGCACGGTATTCAATTCGGATTTTGCTATTTGCTCGTGTGGGGGTATATTATTTGTCAATGGTACCGCGTCTGCGACGCGGGGGCGCCTTGCGGGCAGAGCCCTACCTTAGCCACCCTTCATATCTTGCGCGCGGTCATAAACTAGCCGCACAAAGAATAAATCCCCAAAATAATAAATAAAACGCGGACACACCAAACAAGGGGTGGGAGAAGGACATCCAATGCGCAACCAGAGCGCGATGTGCACGGTGGATTTCTTTATCGGAGTTAGCGCGTGAGTCCGACAAATACGAATCTCGAATGTGATATGTGTGTGCACCGTCACGCGCCGCGAGGCCGCGCGACGCCGGATGTGGAGATCAGTGGACAGTGTGGTTTGAGATTGACACCGGAAGGACACAGGAGAGAGTACACAGCTCGCAGAAGAGGGGACCATCAACCACCACCTGCCCACACCGCCCCTCGCGCGGGGACCCTCACGGCTCACAGCTCACCTGCCCACACCGTCCCGACCCCGGCCGCGTGCATAAAGGGTGTGTTGACCGTGGCATCACACGCCCTCAGCCTCGGGTCCACCGCGAGTCGGCACGGTCAGCCGTTCAGCGACGCTGCCCTCGCCCGCCGCGACCGCGTCCGGTTTGCCGCCTTTGCGCGCCCGCGTCCCCGAGTCCAGTTGGCTGCTCGACGCACTGACCACAGCGCAGCCTGAGTGATGCTGGCGCTCGGCGTGGCCCCAAACGAGGAGGTGGCGAGATGTGCCATTGCGCGGGCCCAGGAGTGCGTGCGGCTGCGGTTGCCTCGGCCCGAGAGCCGGCGAGGCTCGACGCCATGGCTGAACTCAGTGGGCGAGAGCGCCACCTCGGCCAGCCGCCTCCGCAGCTCCGTTGGCCCTCCCGACCGCCAGCGGAAGACATGCAGCGCGCCGCCGCCACCACTGTCGAGCGTGTAGATGCGCTCCGCGTCCGCCGCCAACGCAGTCAGCGCTACGGGCGAGTCGCCTCCCGGCGGCGTCACCGCCTGGTAGGCTCTCTTGCCGTCCTCTGAGAGGACCCGCAGCCCCGTCGCCTCCATCACGACGAGGACGGCGCGACCTGCGCACAGCAGCAGAGACGTGTGACCGGGAGGGTTCGCCACGCCGACGGCTGGGGAAAGGCTGGGTGGCGACGCCTCCCGACGGCTTGAGCACCATCACCCCGCGTGGAGAGTTGAGACCGTGGCTGTCGATCCGGTCAAACAGCACCGGCCGCTCCCGCTTGGAGCGCAGCGCAAAGACCCAGACGCAAGCGGCGACCGGATCCGCGGCGTAGAGCTTGCCGCCATGCGCGGCGAGGCCGTGGGGGTTAAAATCCTGCAGGCAGGCGGGGAGGGTGTGAGATTGCAGGCAGGGGAGAGAGATGCGAAGCAGGGTCTCATAGTGGGGGCGCGGGCCTTGCCCTCGACTGACGCCGCGTTTAGGACGCTCTCGGTGCGCAACGTGTGCTGCTGCAGGATGCGGATTGCGTGCGATGTCGGATCCGACACAAAGACGCGCTGCGCGGCGACGCACATCCCGTGCGGGTCGCGCAGCTTTGGCGCAGTCGAGTAGCGCATGTGTCCTCCCCCCGGGAGAGCGAGCTGCTGCACGCGGTTGGTGCCTGCACATCACCGCGCAGAGCAATGTCGGCCGCGGCGTAAAAGAGAGGCGTCGGCAAAGGGCAAGCCCCCTCCACATTGTGGGCATGGGGAAAAGGCTCTCGCGGCTATTTCAAGCGCACCGCGTTCGCCAACGAGCAGCGAGTGGGAGACGGGCACGTTGTTGACGCGGAGGTCCTTGTGCATAATCACGGCGAGGTGCGCGGGGCGATTGAGCTGGCCCGGTGCGCTGCCCGGCGTGCCCATCCGCCGAATCACCCTCCCATCCGCCGACGCGACCACGAGCGAGCCGCGTGCTGTGTCAGAGAGGAGCAGCTCTCCGGTCGGAAGCAGGAGGACTGAGGCGGCTGAGGCGAGCGTGTCGGCGGGCAGCTCGACAGGCCGCTCGTACTCAATGACCACCGGGGCTCGCGCAGCCGCCGCGGCGAGCAGGAGCGCTAGGCAGCCCGCCATGGCGCGGCGCGGGGCCCCCATACTTGGATGTTTGGCCCGCCCCGGGTGGTTGGAAGTCTGCGGGTTCGGGCTCCGTGTGGATGGGAAGCTTAGCCTTGCTGAGATGACTGGAACGGCAACTAGCGATCCAGCTATTCTTTTCTTTGTATTGCCCGCCTCGACGCCAGCGCTGCCGCCGGGCGACGCCGCGCCGCCGCCGGACGACGGATAAGGATCCTCTGTGCCATCTGAGGCCGCCGCGAATGCGCCGCACCTATACCTACTGTACCTATTCCCACGCAGCGGAGAGATCAAGCCCTCTACCTATGTGGGAGCTCCAAGCGCAGAGCCCCTATCCGGCGGGGAGGCGGGGAGCCCGAGAACCCTGGCTCTGACGCGCAATCCAAGCTGCAGAAACGAGCTTTCAGTGCCTACAAGTGTAGGCACTGGATTATCGTGCGCGCGGAGCGCGCTGGTGCTACCCGGACACACGCGCGGAGCGCGCTAGCTGGACACACGCGCGGAGCGCGCTAGCTAGACACACGCGCGGAGCGCGCTGGCTAGATACCGCGCGGAGCGCGCTGGCACCTATGTGCGCGGAGCGCACCGCGGTACCGGTAGAGTCTAGACACATGAAGACAGTCTGTTGCAGTCAGCTGTGGCCACGCTTCTTCGAAGCTGGCCTGACGTCGTAGCACGCGTCTGGCAGACGCTGTGGTCTCTGCCTTCTTCCGCGTCATGACCACACCCCGCTGCAGCGAAGCTCCAATGCCGCCCCTCTGTGCATGTGACCTGAGCTGTCGTTGTGGTGAAAGCGGTCTTCCCAGTTGAGCCCGCCCCAGTTCTCGAGCGCACGGTTGATGAAGGGCACGGCGACGGCCGCATGTAGCGCCCCCAGAGACACGCGCGGAGCGCGCCGCTGCACAGGCGCGGAGCGCCGCCACTTGAGATTGGGCCTGTGGGTGGGCCGAGTGGTTCCTAGCGTGTGAGTCAACTCTTAATAGAAATCGCACCAGCCCTCCTCAACCCTCTAAATTTTCTTCGGGGCGCGCTCCGCGCGCGGCGCTCCGCGCCTGACTCCTTGAGCAGCGTAGGCGCTGGCTCGCACATGTTCTGCAGCTTGGCGCGCAATCGGCCGTGTCCGACACGGCGATACGAGTACACTGTACACATGGAACATCGCGGAACATGAGAAGGGGGGGGGGAGGGTCGTGTAAAACCTCCCTCAGAACAGTCCAAGTCCCGTGCCCAGTGCTGTGCGAGGGAGCCCGTAAAAATCCTTTATTGGTGTACCCGCTGTGTGTCAGCGCCAGTGCGCGCCAGTCCCGCGCCTAGTGTTGTGAGAGGGAGTGCACCTGGGCCACACTTCACAGAAGGTGCTCACCTCAACACCTTGGGTGCAGTCCCTCTGACCCTACCCCCGGTGCCGGTGTGGGCGCTGGCCGGCACACTTAGGTAGAGATACAGTAAGGTACAGACATGGGCCACTTACCTAAGGTGGAGGTATAGGACACCGCGCGCTACCTCGGTAAAGGTACGGGTGAGGTATGTGGGCGCCTCGCCGGACACACGCTCGCCCCCTCCCGACGGCCCCGCCCGACACGCTACTTAGCAGCATATATGGCGTGTTCTGGAGAACGTTGGAGCAGCGACATGTCGACGTCACTGAGCGGGTCGGCGGAGGGTGGGTCGACGGCCCGTGGCCGAGCCCGAGGATGGCGCAGCCGAAGCGGCAGCGTCGGAGGCTCGGAGCTCGATGGGTCCGGCGAGGTGGAGGACGGTGCAGCCGAGGGGGCGGAGACGTTGCCGTACTTCACCGTGAACTCGACGGCCGTGCCCGGGTACGACGCGTTCTGCTCCGCGCCGGTGAGCTGCGGGAAGTGCTTGGGCCTGCTTGCCCGGGAGCTTGACGGCTAGCTTGACGGCCCTCGAGACTGTCAGCGGGCCCGGGTACTGCTTGATCACGTCCATGCCCATGGTCTGGAGCGTCGTGTTCTGCGTGGAGGTGGGCTTCTTGGGCGCCATGAGAGCTGTGTGTTGCGTTTCGCGCGACGGGCGGTGCACACCTTATTCGCGCGCACCGCTGGTGTGAATGTCTCGAGAGTACCCCAGGTACCGGTGTGGACATGTGGAGGGTACCTCGGTATAAGGTGCGCTAAGGTATAGCACTCACACACACACCTAGGTAGAGGGTGTGGGCGCTGCGCGCCTACCTCTGTGTCGGTACAAGGTGTACACCTGCACCTTCTGAAGCGTGGCACCTGGGAGTTGGTGCACTTGGAGAGACAACGGGGCTGCCGACACAGCCTGAGCGAACTCGTCACACCCGATTGGCGAGGGCGTCGGCAGGTTGGGTGGTACTGGGTGGCGAGGGGTGGGCGGCGACGGCGAGGGATGGCGGCGGCGAGGGCGGCGGCGGCGAGGTTGGCGGCGGGCTGGGTGGTGGTAACAGGAGGAAGAGTGCGGCGGGGGCGAACGGTGGCAGGGCGAGGGTGACGGTAGGTGTGGAGCTGTGGACACAAGGGAGTAGGCGGCGACGACATGCAGCGCATCAGTGGATCACCACACGAGGAAGTGGAGAGTCGGGCGCGGGCGGGCGAGCTAGCGGTGAGGCGGGGGGAGGGTGACATGGCGAGGGCGGTGGCGGGTGGATCACGAGGAAGTAGACATTCGGGCGGCGGGAGGCGAGGGCGATGGTTGTTGCCTTGAAGAATTGGCAAACACTGACAAACCAAAACTCGGGCCCAGGACTCGGGCCCACAGACATCTCGCACACCCGCCGCGTGCGCCCCACCTCGCGGACGGGCGCAGCCACGCAGAGAGAGAGCGAGGAGGGGAGGGACGAGGGACAGGCAGAGAGTCAGTGGGACCGTCCCGTCCGTATCCAAGTGATCTGTGATCTGTAAGGGTCCGCCCGCAGGCGCATTTTGTATACCGAGACGGTGCCCGGTGCCGAGCGCAGGCAGAGCCCACAGGTCGGACCTTAAGACAGCGTTGTAAATCCCTGGGCGAGGGTGGTGGAGAGGGCGGTCTGTCGGCGCGCTAAACCGTAACCCACCGAGGCGAGGCCGGATCCACGCGCTGTCGGACCGCCCCGTTGGAGGTAGACCGCTCGTCTAGCCAATCAGCCTTAAGCGAGCGGCCTGGCCGTTGGAATGGACTAAGACCAGTCCCCGTCGGGAGAGATCGTCTGGCGGAGGTGATCCTCAAGAGGTGATCTACCGTCACCTCGCCGGCGTGCCCGGCGAGTTCGGCTTAGATCTCCCCTCCCGCGCCAGACAGTCCCTGTGGTGGTCACGCGGCCTCTGGCTGGAACGCAACTACCGGCGGGACCGCGGTAGGACCGCCACAGGGACTGTCTGGCGCCCCCGCCAACTACCGCGGTCCCGCCGAAGAGGGAGGAGTCGCCGAAGGACGGGTAGTCGTCGGTCATGCGGGGGGAGGAGGAGTCGGCGAGCAGCAGGGAGGAGAAATGCCTGAGAGGGTGGGGAGGGAGGCGTGAGGCGCGAGGTGAGGGGCGTGGGGGCGCGGGGCGCGGGTCGTGGGTGCGCGGGTGGGAGGCGAGGCGTGAGGCGCAGGGCAGGGGCAAGGTGTTTTGTGTGTGTGTGTGTGTGGGGGGGGGGGGTTGTGCGAGGGCTGGGCGGGGCAGGGCAGGGCGGCGGCGAGCGGCGAGCGGCGTCGGCGAGATCGGCGACGAAGAGAGGCGGTGGTGACGTACACGGCGGCAGTGTTTACGGCAGCAGCGCCGGTGGCGGCCCCGCGCAGCGGCGGCGGCGCCCTGAGTGAGGCAGACTGCCATGTACAGCCTGCTGGGAACGCTCCCGACGAGCGGCGCGCCATGCGGGCCCGCCGCGGGCGACGCGGGCGGCGAGCCGACACGCGTGTCGCAGGCGTAGACAGCACTGGCGAAGCGAGGCGGCCGGCGCCGGCCCCGGAGGCGGCTGCAGTAAGAGCAGCGAGGCAGAAGTCACTGTCCAAGGCGTACTGAGCAGGCTGCCATCGAGCAGCGCGCCATGCGGGCCTGCCGCCGGCGACGAGATTGGAGAGCCGACAGGCATCGAAGAGGTAAGTACTGAGGAGGGCCATCGCGCCCGAGGCGGTCCGCGCCGGCCCTGCAGGCCGTCTCAGAGAGCCTGGCGAGGCTGTACAGAATGCCGAGAGCATACTGAGCAGGCTGCCGTCGAGCGACGAGCCATGCTGGCTCGTCGCAGGCGATGAGGTCGAGGAGCCGATCGGAGCGTCGCAGAGGCTGCCGACCACTGCCGTTCGCCCTCGGGCCCAGGGGTGGAAGGCAAGCTTCCTGGCGTTTCTGGCGAGCGTCCAGACGTCGCAGAGCATCCGGCAGGCGCGCAGCGACCCAAATCTTTGCTCACCGCACGGCCGTGCGAGCCGTCGGTCGGTGGTGATGGTCGGCGTCGGCGCGCGCCGACCAACGCGGCTGCGGTGGGCGTCATGACTCATGTGGCGGGCGACGGACTAGACATTGTGCGAATTTTCTTCGGTTTCCCATCATTCCAAGTAAGCAAGCACCTATACCTCGCTCGCTCGCTCGTACACACACACACACACACACACACACACACACACACACACACACACACACAACACACAACACATGGTTTGCATGCATGGTGCGAGAACGCAGAGAGGGAGAAACGAAAGCAGACCGACCCCCAAGCAGGAGCGCTCTGGTGCTGGGCGGGTCGGGACCCCCCGCCCCCCCCTCAGGCCCCAGCAGCGCAGCTGGAGCGCGCTCTGTCTGTTGGGGGGTGCTGGCGTCTGTACCACGGGCGGACAGCTGTAACCTCCGCATGCATTCACCGGCGGGCCCTCCTCGTACTGCCAGCCGGGCGGTGCGGGGCATGCCAGCCTCTCTTTTACGCCTCCCTCTCGTGCCTCGCGGCGCCTCTGCTTCAAGGAAGGAACGAACGAAGTGATACGGTTACGGACGGCTTCATTCATTTCGCAGAGAGTGCACATCTTTCTCTCGGGGGCATGCTGGACTCTGGCCCCGGATGCCACCTCGTCCTCGAGGATGCCACGCGACGGAGGGAAGTTGAACAAGAAGAGTAGCTCCCACCTGACTAGTGGTGCTCTCGAGGCCTAGCTATAGGCCCTAGCAGATCCGGAGAGGTGTGAAGCCCCGCCCGCCCCGGCCGGAGAGGGGGTGGAGGAGAGAGGGGGGGGGGGAGGGGGGCAGCCAGTTCGACGCCTCGATCGACCCCGGGGAGACGACAGGACACTGCGCTCAGCACGGCTTCGAGAGCATCGATCGAAGCTTGCTATACGCGAGGGGTTGCGTTTCTTTTTTGCCTCTCGTGGAGCGAGGCCCTGCTGCAGAGCGATGTTCAGCAGCGCTGCGCAGAGCCGCCCCCCCTGCGCTCCCTGCCTCACCTCCCACCTGACTCGGATCGTAGGGGCCGCGTCATCCGCGGGCAGCGCAAGGGCGCTGGCTCCATCTTCACCTCGCACACCAAGCACCGCAAGGGGCCCGCCTCTCTGCGCGCGATCGACTATGCGGAGCGGCACGGCTACATTCGTGGCGTGATTCGCGACATCATCCACGATCCGGGCCGCGGCGCGCCCATCGCCAAGGTCGAGTTCAAGAACCAGTACAAGTTCAAGACCATGAAGGAGCAGTGGACCGCGACGGAGGGGATGTACACTGGCCAGTTTGTGTACTGCGGCAAGCGGGCGCAGCTGGTGCCAGGCAACGTGCTGCCGCTGTCGTCGATGCCGCCGGGTACGGTGATCAACAACGTGGAGAAGCAGGCGGGCGACAAGGGCAAGTTCGCGAAGACGTCCGGCGGCTTTGCGCAGATTATCCAGCACATTGAGGGCGCGGGAAAGACGCGGGTGCGGCTGCCGTCGGGGCAGAAGAAAACCATCTCATCGGCGTCGCGCGCGTCGATCGGCATTGTGGCCGGCGGCGGCCGCATCGACAAGCCCCTGCTCAAGGCCGGCCGCGCCTTCCACAAGTACCGCGTCAAGCGCAACTCGTGGCCAAAGGTGCGCGGCGTCGCGATGAACCCGGTGGAGCACCCGCACGGTGGCGGTAACCACCAGCACATCGGCCACCCGTCGACGGTCAAGCGCGACTCGGTACCCGGCCAGAAGGTCGGCCTCATCGCCGCGCGCCGCACGGGCCAGATCCGCGGCCGCAAGGAGATCAACGACAAGTAGATTGCGCGGCCGGTGCAGCTGCGGCGGCTGCGCGCGCGCGCGGCCCGACACGCGCGCCTGAGCTCGCAGCTCGTCTGGCCGTAGGCGCGCCCGCCGGCTGCTCTCTCGCGGCGCGGGGGCTTGGGGGTAATGCATGGCGGCCGCGCCGTGTCCAACGTGTCGGGTTTATGAAACCTGACACTTGCGCCCCGGCCTGCGCGCTGGCGCGGGCGGAGCCGCGCGGCGTGCGCAGTGTGGGTCCAGTGTCTCTTGTCTTTTACGCATCTGTGACTATCGTACATTCCACCCGCCGCTGGTTTCCACACTTCATGACACGACACAACGAAAGAGCAGAAGTCCGCCATGTCCTCGGCGGAAGTCCGCCGGTGGCGCGCGTGCGGCGTGCCGGCGCGGCGCCGCCGGCGGCGCGCTGACAACCGTCAACCGAGCTCGGACCCCCGCTCTGTGGGCGCTGGGTCCGAGCTGTGCTGCAATGCGACCGACGGTGTATCAGCCACATAAAAAAGAATTTCCTCATTGATGCCGTGAACGCAGGTCCTCGATTGCTGCATGTCTGCGCCGCTCAAAAAGAAGACCAAGCTGGCCGCCGCTCCGACGCTCGGCGTGAGCGCACCAATCTCGCTCGCCGGGCCGGACGCGCACGACCTTCGCGAGACGCTCGCGCTCGAGCAAGAGTTGCGCGAGGCGCCGGCCGCTGGCGAGGGTGCGACGGCGTCAGCGGACGGCGCCGAGGTGTACGAGCGGCTGGTCGCAATCACCGCCCAGTGGGTGCAGGCGGTCGGACTCCGTGCCGGGCTGAGCGACGAGCAGGTTCGTGACGCGGGGTGTGCGCTGCTGCCATTCGGGTCGTATGCGCTGCTCGAGGAGCTGATGCCCGGCTCGGACCTCGACCTCGTCGTGGTGGTGCCGTACTTTGTGGATCGCGCCGACTTCTTCGCGGGCGGTGGCCTCGGCGGCGCCCTCCTCGCCCACGGCGCCGCCAACCTCCTCGCCGTCGAGGATGCTTTCGTCCCCGTCCTCAAGCTCTCGCTCGGCGGCGTGGCGGTCGACCTGCTCCTCGCGCGCGCCAAGGCGTCGAGCTCACACGAGATCCAACCTAGACCGCACACCATCACCGTAGCTCACCGCCACCCTCCCCGCCAAAGGTCCCGCAAGTGCCGCGCCGCCCGTCGCTCACCGACACGCTTCACCTCTACTCGCGCTGCATCGACGAGCCGGACGCACTCTCGCTCAACGGCTGCCTGGTCGCGGCGGAGGTGCTGCGGCTCGTGCCGAGCGCCGCCGCCTTCCGCACGGCGCTGCGCGCCGTCAAGCTGTGGGCGCGGCGGCGGCACATCGAGGGCTTCGCGCTCGGCTTGGCGGTCCTAGAAGCTGAAGCCGTGTTCTTGTATCGCAACCAGCGCTCGAGAGGACACGTCTTCGGCTGTATTTCGCCGTATTCGGCCGTATTCGGCTGTATTCGCACCCCCTCGCATTCGCGCGGGGCTCTGACGACGCTGCACGAGACCGTCCTCCCGCCCTCATGTTGGCGTATTCACCGCGCAGGCTTCCCGGGCGGCGTGGCTTGGGCGATCCTAGTCGCACGCGTGTGTCAGCTCTACCCCAACGCGGCCCCGTCGACGCTGTTCTCGCGCTTCTTCTCGACCTGGCGCCCCCCCACCCCCCTCCCTCCTTTCCCTCCTGTCTTCCTTTCGGCGCGGCGCACAGCGTCTGTCGCCAGCGGCGTACTGCTCCTCTGGTGCCCTCAGGTCCCGATGGAAGTTTGGCGACCTCGTCGAGGGGACCGCGCTGCCCGTCCTGCTGGCGCCACTCGCCGCCCGCGCTTCAGACCGCGAGACGGCCGCGCCACCCGCGACCCTCGGCCTCTCGCGATCCGAATGGAACCCGGTGTAGTGCGGGGGGCGCGGAGGAAGGACGGGTGCGGGGAGGGCGCTTTCAGGCTGAGCGCCGACGGCGTGGCCATGGTAGGCGTCGTGGAGGGACCGTTCCTACCTCATGCCCGTCATCACGCCCACCCGCCCGCGGCTCAACGCCACGCGGACCGTGACGAGAACGACTCTGGCGGTGCTGCGCAACGAGCTCGAGCGCGCGCGAGAGCTGCTCCAGACGCAGCAGAGCGGGGGCGCGACGGCGGTACTCGAGCGGTCGCCCTTCTTCAGCAGCTACCGCGGGTACATCTGCGTCCACGTCTTCGCCGCCGCCGTCTCCGAGCAGCGGTATTGGCGCGGCTGGGTCAAGTCCCGGATCTCGCGCTTCGTTGGCGCGCTCGAGCGGTGAAAGCTCCCCCCCCCCCCCCCCTCTCCCCCACTTGCCTCCTCAGTGCCATCAGCCTCGCAATGGCACCGCGCCCCGACGCGCTCTGCTGTGCTGCCGCCGAGGCGCACCCCCACCCCTCTGCCACCGCCCCCACTCTCACCGCCACCACGCGCAGGTATGGCCGTATCGAAAGACTCCACCCGCTGCCTACCGCCGTGCGGGTCGAGCCTCCGCCTGCGGTGCTGCGGCAGATGCAGCTCATGCCGGCGGCGGCGGCGGCGGCGGCGGCGGCGGCCCCCGCTGCCGCGCCGCCGCCCGGTTGTCACTGCTGTTTCTTCATTGGCGTCGGCTTTGCGCCCGAGCGGCTTGCGCCGCCGCCCGCCGCACGATCGGCGCCTACCGACGCGCCCGACGGCACCAGCCTCGACCTGAGGGATGCCGCCGAGGAGTTTGTCGATCTGGTGGCGGGCTGGGAGCAGATGCCGCGCCTCTGCCCGTCGGGGCAGGTTCCCGCGGCTCTCGTCCGCGGATCCGTTTCGGCGCGTCGGTGACACGTTCGCGACACTGATAGGTCCACTTGTGCTATTGCCGGCAGCCCGAGCTCCCCGCTGCGCTAACGTCCGGCTTCTTGCCCGCCGACGCCGCCGATGACGAGGCGGACGATTTCTGAGATTGGCATCAGCACGTCGTCGTCGCACGTCAAAACATTTTCTTATTTGTGAAGAGAGCGATTAGTTTCGACCGCGAGTCGTTCTTTATAAGCCGAAATAAAGCTTAAAGGGGCGAGGGCTCTGGGGGGGCGCGGGGGCCCTAGAGGGTACCCATGCGGGGGGAGATGGGGTCCCACGGCCCGCCGCAGGCGCCGATTTTTTCGAGATTTAATTATCAGATTTTTTTCGAGCATTTTTTACTTGTTTTCATGGGAATTCGGCGACGGCGTATTGCGGCCATGCTATCACGCCTTGCGACAGCCTGTCGGCGCTGCTGACCGTGCCCTGCTGCACAATTGATCACCTGCATAGCTCGCAGCCTTAGTATCAAGCATTCAGTGACGACCTGATCGTACGGTCAGTAGGAAGGTGTCCTTCCAACGTGTGCACGCTTCTGGCGCAATGCGCGTCGCCTCGGATTGGCTGCTGGCACTCTCGAGGCTATGCCTACGCAGCCTCGCGCGCATGGGCAGTCAAGAGGGACCACGCACCTTCTCAGGACAGCGCCGGTACCTCTCTCTTGGACCGGCAAACTTGGTGGTCTCGTGTCACCAATGTGGGACCAGTGCGGCATCGCGCCATCGACAGCTCTGAACTGCGCCTCACCACCGACCGGGAAGGCCGCCAAGTGGGCCAGCACAGGTTGCACATTGTGGCAGCAGTCAGCAGTGCATGTCTGATAGCTAGAGCAGCAGCGTCAGGGTCGCAGGGTCGGATCGTGTCAAGCCTCTCGCCCGGCCGGCCGCGTGCAGACGTCGGCCTGTCTGCTGTCTGGAGTGATCTGTCGGCGGTCAGTACGACCGATCAGGTCGGAGTTTTCTGATGGTTGGAGGGTCTATCTGTATGTACTCCTCGAGATCTCTCCAAATCTGCCCTCTAATCAACCGTAATCATCCGGGAAGTTGGTGCTAACGGAGACTAACGGAGCCGGGGCCCCGTTTCCGCACTGCGGCGCGGCGCACGGTGCCTCCGGGGGCCCCCGCGCCCCCCCAGAGGGCGAGGGGGGGTCGGTCGTCACTCCCCGCTCCCGCCGCCGCGAGAGAGAGCGAGCAGCCACCCCGACCGGTGGTGGGTGGACCGCCTCGGAGGGGGGGTCCGGTCCACCCCTCGGGGGCAGACCACCTACCGGCAATTGCCCCTGGGAGTCCCCACAAACTAAGAAAGAAAGAAAACAGACACCCCAAGGGAGGGATGGGAGGACGGCACGCCGCCACCACACAGGGATTTTAAGGAGAGGAGTGTGGTGCTAAGCCGTCGCCCACCCCCCACCACTTTAACCCTTGGGCGTCTGCCTCTTTCTATCTCCCTTCGCAGTCCCTCGCCGATTCTCGCTGCAACCTTCATGCCACCTCGCGGTCGCCCCACTCTCGTCGTTCTCCCTCCTGTCGCTCCATCCTCTGTCGCGTCGCTCTCCTCTACCTCGTCCTGCTGCGCCGCCGCTGCCCGCCGATCCCGCTCTCGCGGCTTCTTCTCGGCGCAACTCCGCCCTCCTCGCGGCGTATTTTGGCCCCTCGAGTTTATCAAGCTCTCCTCGCGCAAGGACGACTCTTTCTGACACCCACCCCAATCATTTGCCGCCAAGTGGGGGTCCCCACGAAGTAAACCCGGGACATCAACGTTTATTTCGAAGTGCGGCGCGCTCCAAGAAACCAAATGGCGGGCCTTCGCGCCGATGAGCTGGAGCAGATGGCTGGTTTGAACCTTGGCGTAGGTTTGCCGGGCGCGCACCCCGGCGGGGCGCCGCTTCCAGGCTTTGGAGGTGGCGGCCTGCCTGGCGGATGCGGCGGCGGCGGCGGCGGCTTCAGCGTCGGTGGTGGCGGGTTTGGTGGTGGCATGGCCAAGGGGTATGGCGCTGGAGTCGGCGTCGGCGTCGGCGTTGGCCCCGGTGGCGGCCAGGGACAGCGTGCGCTGCTTGGCAATGCGCCGCCTCTGCCACCAGGCGGCCATCGCGGCCAACCAGGCAGTGCTGGACAGCACGCGCAGCATTTCGGCGGCGGCGGCGGTTCCGCGGGGTTCTCGGCGGGGGGCGGCTTCGGCGGCGGCGGCGGCGGCGGCAGCGGCGGCGGCGGCTATGGGGGCGGCGGCGGCGGCGGCGGCGGCGGCGGCGGCTATGGCGGCGGCGGCGGCGGCGGCGGCGGCTACGGTGGCGGAAACTATGGTGGCCGCTTCGGTGACGGTAGCAACTATGGCAGTGGCGGCAGTGGCAACGACTACGGTGGCGGCGGCGGATTCTCTGGGCGAGGACGTCAGCAGCAGTGGGGCGGCGGGCTCGGATCCGGCGGCGGCGGCGGTCTCTCCATCGGAGACTTCCCAAAGGCGGCAGCGGAGTTCACTGCGGACGCGCCAGCCTTTGGACCTACCGGTTGGCAGGGCGGGGGCGGCGACGGCCGCGCGCTACTCACGGGGCGAGAGGACGGGGCGATGGTGCTTGCTTGCCCCTGCTGCCCCTTGCGCCGGGAGCTGGCTCCCGTCCTCAGCGCGAGCGGGATCCGCCCACAGGTGCTGGTCTCCTACCACGAGCTCAAGCAGGTGCTCGAGCGTTCGTTTGGTGAGATTGCCGCTGCGGCAGAGCAGTGAGTGAAGCGTGCGTTGCAATCTGAGCGTGGATGGGCACACGACACGTTGGGCGTCGACGTGCGCGGGCCCGTAGTGCGTTCTCCGTTGGGTGTATGAGAGGACGACGCTCGGCGCGGCCGTTTTGCGTACACATGATGCGGGCCCCCGCCCACGGCGATTTGGGAGTTTGGCCTTTTGCGCCGCGCGTTCACAGTGGCGCACACATGCAGTATAGACGCGCCTTTTCGCCAATTGGTCGCGACGAATTCGTGTGCGACGGGACACACTCTCGCGCCCGCTGCTCGGCTCGCCCGTGCGGAGCGGGTGTGGAGTGTGCGCGGTGCGGCGCGCACGTGCCGCGTCACCGTGTCTCCAGTCTCGACTCGCCACACACTCGTGTCCCTCGGTTACAAAAAAAAAAATTGCTTTCGAAGAAAAACGAGCACGCATATTCTCCCCCCTCCATTCTCTCCCCCTTGGCGCGGGCGCCCCTCTCCCCCCAGCTCTCGGTATCGCGTACTGCACGAGGCTACCGTGGGCCCCGCCTGCGCGCTGGGGGTTCCCTGCCCTGTCGGGCAGCCTAGCTCTGAACCTGGGGTAGCTACCTAATGCGGGGCGAATGAGTGATGAAGTTAGTGCCTTGGTGTGCCCGTTTCCCGTTATGGCTTCCCCTGGTCTCGCGACCATGAATGAGAGCTCTCACTCCCAGGGTACTCCCGCGTATCTGGATCCCTTATCCCCCCCCTCTTCCCCCCCCTTTCTCTCTCCGAGATGACCCGTGCTCTACGTGCCTAGGGTTGGTCTTCGGGGAGGGGGGATTGTCGGTGTGTCTTCGCGAGTTTTTCTCGCTGGACGCCCAACAGCTTCGATGTCCCTCCTTAGCGCCCCGGGTAGAGCGTGGTCTCCCCTGGAGCCTGCCACGCCCGTTCTGTCTAAGCCCAGGGTTCAGCTTTCCAGTTGATCCTTATCGGACTGGTGAGTTCTTTCTCGCTGCCAGTGTGACGCCCCGGCAACATTGGCAGCGGTGCTACACACACTACGCCATCTTTCGTTTGAGTTTTAGGAGTGTTTTTTGTTAACAATTTTTACGGGCTAGCGATTTCGCAGTACATGCGCACTAGTGTGGCAGCGATAACGTCCCCGTGGCATGCTAAGGGGGCGCATGCGCACACCAGCCCCACGCGTCTGCCTCGCAACATCAGGGAGAGGACTCTTCCCAGCATCTCTTTGCGCTGTTCTCCCGTGACTCGCGCTGTCCCGTGGTGAATACGGAGGGGGGGGGTGTAGTCTCTCGCCACCTCCAGGAGTGTGCCCGGGGAGGCGCGGCTGCGGGGTGGATTGAGAAGTCTCAGAATGCAGAGAAACTGCAGGCGTGGGCAGAGGCGCGCGCTGCAAGAAATTTTCGCCATCGTGTTTTTCTTTTTCTTCGTCGATATCCCATACTTCGACTCACATCATGAACACATCTTCATTGCTGCGGTGTGAGTGTGCCCGGGGAGGCGCGGCTGCGGGGTGGATTGAGAAGGTCTCAGAATGCAGAGAAACTGCAGGCGTGGGCAGAGGCGCGCGCTGCAAGAAATTTTCGCCATCGTGTTTTTCTTTTTATGCTTATGGCAGTAAAAAGAAACGGAACTGCGTGCGGCAGGCGCGGGCTCGGTCGATATCCCATACTTCGACTCCCATCTTCATTGCTGCGGTGCGAGTGTGCCCGGGGAGGCGCGGCTGCGGGGTGGATTGAGAAGGTCTCAGAATGCAGAGAAACTGCAGGCGTGGGCAGAGGCGCGCGCTGCAGTTTCTCTGATCGGGCTGCTGGCGGTGTGAGCGCGGGACGGCGTGGTGAGGCGAGAGGCAGGCTATTGTTGTGGGGTGCGGGCTGCGTCGTGAGGCGTATGCGTGCCCATGGTGCTGTGTGTGCAAGCAGGCTGGCGGTCTGTGCAGCAGAGAGCGGTTGAGCGCGCGCGCGCGCTCGTGCGGGCGTGCGTGCGCGCAGCGTGCCACGCGCGCGCCTCGTGCAGTGCAGACAGGCGCGAGGCGGCAGGGGCGCATTGTGGAGCACGCGGGCTGATGGTGCTGTATGCTGTGTGTGCAGGCAGGCTGACAGGCTGTGCATAAGACTGAGCGGATGAGCGCGCGTGCGGGTGCGTGCGTGCGTGCGCGCCTTGCGTGGTGCCGAATCTGCGTCGTACTCGCGGCGCGTCCCGGTACAGCCGCTTGTGAGATGCCTGAAGCAGGGTGCAGAGCCTGCACAGGGCGCAAAAAGGCGAGGTAGTGCTGGTGAGGTGTGCTGCGGCGCGCGCGTCGCGGCGTGAGTGGATATGCGGCTTGCTCTGGTGGTGCGAGGGGCGCGTGGCTGGTGCGGGCGGCGCGGGACGGCCATGGGGCGCCAGCACAGGGCAGACGCACATGAGACACAGGCTTCTGGGCGCTACGCGTGTTTGCGTGCGCGCGGGGACGTACGCGCAGTTTTCACGCGGTGTGCGTGGAGAAGGGCATGAGGGGCGCCGGCCGCGCGTGTATTGGCGTGTGAGAGTGCGTGGTGCCCGAAGGCGACGGGGCCCGAAGGCAGGGAGGAGTCTTCCGAGCCTCGCAACAACGAGACTTCAAAGAAACCTGTCCCTCGGTTACAAACTCACCGAGGCTGGGCGAGTGGGACCTGGCTCCTGCGTCCTGGGACACCCTCGCCAGCGAGACACATAACCGATAACGGTACAGCAAGTGCGGTACAGCAAGTGCTCAGGCCTTTTCTTGCGGTGGACGCTCCGCTGCCGCCAGGATCCACTCGGCCACAGCCGCCGCCACCTCCTCGAAGCCTGGCTCTGTCGTCAGCGCGTGCCACATACCGAGAGACGTGAGGCGCTTCAGTGCACTGTGTGCCAGAGGCGCGCCTTTCATCTGGACCTCGCCCTCCGCGCTGCCGCCAATCAACACCAGTGCGCTGGAGCCGGCGCACGCACACCGCTCGTACACGGCCAGCGAGCCGAGTGGCTCTGTGAAGGTGTCGGCCTTGGAGTGGATGGCGAGGAGGTTGCCTATTAGAGCGACAGGAGCCCAGTGTGTGGAAGGGGAGGCTCGTATGGAGAGCGCGCGGGCGAGGAGCGGTCTTGCCGCAGCGCAGCTTCTCGAGCGAAGCGGGTCCGCCGCGCGCCATCATTGATTCGGTCACTTTGACAAACTCACAGCTCACGCGCACACGGAATGATCGCGTCCAGTTCAGCGGGTCAGCCTGCAGCTCCGCCTCCATGTGAGGGTGCACCGCGCTCTTTGCACGAGCCACGATGGGCAGCCTCGGCACCAGGCGCGAGAGCGAGTGCATCAGCGGCACGAGGTGGCCGTTGCGGAGGCCGAGCCACCGGCAGAAGTACTCATCGCGGATGGCGGTGAGGGATATCATTGGGGCGAGGAGCACCAGCCCCCGCGGGGGCCGTGACGTGGCGAGCATCTGCGCAGCTCGCACCGCGACGCCGCCGCCCATGGAGATGCCGACCCAAAAGACGGGGGTTCCCGCGGGGAGAGAGGCGCAAAAGGTCTCGTGCACGAGGAGCAGATCGCGGCACAGGTCGTCGAACTGGTCAATGTAGCAGCGAACGCCGGGCTCGAGGCTCTCACTAGAGCCGTGAGACTGGTGGTCGTACCCCAGGATGCTGATGCCCGCCCTACGCATGATGTCAAGCGCAGAGTCCTCGTATCGGTCCCGCAGTCCGCCGTCGCACGTCGTGCGCAGAAACTCAAAGCGGCAGGATACGCCAACGCCATGCACCAGAATCGCGGCCGCTTTCGGGTGCTGCGCGTCAAATCGGAAAGTCGCCAGGCGCACACCCTGCTCGGTGAGCACGGAGCCGCGCTCCATGCCCGGGACCTTTGGCCACAGTTTGTCAGGGTCCACGGAGGCAGCTTTTTTTGTTCGCCGTTTAAGGCGCTGCTTGTGCGCCACCGCATAGGCCACGAGCAGCACAGTCAGGCCGACGGTGAGCTTGCTCATCTCGGCCGCCCAGCCGGGGTCGGTCATCGAGCCCCAGCGACCAAGCCGAAGGGAGGATGCGTTAAACATATGGCTTTCGGAAAGTGAGGCTCTGGGTGCTCGTTGGCCAGCCAAGCGGACAGTGTCGGGCTTGGAGCTTCGCTGCAAACAAAAGAACTCTCTCTCGCAGTACACAGGCTCGAAAAGAACACGCAAAACAAGTTCCACGACCATGTCATTTTGGTAATTTAAAACGAAAATCAAATCTTGGTGGTTTGACGATGTGCACGTTTGGCTTTGTGCATTGTGGGGGGGAGCAGCTAAGTCAGCTCACGGCTACGGTGATCGAGACAGGAAATGTTGCTAGAAACCTAGAGACTTCAACACACCTCTAACTCTGGCCACTCTGCGGTCTCACTCCGGAGCCCAGCCTGCGCGTCTCTCCTCCCCAGCTCCTCCTCAGAGCTCCTCTCGCTCTCCTGACGCGGAAGTTGAAAGCTCGGCCATCTGCGGGGAGGGCGACGCGGCTGAGCGAGAGAGGAGTAGCTGCTGCGGTAAGGCTGGCGGGGATTCGATGGAGGCAAGGGAGTGCCAGACAGTGGAAGTGAGGCCGGCAGGGAGGTGAAGCGCATGTGAAAGCGCATCTCTGGCGACGGGGGTGGCGCGCACCTTACTTCGCAACCTTGTTGATGAGCTGGAGCAGAGTCGACCCAAAGATCACAAACATGAAGAAGCCGAGCAGGAGCTTGGACACTGGGAGCTTGTCCTTGCGTCGCTGCAGGGCGCAGAGCGCGCGATCAGAGCGCAGGACGGCCGGGTCACGCGCGAGGGTCGCCGCGAGGGCAGGTCGCAAAGGCAGCGGCGCGGGAGCGACGGGGACTGCAGTGTGTCCACACACACGTGCGTGTGCGCAGAGGCAGACGCCAGCGCTCGCCTCCTCTGACGGATTTGAGATCTGGCCGCGCTTGGTGACATTGCCGGCAACCTTCTTGTCGCCACTGACGCGGCGGCGCTGGGCGGTGGCGGCGGAGACCTACAGGTGTCCATTGCGCGGCGTGGACGGAGCGCGCGCGCGCCACGCCGTGGGCCAGCGTGTTTGGTTGCCATCGCAAAAAAGAAATGGAAGGTGCTCTACAGCCAAACCGCCGAGAAGGCAGTGACTCAAAGAGGTCGAGTCGCACTAATGGGGTGTCTCCTAGCTTACTAGAGCTCTGGTGGACGGCCCTGACTATCCCTGACACACAGGGAGTCACTCTGATGGCACACAACACCCTATAACTGCGTCATGACCAGCCTGCCATGCGTCGCCGATGCCGCATTCATCGCTGTGCTTGTTTAGCACGCGGTGGACTGTCGGCTGCGAGGACGGTCGCATTTGCGCGAGGCGAGGCGAGCATTCAGACGCGTTGTCTGCGCCATGACTCGCGCCAGCGCTTGCGGGAGCTCCTGGCTGAGCGTTGAGTCCAAGCGAGTTGCGCTGGCCACGATCGCTGCGCCAAGCCGAGCTGACGCGCCGAGGCGCCGGCCAGTCGCAGCCGTGAGGCATGCCACAGCAGCAGAGGCACCTGCCACCCCCATTGGGCGGGCAGACAGAAGGCCAGGGCAGCACTGGCAAGTGCAACGCGCCTCATGTCGGAGAGCGACCGTGCCTCGTTCGCGGCTTATGATGTAGAGTTTGTTGTAGAGATTTCACGTTGTGGAGCGCCTCTACATCGCTCTACAACGGAGGCACATCGTCACGCGGCGGATGTAGAGCTCTACAGCTCTACAGCGCTCTCCAGCACTCTACATCTCTATCTACAGCTCGCTGCGCTCTCACTCTACACCCTCCCTCATCAGACAGTCTTGTCCACGACATTGGAGCCAGGTGTGGGACGTGCGTGTGTGAAGTGCTTGCTGGCAGCTGTGTGTGTGTGGGGTGGATGGACGCGAGAAAGAATAGCTGCGTCCGCGGTCCGCCGGCCGCTTTCATGGAGGCAACACCGATGCGAGTCGACTGGTGTGAGTGTGAATCAGTGTGTCGTCGTGATGTCGTATTCAAGAGCACCCACTCGCTCACCCCACACAGGTACAGGTACAGGTGCAGGTTTCCACCGCAACTTCCTTCCGGTTCGACTTCGAGCCGATTTGGGGAAAGGATAGGAAAGGGGATGTCCCTCCCATACCATCAATCCAAACTTCAAACATACAATTTGTGCGAAGTGATGCTGTCGATGCGTACGCTGACGACGACGTGGGGCCGTGGGACCCGCAACTGCAGCAACGCATCAAGGATGCACTGGCGCCCCCCTGAGATTGATTGAGATGCAGATGAGCTCGCCAAGCTCGCGCACATGTGTTTCGTCGGTCGGCCGTCCTCTTCACACATCTCATTGAGATTGTTATCCAAATTCCATGTTCACAGCAATTGTCTCCCCCTTTTTTTCACCACCTGAGATCCCGAATCTCAGCCCTGCAATTATGACCCCAACTGCCCCTGCCCTGCCCTGCCCTGCCCTGCCGCACTGCCCTGCCCGCACTGCCGCACAACTGCCCTGCCCGATCCCCTACCTGCCCCGGGTGTGAAACCCACACTGCCCTGCCCAGCCCAAACCACACTGCCGGGGTGTTAATACCTGCCCGCTCGCGAGGTCTCGGAGAAACTTGTCGCCCCTCTATGGCCGCCGCGTTCGCAAGACCCGCGAGACGTCCACACAGGGGTCCGGCCAGGGGCTGCTGCTGCACCCGCACCGTCGATCGATGGACCGCGCGGCCGACGGCTGGCGCGTCGTCCACGCCGGCCGCCTTCGCACGCCGCCTCCGCTGCCCGAGACGCTGAAAGCCGATTGGGAGGCCGTCTTCTCGATGGGCTGCTCCGAGCGCCATCGCGTGCTGCGGCCGCTCGTCACCGGCTGCGGCCGCTCGGGCACGCACGCAGCGACGGCGATGCTCGCTCGCGCGGGACTCAACGCCGTGCACGAGAACGGCCACTTGGGCGACAATACGGTCTTCGTCTCGTGGCCCGCCGCAGCATATGAGCGCTCGGCAACGTATTGGCGCGGCTGGCAGTGTTTCGCTCCGATCGTCAAGGTGCATCGGGAGCCGCTAAACGCAATCTCATCCATCGCCAGCGGCTTCAATGCCCACGGCGTCTGTGGCAGCGGCAAGCGGAGCGCGACGAGCAGCACCACTGTCAACGGCAGCAAGGTGCCCGACGTCAGCACAGCGAATGCGCGGCCGATGGACGAAGCCGGCTGGGATGCGGTGAGCTTTCAGCTCGCCAACCAGGTGATCTCGCTGCCGCTCGTCAACGAGACGAACAACTTTGCGCAATGCTGCCGTCTGAGTCGCCACGAGCGAATCTTGCTCGCGCTCAACTATTGGGTCGGCTGGAATGAGCTTGCAGACAGCGTGGCGACGCACTCCGTACCCATCGAGAGCCTGGCAGCCGACTCGTTCCAGTCGATTTGGTGCGCCTACTGCGGCGCCAGCGGAAATCGCTGCGCGTGCGATGCCCGCTCGCTGTCGACCAACGCCACCAACGTGGCCGAGTCGCGCCCAGACCACAACTTGAGCTCGACGGAGGTGCGCGGCGTGCCTCTGACGTGGCAGGAGCTCTATGCGATCGATGCGACCGCAGCGAAGCAGGCCGCAGCGCTGGCGCGCGCCTACGGCTACCCCGGGCCGTGGATTGCTGCCGCTGATAAGCGTGTGGACGGGACGAACGGAGGAGAAGTTAGTTAGTAAGGAGGCGAAAGCCGCCCGGTCCATGCTCACATGGCTAGCCCTGTGGACGCCGGCACGGTATTGATGCACGACGGGCGATGACGGTCACAGAGACTGAGCGTCTCTGAGTGCACGCACACGCACACACACACACACACACACATGCATGTGCATGTGTATGCATGAGTATGTGCTGAAGGTGAAGAGAGAGCGCCGGGGGCTCCGGACTGGACACCAGCGCGGTAATGCGTATGGGTGGACGCTAGCGACAGGAGCTGACGGCACATGCTTGGAGCGCAGACACACAGCCCGCGAGCGATGGCCGATGCGTCTACCCAACTGCCTTCGACCGCAGGGGCCAGGGCGGGCGGTGGCAGCGGAGCGGCGGCGGAGGTGGAGGAGGAGGCGGAGGAGGAGGCAGAGAAGGCAAGGAGGCGGAGAGCCAGCATAACAAAAAGAAACTCTCCTCCGGCCCGCAAAAATGGCCGGCTCGGCCAGCCCACCGGTGCGAGACGTACGAGACGAGGACTGGGTCACGCTCGGGGGGGACGAGCTCGCGGACGTGTACGCCCTCCCCGCCGAGGACTACGCTGGCGGCGAGCGCGAGCAGCTCTCCTCGGCGCTCGGCCGGCTCCTCGGCCTGCTGCAGGCCGAGGATGAGCCCTCGCAATCGTACACGCCTTTTGAGGAGGAGGCCGACGCTGCCGATGCGGTCGCGGCGGAGGCGGCCGCGGTCGCCGCGGCCGCCGCGGCCATGGCGGCGCGGGCCCAGCGCGCGCTGGCCGCCTCGCAGGCGCGCGTGCGCCAGCTGTGCGCCTGCTGTGACGAAGCCGCCGCGGAGGCAGAGGCGCAGCGTGAGCGCGCGCGGCGGGTCCGCGCGCGCGCCTCCGCCCTCGAGGCGCAGCTGAGGGACATGCGAGCCGGCGCCGCGTCGCTTGTCGCGGAGGAGGCCGAGGCCGAAGCGGCCGTCGGCGCGCGGCGCGCGGCGCTGGCGGCCGAGGCGGGGGCGCTGCGCGCCCACGAGGAGGCGGCCGCCTCCGGCCGCGCGGAGGCGCGGAGCGCGCTCTCCGCGGCGATGGAGCGTGCCTCGGAGGCGGCCGCCCGCGCGGCCGCGGTGAGGGACGGCCCGATGCTCTCCGAGGCGGGATGGGAGGCGCGCCTTGCGGAGGTCGAGGCGGCGGCGGCCGAGGCGACGGCGGAGCTGGCAGCGGTGCAAGCGGCGGAGGCGGCTCGCGAGGCCGCGCGGGCCGCCTCGCTGCGGGAGGTGGTGGAGGCGGCGGAGCGGAACAGCGCGCTCGGCGCGATCGAGCTCGACGCGGCCGCCGCGCGCCTCGAGGCACTTGCGTACCGGAGGAGCGGTCTGGAAGCGCAGGCGCGGAGAGGCGGGAGAGGGGGGAGAGGCGGGAGAGGCGGGAGAGGCGGCGGCGGGGGGGGGGGGGGGGGGGCCTCCCCAGGGAGGGGCAATTTCTGGAAAAAGTGCCGGGAGGGAGGGAGGGAGGGATGGGGGAGGGGGAGGGGGGGGGGGGGTCGGGAGTGTCGGGTCTCACCGGGGTCCCCGAGCCCCGTCCCCAGGTGCATGAAGTCGAGGGGCAGCTCCACGCCGCCGAGACCGAGCTCGCCGCTGCGCGTGCCGGCTGCCGTCGAGGGCTGGAGCAAGACGACGGCGCTCACCGGGAAGCCGTTCGCCCGTAGGCACGCCCCGCCGCCGTCGAGAGTGCCACGCATGCAGATCGGCTGCGCTCCGCGGTTGTCGACGCGCGCGCAGCGCTCAGCGAGGAGCGGCGCGACACGCGCCGGCTGGTGGAGCAGGCGAGCGCTGCGGCGAGCGCCTCACTACGCCTTGCCGGGTCCGGGGCCGACGACGGCGACGCTCGCAGCGAGGACGACGCGCCGCCGTCGCCGTCGCCGTCGCCGTCGCCAGGGTCGCTCGAGGAGCAGTTGGCGGCGGCCACTGCAGGCACATCTCCCCACATCTCCCCATATCTCCCCATATCTCGCTGCAGGCACATTTCCCCACATCTCCCCACATCTCTCCCCATCTCCCCACATCTCCTTCAATCTCCCCATATCTCGCCGCAGACGTGGAGCGCTGGCGGACGCGCACCGAGGAGCTCGAGCTGCTTCGCGATGTGGTTGTCATCCACACCTCGCCCGACGGCAGCCGCGGCGCGCTCTGCGAGTACCAAAACGGCGGCCGGCGTGCCGGGCTCGAGTCGTTGCGCCGCGCCCTGGTCGGCGGCCGCTCGCGCCGGCTGACCTCGCCCATCGCGCGCACTGGGCCTCTCGCTGCGCTGCTGCGGCCGCTGCTGCGCACTTCCGGCTCCGCAAGCGGCGTGGCGCACGGCTCGCGCCCCCTCACCGCCGGCGCCGCTCTGCTGGGCGGCGGCTTTGGACTTGCCACTCTTGGCCCAGTCGGAGGGACGGCGCTCGCTGGTGCCGGAGCCGCCGCAGCGTACGTCGCGTCGAGCCGATCCCGCGAGTCGGGCGTGTTTGGTGGCAGCGCCACGGCCGACGACGTCGCCGTGCGTGCGCTTGCCCAAGCGGCCGCGGCAGCCGGCGGCGGCGATGACGAACACGCCAACGCGGCGGCCGCGGCCACCGGACAGGCCGAGGAGGTGGCGGCGGCGTCACTTCCGGCGGCGGGCGACGACGGCGACCAGTGCGGAAGCGACGACGGCGACGCCGCCGCCGTGGTCGCTGGCTCGGCGCCCGCCCTACAGCCACCAGGCGTCGCTGCTTTGGCAGCGGCGCATCCCCCCCCGGAGGTGGACAGGCTCGGGCTTCAGATCCGCATCGTCAGCGCCGACTCTGTCGAGGCGACTCTGCACTTCGCGCCGGCGGTCACTGCCAGCTGATCGCGGCGATTGGCTCCGCAGTCGAGCATGCGTTGGGGCTGGCCTGCGGTGGCGTGGCCGTGCCTCGTGTGAGCTCCGCACAGCGTGTGGCAGCATTTGCGATTTGGGTGTGGTTGTGGGGAGGGGGGGGCGGGGGGGGTGAAATCGGCACAAAGCCGGAACCGCCACTCCATGTCCAGTCGTGAGTTGGGTTTGTGAACGCGAACGGTAGAGTTCAATCGCGATCCGCTGTCCGCCTGAGTGTGTAGACTCATAAAGAGAAAGGTGTGGTCACTCTTGGGTAGTGGTCTTGGTACTTGGAGCGCGCACTCGCTTTTCTGAGTTTCTTGTTTGTTGTTTCAAAAAAATAAAGCCGAAAGCCGTAGAATCGTTCCGGCTTCCGCGAGCGCTGCGCCGTGCGCGTAGAGCGTGTGAAGGCCTCGAGATATCTTATTTGTAATAACGTAACTCTCTCGCACAATCCTCAGTCCTAGTCCCAGCATCTAGGATCCCTACACAGACTTGCGCGGCTGGGGCGAGGGCGAACCCGGCAATAGGTACCCGTCGAAATCCAGAGCGGCGTACGCCTTGCGCTCGCCGCGACGACCTCTCCTCGGGCTCCTGTCGCGGCTCGAAATGCTGCTGCCGCCGCCGCCGCCGCCGCCACCCGCCCACGGCCTTCGGCCGGATGCGACCCCACTGCCCGCGGGCGAGGAGAAAACGGCCTGCAAACGCTCAATCACCGAGACGAGGCCGGCATCGCTCAGGCCCCCGGCAGCATCGCTCAGCCGCGCAGTCGCCTGAGCAATCTCTGCCAGCGCGGCCTCCACAGGCCAGACGCGCAGCCCACCGGCAAGTAGCCCACTGCCCTCGCTTGCGCGACCCTCCGGTGGCAGCCGCCGGCGCGACCCGCCCGTCTGCCGCGGTGACGCAAGCGACGAGCTCAGCGGCGCGAGGTCAGGCGCCGCGGGCGAATCCGCCTTGACGAGTCGCGCCTGCTGGCTCGGCTTGAGCGATCGCAACTCTGCGAGCAGCGCCCCGACGGTGGTGTCGCGCAGGCGGCACGCCGCCCACTGAATGTTTGTGGGCACGCCTCCGAGCCGAGCAATGAGCTCGTGCCGCCGCAGCGCCGTGAGCACGTCGGCGGGCGCGGACGAGCCAGCCGCGCGTTCCGCGGCCTCGTCAAGCAGCTCCGCCGCGTCGAGCTCGCGCTCTGTCAGCTCGATCAGCAAGAGCGCCGCGTCCCGCTCGCTCATCGGCGCGAGGGTGATGGAGTAGATCGAGACGGGCGTCGTCATCCGCGCGTCGTCGTCCGCGTCGTGAGCAGCGGCGAAGTCATCGGCCGCGAGCAGCGAGGACGAGTTGGAGCAGAGGAGCAGACGCACGCCCGCAGAGAGGAGCGAGTGGAGGAAGAAGACGAACTGTGGCCGCGAAGCGTTGATGGCCGCCTCGCACCGGTCGAGGATAAGGAGGCAACAATTGTACTGGGCGAGGTGCGTCGAGAGCTCATCGTTCGACCGCGCCGGGAAATGCAGAGTCGCGCCGAGCCGGGCGCGCACGCGGTCCGTCCTTCGCAGCCCCTCGAGCGAGCAGCAAAAGATGCCGTGCGGGAACGCGCCGCGCTGGCGCAAGTAGGCCGCCGCCTCGAGGATAAGGGCAGACTTCCCGTACCCTTTGGCCCCGTAGACGCAGGTGATCTGGTTGGTGAGGCACGAGTGGAGCAGCTCGTGCAGCTCGAGGTGCCGACCCACAAACGCTGCCCCGTGTGCCAGTTGCTCGCTGGCCGCGGCCTCAGCCTCCTCGGCCCCTCCGACGGCCACACGGCCTCCCGCAGCACCACGACCGCCGCGCAACTCACGCCGAGAGGAGGATGCGGCGAGGCCGAACTCTGCGGCGGCGGCCGCCGGTGGGGGCAGCGACGGACTGCCCCCGTCGTCGGTGACGTAGGGCAGGTTCCAAGGGCAGAGCTTCGGGCTCACGTCGATCAGCTCCCCCGGAGGAGGGAGCGGGCCCAGCGACGCGGCAGCGCCAATGAGGACAAAACCACCCGCCACCGGGGCGTGGAGGGACGCGCTTGCAGCCTCGAAGGCCTCGCGCGGCGCCGCGCCGCGCAGCAGCGCCGTGTAGAAGGCGGCAGAAAAGGCGGTGACGTCCGCCTCGGGGAGGAAGCCGCGCAAGGCCACCACCGTCTCGCAGCCCGCCTCGAGAAACGCGCGGCCGGCGGGCTCAGACCCGCGCGCGGTGAGAAAGACGAGAGAAGGGGTGCTGGGTGCGGCGGCGAGCATCGCACGCAGCTCCTCCAGAGGCAACGGCGACAGCTCGCCCGCGTCCGCCTCGAGCGCTAGGCCCCCAGCATAGTCGGGCGCGGGCAGCAAGTGGAGCATCGGCCGATCCTGCTGGTCGAGCGCCGCGGCGAGCGTGCGCCGGGTCAAAATCTCTAGCTGCACCTGCAGCGAGACGCCGAGCGGCGAGAGGGCCTCGAGGAGCGCACGCCAGCAGCGAACCCCCGCCCTCTTCGGGAAAGCGACCGGCCCCCAACTACCGTCGCCGCCCGTTGGTGATGCCCGGGTCGCGTCGCCGTCGCTGGGCCTGTCGCCGGCAAGGCTGTGGCCAGCCGGCGCCCATGCGACGAGCGGCGCGGCGTCGAGCACCAACAGCCGGCCAGCGCCGCGGCCCTGCGCACGCGCGCGTTGGAGCAGCGCGCGCCGGACCGCCTCGCCGGCGGCCCGCGACTCCTGCGCGCGTAGGCCGTCGCCGCGCTGCTGCCACAGCCCCGCGGCGAGCTGTAGCTGCTCGCGCGCGCCATCAAGGTCGCCGAGCGCCGCGCGCGCCTTGCCGCGTAGCTCAATGACCGCGGGGTCGGTGGTGCCGCACTCCCCCAACATGTCGACGGCGCGGCGTGGCTCGCCGCGAATCAGAGCGAGCTTGGCCAGCCCGACGGTCGCCGCCCTCCAATGCTCATGGTCCTCATCGCCACCCTCGTCGGCGCCGTCACCACCGCGGTCTCCGCTGTGCTCTTCCGTGCCTCCTGCCCGCCCGTTGCCCCCGTCTCCGCCCACATTGGGGAAGCAAGCTAGAGGAGAGCGCAGCCGACGAAGCACCTAAGAGTGGAGGTCGGCGTTGGGGCGCGAGGGTGTGTGCGGGGAGAGCGCGCAGCGGGGGAAGTGCAGAGGCACCTCGCGGTAGAGGTTGTCTGCACGCGCCAGATCCGCGGCGTGCGCCTCCCGCGAGCGCGGCGACATCTGGCCGCGCGCCAGGGAGAGCGCAAAGGGTGCGGCGAGCTGCGGGCTGCTGAGGAGCCCTGCGCTCGCGCGCCGCCAAAGGCTGTCGCTGGCCCCTGCAGCGGCTGAGTCGGCAAGCCCACCGTGAGGTCGCTGAGACAGCCTCTCGGCCACAGTGAGGTCGTTGAGGCCAGCGACGATGGCGTCGTCCATTTGGTTGAGCTTGTCCTTGATGTAGCTGTCGCCCAGCATGAGCAGCGCACGCACGAGCCCAGAGACCCACCGGCGGCCCCGCTCCGACCCCGAGGCCATGAGCGCAACCTGCCGCCAGAGCCCCGCTGGCCCTTCGACCGCCGCACCTGGCGTGAAAGTGGTGGCGAGCAGTGGCGACTCAGCCGGCTGCGCATCGCTCGCCACGCCGCCCGAGAGGCTGCCTGTGGCTGGCGGCGGCGAGCCCGTGCAGCAAGACGAGTCATGCCGCCCGAGAGGGAGCGCTGGCCAAGTCTGCGAGAGGAACGAGCCCGCACTAGCGCCGCCGCCGGTGGCGCTGGCGGCGCTGGCGGCGGGGCTGTCGTCGCCGCAGCCGGGTGGATGCAAGCCGGACGGGGCAAAGCCCGACGACTGGCGAGAGAGACTGGGGAAGAGCGTCGCGTCAAGGAGGAGGGGATCGCCACCTCCAACCGCCGCTCCAACCGCCACCTCCTCGGCGGCGTCAGCGTCGCGTTCTCCGCCGCCCTCGGAGCGGTGCGCGGCGTCGTCGTCGTTTCCGCCGCTGCCGTAGCCGGAGTCGGAGGCGTTCGACCCTTTGCCGCCCTCGGGCTCGGCCTCGGAGTAAGCGAGCACCGCGGCGGACAGCACCTCCTGCACCGCCGACATGTCCTCTCCGAGCTGCAGCATCTGATCGCCAAGGAGGAGCCGAAGCTCGCCCAGCCGCGCGGGCGGCACCTCGAGCACCTGCAGCGCGTCGAGTGTGCGGCGCGCGGCCGATGCCGACTCCTCCCTCCGGCCGAGCAACGCGAGGATGCGAGCGAGGGCCTCGCCCACGCGTGCAGTGTGCCGCACTAAGGAGCTCGCCCCACCGCCGCCACTGCCGATGTCGCCGATGACGCTGCCACCACCGCCGACGCTGTCGGAGAGCGACGACGTGATACTGAGCGCCTCGGAGCAATCGCCGGGCGCCGCGCCGCTGGCGCGAATCAGCTGCAGCCGCTCGTCGGTGAGGCATGCCCACAGGTTTGGCGCGAGCACCTCGGTGAAAAACTTGCGCCAGCGCGCCAAATCCTCGCCGCCCTCGACGCCCTCGCTCACCCCGTCGGCAATCTCGCCGCCCTGTGTGGTGGAGCTCCTCCGACCGGAGGGACTACCCGATGTCGCGGGCAGCGCAAACGAGGTGTGCCCCGGTGCTGCCATGGCCTCGCTACGGGCGTTGGCCTCGAGCAACGCGACAAAGCGTTCGCCGAGAGTGGCGAGCCGGCGCGCGCAGCGGCCCGCGAGCAAGCGCATCGGCGGCGTCGGCAGGAGCGGATCGAGCACCCCGTGGTCGAGCTCCGAGATGTAAGAGGTCAGGAGCTCGGACATGCCCGCCTCGTGGCGCGGGCTATCGCCGCCGCGCGGCGACATCGCTGGCCGTCGCTCGGGCGGTGAGGCTGCCGCACCGAGTTGGAGGGTGCGGCGGCGGACGAGCCAGCGAGCGTCGGCGGGCGGGCCAATCGGCGCCGCCTCTGGCGGCTGATCGGGCCGCTGCACCAAATGCTGCATGAGCGGCCCCCACGGCGGCGGCGGTGGCAGCTCAGCCTCGGCGGAGGGAGAGCCGCCGCCCTGCACCGCCTCGGCGATCACCTGCGCGACACCTTCATCCGCGCTACTACTCCATAGGGCGTCGAGGTCGGCGGGCGTGGCGCCGCCAGGAAGGAGAGAGAGGAGCGCAAGGAGCGAGTACGCAGCGGCGTTGTGCTGGCGGAGCAGACCGAGCAGCACCTGCACCGACCGGCGCTGCGATTCGTGCAGCGCCTCGGAGGGCGTGCCGGCGCCGCCTGCTCCGGCGATGGCGCTGCTGCTCTCGCCGTCCCCGCCGTCTCCGTCGTCGCGGTCTCCACCCGAGCAGTGCGTGCTGGCGTATACCGCGCTGGGCTCGGCCACTGGTGGCGTCGCCGTGCTGTCGCCCACCCGTTGCTCGCCCGACTCCTCCAGCGGTATTGTCAGGAACACGCGTGGGGTTTCCTCCGGCCCCTCCGGTGGGGTGGTGTCGGCCCCGCCTGCCGCACTGCTGCGATCGCCTCCACCGGCACCGCCGGCACCACGGCGCTCCTCGCGAGCGGGTCCGGAGGAGGGCGTCGCTGTGACTCCATCTGGAGGACGCGGCACACCCTCCGAGTCGGCAGAGCTGCGGCCAGACCCCAGCGCAGAACCAGGCGCGCTCCGGCGACGCGGCTGCGAGGAAACGCCAGCGCCTCCGCGAGGCTCGTCAGCGTGCCACGCCCCGCGCGCAAAGACCGGGTCCGAGGCTGAGGCGACTTGCACAGCCACAGAGGCGAGGGCTGACACCACGGGTGGAGGCGGCGGCGAGGCACTCGCGGCACCGCCGGCTGACGCGAGGGTGGTCTGCGTGTCCTTCGACACGGCTCTCGCCGCCATGGGCTGCCCGCCGTGATCAGCTGCTTGGTCCATGTCGGCAGGCGCTAGCGGCGCCGCCAGCGCTAGCGGCGCCTGCGCCCTCGCCGGCGCCCTGAGCAGCTCCCGCTCAAGCTCCGCCAGCGAGACGCCCGAGCGCAGCAGCGGCGCGTTCTGGCATATGGCGCCCGGCAGCCCGGCGAGCGCTCGGAGCACCGGGTGGCCGATGAGCGCGCCGGGCGGTCGCAGATCCGGCGGGAGCACCTCGAGGGCGAGCTCGCGGAAGAGTCGTGCCGCGTCGTACTCGGAGAGCGGAGACACGTCGATCAGCCGCTCGCCCTGCGATCCGTTGAAGACGCCACTTCGTTGCCGCGCGGTGCACAGCACGCGCAGCTCCTTTGTGGCGAGCAGCTTTGCGACGAGCGCCTGGACGCCCTTGCAGTCACAGCCGTCGTCGACGTTGTCGAGGATCAGCAAGCCGCGCCACAGCTTGAGCCCCCGCGAGACGTCGGGCAGCGACCGGAGCTCCATATCGAGCGCCTCGGTGAGCGCCGCGAGCGCCTCCGACTGGGAGCGCCGCCCTGCAAGCTCGACGCAGACGCACCCGTCGGGGAACCAGCGCCGCTCGTAGAGGTGACCCGCGGCGGCGATCGCAAGGCTCGTCTTGCCTACGGAAGTGTCTCGGAAGTGTCTCGGAAGTGCCTTGGAAGTGTCTCGGCAATGTCTCCGAGGCTCGTCTTGCCTACCCCTGGCGCGCCGGTCAGCGTGAGCAGCCGGACCTCCTTATTCCGCTTGCGGCCGAGGGTGAGCACGAGCTCGCGCAGCTCTACTGCGCGGCCTGTTCACAGCTCGAGGTGTGAAGAGACGCTATTCACAGCTAGAGGGCGCAGCTCTACGGCGCGGCCGAGGAAGGGCTTCGGCAGGTAGGGCGGCTCGAGGCCCGGCAGCGGGTTCCGCTCGAGGGGCTCGCCCGGCCACAGCGAGCCGGGCGGGAAGAGGACCGCCTCGTGCGGGTCCCTGGGAGGGGGAGGCGGCATCGAGAGCCGGCCGCCGGCCGACGCGCGCGCGGGTGGCGGCGCCGGCAGCAGGATGAACTTTGCCGCCTCGGCCGCCGGGTGGAGCATCCTCGCCGAAGGGGCAGTGCCGGCGAGCGCGGCGGTGCCCATCTCGAAGGCGGCGCGGACGGAGTTGCCCTGCACCAGCGCAAGGTAGAGGTGGCGCGCAAAGAGCGCCTACGCCGTGCAAGACAGCCGGGGCCGTGAGCACGGCATCGCGCCGTAGACTCCTAGCACCGCGTGAATACACGAGTGCAGTGAGCACCGCTCAATGCAGCTGGATACGGCTGAGTGCGGGAGTCCTTAAGATGGGGAGATGTGGGGAGATGTGGGGAGATGTGGGGAGATGTGGGGATCCGTGCTCCGCATCTAGTGGCGAGCGCCGCAGCGTCGTCGAGCACCTTTGCATCCGCGCGCACACCGACGACATGGGGGACGCCGCACGCGGCGAAGACCTCCGCGGCCGGCTGCGAGTGGCACGCCGACACGAAGACGAGCCGCGTGCCTCGCACCAGGTTGGCTGGCGCGAGCAGCGCGTGCAGCCGGTCGAGCGAGAGCTGGTCGAGCGAGCCCTCGTCGTCCTCGAAGCCGAGGAAGAAGGCGCCGGTCTCCTCGTCGATGTCGCCGTGGCAGACGAGGTGGAGCATGAGCGGCTGCAGCGCGAGCATCTCGCCGAGCGCGGCGCTGCTCGCGACGCCGGAGGACAGCGTGAGGTGCTTGCGCGCGCGCCGCAGCACGTCCAGCAGCGCCTTGACCTCGCCCTTAAAGTCCAGGGTGAGTGCCTGGTGGTCGAGGGGCAGGATGCGCCGGTTCTTCCTCCAGACCAGCGGCGCCGCGTGAAGCAGCGCGAGCTCGAGCCGCCCGCCACCCGTGTACAGCGCGCTGCCGCCAAAGCCGTAGAGCGCGCCCGCCGCGTAGCCTCCGGGCGCGGGCGACTGCTGATCCGGCACCGAGTGCGCCCCCCCGGAGGGCTGGGAGCGGAATCGCGCGACCTGCGGCTCGGGCGCCGCCGACGTCGAGGCCAGCGAGTGCTCGCGGCGCAGGATGCCACTCGGCAAGCGCTGGCACTGATCGAGGGGCGAGGATGCCTCTGCGCCCGGCCCGGCTGCCAAGGCGGGAGATTCGCGGCACGACAGCTGGCGGTGCGATGCCGCCTCGCCAGAGGTTATGGAGTCAGAATGACAGCCAAGCAGCATGTCCGAGGCGCGGCGAGGCGGCCGAGGCGTCGTCATCGACGAGGAGCGCTCCGAGCACGGCGGCGGGGTCGGCTCGCGGACGAGGGCGCTAGGCGTCAGCGGGAGCAGAGGAGCCATCTCAGCCCGCAGCTCGAGAAGCCGCGCCGACCCGACCTGCGAGCATCCCTCCAGCGGAAGTACCGCGCCGATGAGGGACCATGCCTCAAAGACGCTGTCGAATGCTCGCACAGCCTTGAGCCTCGTCGTGTCGACGCCGTCCGCCTGCAGCAGGGCGATCACCTGCTCCGCGGAGATGACGTCCTCAGCCCAGTTGACGCGCAGCAGCAACCGGGTCGGGTCGGCTCCGAGAGTGTAGCGGAGAGCAAGCTCGGCCACCATGTGCACCGATTTTTTTCATCAAACGCCACCGTTAGGACCGTCCTCTCGTTTCTTTCTCTCTTTACATCGGCTGGCTAACGGCAATAACACAGGCACTGGAAAGTTTACGCTTCCTCCAGCAGGCCTCCGGCACATCGATATGCAGTTCGGGCTCGAGTGAGGGCCGCGGTTGCGCGGGGCCGGGCTACGGGGGGCCTTGCTCGGGCTGCCGAGAGTGATAAAAAAAATCCATTGCCGTTGCGGACAAAGAGCCCGCTCGACGCCACGATAGCCAACGCGCGCGGACAAGAACCCGCTCGTTCTCGCGCTGGCGCATGCAGGCGCCCGCGCGGATCCGAGGCGCGGACTTTGCGCAGCCCTGGCATGCTGACGCTGCCGAGCGTCAGGTGCTCGAGGCTGAGCGGCGGCACTCCACGCTCATGATGACAGCCGCTGCGGACGGGGCCTGGCGCGCCGTGAGCCACCGCACGCAACGCGCAGACGACATCCTTGCCATCCAGGATCGCAACCGGATCTTGCAGGTAGAGCTCAATCGCCTGCGTGAGGAGAAGGCCACGGTCGAGGCGGAGGCGCAAGCCTTCAAGCAGAGGATGGAGTCGGCCGTGAGCAGCTTCGAGGTCATCATCGAGCAGGCGGTCCAGGAGAAGGCCAACACCTTCCAGCAGCTGGTGGAAACGAGGCAGCGGCTCAAGCAATCCCAGCGGCAGCAGCGCACCGCTGCCGCCAAGGCGGGCCCGAAGCAGCTCACGAGGGTGTTCAGGATCTGCGAGAGCCGGGACACAGCGGTCGCCCTCGCTCGCTGGCGTGGCTTTGCCGGCGAGCTACGCCACGAACGCGCTGCGGAGAAAATCGCGAGCTTCGAGGCGGCAGCCCGGGAGCCGGTACGTGAGAGGGAGGAGGAGGAGCTGCTGCGGTCGCAGCTGCAGTGCGCCGTGCAGCGGCTGGCAGCGGCAGACGGGGCGCGCGAGGAGGAGCAGCGCAAGGCCGAGGAGGCTCGGTCGGCACGGGCGGAGGCGGAGGAGCGCTTGGCGGGCGCGCGGGTTGATTTGGCCGAGTCCAAAGAGTCGTTGCGCTCCCTGCGCGCGGCCTTCAGCGCCGAGTCCGTGGCTCTCAGCGGCGAATCTACGGCGCTTGCGCGGCGGGCGTCCGAGCTGCAGGGCCAGCTTGCGGACGCGGAGCACCGCGCCGCACAAGCCAACGAGCGTGCTTGCGAGCTGCAGGCCGAATTAGAGAGGCGCGCTGAGACGTGGTCGCTGGCGGCGCCGGGCAAGGTCGACCTGATGCGACAGATGCTGCACGAGCAGCAGGAGGAGCTGGCCGAGGCGCGCCGCTTCTCGGCGGCCTGCAAGCTCGTCACAGCCGTCGGGCGGCGCGACACCCTCTCGCTGTCGACGGCGCTCGGCGCCTGGCGCCGCGCGTGCTCAGAGATGGGCCGCGCTGAGCTGCGCGAACAGCTTGCGGCGACGGCCGCGCGGGAGCAGCAACGCACAGCGGAGCTGCACGCGCAGCTGTCTGCGTCTGAGGGGCGCGTCGGCGCTGAGACGTGGTCGCTAGCGGCGCCGGGCAAGGTCGGCCTGATGCGACAGATGCTGCACGAGCAGCAGGAGGAGCTGGCCGAGGCGCGCCGCTTCTCGGCGGCCTGCAAGCTCGTCACAGCCGTCGGGCGGCGCGACACCCTCTCGCTGTCGACAGCGCTCGGCGCCTGGCGCCGCGCGTGCTCAGAGATGGGCCGCGCTGAGCTGCGCGAACAGCTTGCGGCGACGGCCGCGCGGGAGCAGCAACGCACAGCGGAGCTGCACGCGCAGCTGTCTGCGTCTGAGGGGCGCGTCGGCGCTGAGACGTGGTCGCTGGCGGCGCCGGGCAAGGTCGGCCTGATGCGACAGATGCTGCACGAGCAGCAGGAGGAGCTGGCCGAGGCGCGCCGCTTCTCGGCGGCCTGCAAGCTCGTCACAGCCGTCGGGCGGCGCGACACCCTCTCGCTGTCGACGGCGCTCGGCGCCTGGCGCCGCGCGTGTTTGCTGGCTCGTGAGGCGGATCTGAGGCATACTCCCCGTCTCGCGAAACCAGCAGCTGAAGGGCTGCCGTTCATCCCGCTCGCGTCGTTGGGCGAGGCTGCTGCCGGCATCAGCCGCGATTCCCCGGGGCGCAGCTCGCCTCCGTCGCAGCCGCCCTCGGGTTCTCTCGCATCTCCACCCTCGCGGCTGCCGCCCTCGCAGCTTCGCCCGCGTCAAGTCTCTCCAACCGCCGGCGACACGCCGAGCACGCTTCCCACAATGCATTCGCTCGAAACCCTGTGAGTGAAGGCAGGGTGGGATGGTTCGGAGTGCCAGTTGGCGGGGGTTGCTCACGACGTGCAGGCGCATGTCACCGCGCACGCCGCCGCCGCCGCCCGCGCGCCAGAGAGCCCATTTTAGTAGTTCACCAGCGCGCATGAACCAGGCTGCGGGGGGCGGGACGCGCGAGACACGCGCATGCGGGTGGGGGGAGTCCAACGACACGAGAGACGCACACGTCATGGGCCATGTGTAAAAATCCATGGGACTAGTGCGCGCAATCGTCCGGAAGTATGGAGTATGCGATTGCTCAACCTCTCAAGACTCAACCCTTGTGAATCACAAATGTATGCACGCGGGGCAGCCTCGCCCGCAGTGATGCTGGCTGTGGGCAACCCATGCCAATGCAGCCGCGCACATCTAGGGCGACTAGCGAGGCTGCTCGGTGAGCAACGAGGGCATCGAGTGCGGCGGCGGTGAGCCCTCGGATGCCGTGGAGCGACAACACCTCGAGCGGGCAGCCGGCAGCAATGGCCGCGACGCCCACGTCTGTTACGCCAAGGCACCACGAGATCGATAGGGAGTGCAGCGCGGACGCGACCGCGCCGAGGGCGAGCAGGGGCGCGTCTGCCAGGTCGTTGAGGCCGGTGAAATCGAGCTGTGTGAGGCTGGCGCGAGCCGCGCGCGCCAAGCTCAGAATGGGCGCCTCGGAGAGCTGTCCATTGGCATAGAGCGTGACCGACACCAGCCTGGGGTTGCCCTGCATGATCGCAGCGGCAGCGATGTCGTCGAGGAGCGGCATGCGTGTCAGATCGAGCTCTGTGAGGCGTCGCAGCCGCGATGCGACCGACAGCATGCCCTCCGAGCCTATGCCGGTGCACCCCGACAGAGAGAGGCTCTGCAGCCGGCCACAGCGTGCGAGGTGTCGCGCCGAAGAGTCGGTCAGCCTCACTGCGGCGTAAAGTCGCAGCGATACGAGCGAAGCGCCGCAGGCACGAACGAGCGCCTCGACGCCGCCGTCGCCGAGGCTGCGGCAAGCATCAAGCGCAAGCGCAGTCAGCCCCGTCGGCAACAGGGCAAGGTGCGCATCGGTGAGCCTGTCGCAGAATGCTACCTCCAGGCGCCTGAGCTGCGCGTACCGACCACCCGCCTCCCCAAGGGCGTCTTCAAAAAATGCTTTGGGCTCCCGGTTGCCCGCGAGGTACAGGGCCGCGAGCGATGACCGCCGCGTGGCGGAGCTCAGCACAGCGGAGCAGGAAGCGAGCCGACCAAGGGTCTGCGCGGCGCAGCGAGCGTGCAACGCAACGAGCTCGAGGGCGCCGTCTCGCCGGCGAGCGTCCTCCTCAGGCGCTGGCATGTCAATACATTTTGCAAGGCGCGGGCTCCGGGCGAGGTACTCCCACCCACCCGGTGAACCTTCTTTTCTACCAGGCTAGGATTGAGAGCAGCCTCGCTCTCAATCCTAGAAGTCGAAGGATTGTGAGCAGCACTCCTCGCAATCGTAGCATCTCTGTGCGATTGTGAGCGCCTACGCTCGCAATCCTACATCTTCTAGGACTAAGAGCAGCTCCGCTCCCAAGCAAGATGACTGGTGACGCCTACGACTACTACCAGCGCGCTCGCAATCCGAGCAAAGTCTAGGATTGCGAGCAGCACTGCTCACAATCCTAGCAACATGCCTCCGATTGCGAGCAGAAGCGCTCGCAATCCTAGAACTTTCGCCGATTGCGAGCGACACCGCCCACAGTCCTACGACTTCTAGGATTGCGAGCGGGTCCCCTCGCAATCGGTGCGACACTGTTGGATTGTGAGGAGACCCCCCCGGCGCGCTCACTCACAAGCGCTCGCGGCTGGAGCGATTGGGAGCGCCCCCTGTGCGACTGCTAGCAATCCTTGGATCTTTGGTCTGATTGTGAGCACCGCCGCTCATAGTCCTACAAGATGTAGGATTGCGAGCGCTACTGCTCGCAATCGGAGCCATGTTGCTAGAATTGTGAGCAGTGCTGCTCGCAAGCCTAGACTTTGCTCGGATTGCGAGCGCGCTGGTAGTAGTCGTAGGCGTCACCAGTCACCTTGGGAGCGGAGCTGCTCTTAGTCCTAGAAGATGTAGGATTGCGAGCGTAGGCGCTCACAATCGCACAGAGATGCTACGATTGCGAGGAGTGCTGCTCACAATCCTTCGACTTCTAGGATTGAGAGCGAGGCTGCTCTCAATCCTAGCCTAGTACAAAAGAAGGTTCACCCCCACACGCCTCTCGGTTTTAGTCCCCGAATATGACCCGAGTTGCACGAGGCCGAGCCCTGCGCAATGCGTTCCCCCCGGTCTTGATAAGGTTCCCCATGCCAGTTTCGGGGCGTAAACCCTGCCCGGCCCCTAGAGCGCCCCAGGTAAGGCCCAGGTGTGGCCTAGGCCCTAGGGCATCAGAAGGGACCAAGAGGAGTCCAGTCTGAGCCATACAGCCCATGCATGTCTTTGCCCCCGAAGGTCGCGTTCAAAATGCCCGGAACGGACGTTACAGTGGTGTCCGGCCGGCGCGATCACGGACGGAGCTGTGACGCTCAGGGAAGCCTGATGAGGTACTGGTTTCTTTGCCCAGGGCTGTCCTTCCCCCCAGGCTGGATCAGCTGAGCAAGAGGTTTGGGGCGGGGAGAATCCGCCCCGGTCAGATCTTCAGATATTTGGATGACCGAAATCACCCCGTTTTTGCCCATTTTCGGTCATCCGTCAAAATATCTGAAGATCCCAATATAGGATGGCACAAAGTTACTCTTACTTGACGCCTCTGAAGGGGATGGCTCACTCTCACATGCAGGCGTACACGCCATACACACACATCAACTCTCACGAACGTTACTGTACAGCATGAATGAGTGTCATCACGTAACATGCACATGCACGACACAAGATTGACGTAAATGCCAAGTAGACACACCAGCTGGCCCATCACACCTTTTCCGAACCCTCCCCTTCTGTGGAAGTGGAAGGCGATCCCGCGGCGCCATCTATCGCCCGGCACAACGGACATGCATTGGAGCTCGTGCTCGATCGCGCCTGCGTGATCATGCAGCGGGCATGGAAACGGTGACCGCAAGATAAGGTGTAGCACGCCAGGTTGCCCGTCGCTGTCGCGACTAGCGGGTCAAGGCAAATGGCACAAGCTTCAGCCGCGTCTGATGGCGAGCTGAGGGCCCTGACGATCAATATGTCGGGGCGTCCCTGCGCCTGCACTGCAGCTGCTTCCGGGGCAATAGGGACGGCCGATACAGCCTGCACGATCGCACTCTGCAAGTGTTGCGTCCCGGCCGGCGTGGCCGCGTCGATGCACAGCCTGGGTTTGCGTTCCAGCAAGCCGCGTCGACTGACGGCCGTGCCAGCAGCAACTGCGGAGGAGATCGTCGTGACAGCAGGTGGGGGCTGCTCGAGCAACGGTGGGGTAGGCCAAACGCGAAGCGCTCGGTCGCCGCCACCCGTTGCAACGTGGTCTCCATTGGGCGAATATGCAACCGCGCGAAGGACTCCACTGTGTGCGTCTGTCCTCTCGAGGACGGGCGACGACAAGTCGGAGGCGGCGTCCCACACGCGGAGCGCCCCGTCGCCGCCGACCGTAGCGAGGCGGCTCCCGTCGGGCGAGTAGGCGACCGAGTAGATGCCGCTGGTGGTGGCTCTCTCCATGAGGGGCGACGACAAGTCAGAGGCGGCGTCCCACACGCGCAGCGCCCTGTCGGTGCCGCCCGTGGCGATGCGGGTGCCGTCGGGCGAGAAGGCGACTGCGCGGACTCGGGCGCCGTGCGCATCCGCTCTCTCCATGAGGGGCGACGCCAGGTCTAAGGAGGCGGCGTCCCACACGCGCAGCGCCCTGTCGTCGCCGACTGTGGCGAGGCGACAACCGTCGACGGAGAAGGAAACTGAGTAGATGGCGCTCGTGTGCGCGTCCACTCCTACCACGAGGGGCGATGCCAGGTCCGAGGCGTCCCACACGCGCAGCGCCCCGTCGTCGCCGACCGTGGCGATGCGGCTGCCGTCGGGCGAGTATGCGACCGAGTAGATGGCGCTGCTGTGTGCGTTCGGCTTCTCCAGAGGCGGCGAGGACAGGTCCGAGGCGTCCCACACGCGCAGCGCCCCGTCGCTGCCGCCGGTGGCAATGCGGGTGCCGTCGGGCAAGAACACGACGGAGAAGATGTCGCCCCTGTGAGCCGTGGCTTGTTGAATGCTAGGCGACGACAGGTCTGAGGAGGCGTCCCATACACGCAAAGCGCTGTCGCTGCCGACTGTTGCGACGCGGCTGCCGTCGGGCGAGTACGCGACCGAGAAGACGCTGCCCTGCCGCCTTCTTGCAGCAGCAAGGACCAGGGAGCAGCAGCAGAGGCAGGTCGACATACAGATGCCAAGTATTAGAGGCAGCCGCAAGTTGTCACTGCCAGTGTCGACGAGAGGGAGCGCACTTCGCTCCAACGGGAGGTACGGGGGTGGGATCAGCGGCGGAGGCGCCGGCGCCGGTATGATGCCCTGGCAGAAGAGCAGCCCGTCCGGAGCAGTCAACGGAATGAGCTGCCCCGACTCGTCGGGCCTCTGGCAGTAGTCGTGCTCGTAGAAGATGTCGGTGATGAAGCCCCGGTCCGCGCAGAACTTGACGTGCATGAAGTCGCGGTTCTGCTCCTCTCTCGACAGCCCCAGGCACGCTCTCTCGTACACCGCCTGCGCCCCCGGATCGGGCGGCAGGAGCAGCGCCTGCACCTCGGGCGGCTGACGGGCGTAGTAGTCGCACATGTCGATCGGCGCCAGCCACACCGGCCGGAAGTCGGGGTCTTCGCAGCCGCACTCGCCGTCTCGCGTCGCCGGCCGCCGCACTGGCCACGAGCTGTTTGGCTGGCTTATGGCGGCGTAGAAGGTGTTGACGGTGTCGAGCGCAGTGGAGGAGGAGTTGGCCAGCGCGTCGTAGTCGAAGAAGATGTTGCAGGGGCAGTCCACCTCCTCGTTGCTCTGCGTGGGCCCAACAGGCCCGATGTCGGTGCCGCACATCATGGCGCCGTCGCGGGCAAGGCGTGGGTAGAGCGTGAAGTTGTTCGCCGCCTCGGGCACGCAGTACTCCTTGCTGAGGTAGTAGTTGTAGCGCACAAAGGCGGGCGTCGCGCACAGCCGGACGTGATGGTAGTACTCATTGACCTGCTCGCCCGGCGCAAAGGCGGAGCAGGTGCGATTATACGACTCCTGCAGCTGCCCCGACGTGAAGAGCACGTCTCGCTGCGTCGCGTTGAGGGTGTCGAACCAGAAGCACAGGTCGAGGGCGGCCAGCCAGACGGGGCGGTCCTCGGCGCTCTCGCACGCGCAGCCCCACTTCGGGTCGTACACGGGGAGGCTGAGCGGCCAGGCGTCGTTGGTCTGGAGGACGAAGAAGAGCGCGTTGGTGTCGTTGAGGAAGGAGGGGGAGTTCGCTGTGCCGCCATCCAGGTCGTAGTAGGGCGAGCATGAGCAGGGCGGCGAGGGCGAAGGAGGCGAGGACGGTGGAGGCGAGGGCGGCGGCGGCGAGGGTGGAGGCGGCGAGGGCGGAGGAGGCGAGGGCGGCGGCGGCGAGGGCGGAGGCGGCGAGGGCGGCGGAGGCGAGGGCGGTCGATGCGAGGGCGGAGGAGGCGAGGGCGGTGGAGGCGAGGGCGGTGGAGGCGAGGGCGGAGGCGGCGAGGGCGGAGGAAGCGAGGGCGGAGGCGGCGAGGGCGGAGGCGGCGAGGGCGGAGGTGGAGAGGACGGAGGTGGACTTGGTGGCGGCGCTGAAGGAGGCGGCGGCGATGGAGGCGGCGGGCTCGGCGGGGGCCTTGGCGGCACCGGGCTGGAAGGTGGCGGCGAGGGAGGCGGCGGCGAGGGTGGGGAAGGCGAGGGCGGCGGCGACCCTGGTGGTGGTGGCAAAGGCGGAGGCGGTGAGGGCGGAGGCGGGCTTAGTGGCGGCGATGAAGGAGGCGGTGGCGATGGAGACGGCGGGCTGGGTGGGAGACGAGGCGGCGACGGGTTGGGCGGTGGTGGCGAGGGTGGCGGTGGCGAGGGCGGTGGCACTGGAGGCGGTGGTGAGGGCGGTGGCAATGGGGGTGGTGGGGAAAGGAGTGGGGGCGACGGCAAAGGTGGCTCTGTAGAGGGAAGCGGCAGAGATGGCGGCGGTGGAAAGGGCGGAGGCGGCGAGGGCGGCAGCAACGTCGACAGTGGGGTCAGCGGTGATAGTGACGGTTGAGGTGGTGGATGGGACGGAGGGGGTAGGCAGCCCCTCACAAAGGTTCCAGAGCAGCTAGCTTCCCCTGGTGCCAGACCCCAGCAAAGCTTGAACTTCCCAGCTTTAGACGTCGTCTTGAAGTACGATGAGCAGGAGGAAGGGT